AGACGAATCGACTTCGCGCCGCCTTCATCCGCCATCGTTCAATAGTGGATGACTTTCCATAAGCTATCTACGGGCTCTACGGAACGTCCGTAAATCTCTAAACAGATCGATTTGGGGCAAGGGGCAGTGTTGCCGACACCAGATCTGAACTCCGCTGATGAAATTTAGGATACGGACGTCAAAATCTAGGAGGGGGGTCCGACCCCCCTTTCTAAATCTCTAACAGGCCGTAGACAGTCCGTAGACCTCGGCATACGGTGCCGTGACCACGAGAAAGGAAGGAGCCATCATGACAAAGCGAACTGCATGCCAAATACAGACATGACATAAGCCACTCCAGTCACGTGCTGATGATGAGCAGAACATGCCGCCTGTTTAGCGCCCAAGATCCACAGACTGTTTCAAACCCCGCCTAGAAATCTACGGACGTCCGTAGAGCCGTAAATCCTTATGGAAAGTCGTCCAGTACCACGTTTGTCAATTGCCGCTGCACATCCTCCAGTAAGCACTAGCACGACTCATTGCAGCCAAAGAAGCCGTTTTAGACGTTCTGATTGGTACGTGTTCACGCTTCCCCCTTTGTTACCGCATGCACAGCAACGTTCTACGATTGTACACCATTGAATCAGAGTATGCCAAGATAACGGACCGCAATTCACAGTCTGAATTGTGTCCGATCTTACTGTTGGCGTGCGTGGGACGTCCGGTGAATGAATGTGATCAAAGTGACCTGCGCAGCGTAGGACGACTGGCCTGTGTTTGGGTATTTACGTAAACCAATGTACCTGAGGGCGAGACGCGGGGAGAGGAAAGCGTCGGCTGCGTCGCTGCGACGAAGATCAATATTTTCTCTCTTCACGACGCCGACGACGTTGCTTGAGCAAGTCTCGTCAGACGACTACCCCAGCGTCGACGCTCAGTCTCCGTGCACCCGGGCAGGTCCAAACGCTGCTCTACGCTCCTTCAATCGCCCACTTAGCCATTCCTTATCCACTCCCCACCACCTGAAACTCCGCGCACGCCCGACCCGTGCAATTGCTGGCACCCTGCCCCTGCTTCTAAAGCCCTAGTACTTGTCGTGCCGTTCTTATCTGTACAAGCTCCAGCTCGTCACCCACGACCGACGATCTCACGCAGGCTGCAAATGACCCAGACGCAGACCATGACCGCCGTCGGGCACCCAGCGAGCGCAGACGCGGACAACGCCTCCGACGCCTCCCTCACCACGATTGTCCAGGCCGTATTCGCGGACACCGTACGGTCCTCAGGCTCGCTCGAGTCCAACGGCAGCGCCTCCACATCCAGCACCGCCCCGAGCGTCCCCTCGCTCGACACCTCCCACAGCACCGTCTCCGAGTCCTCGACGACCTCCCTCGCCTCGAGCAAGGCCCCCAGCCCGTGCCCCAGCATCCTCCGCTCCAGCTCCGCCCCCCCACAAGACTTCCCCACCTCATCCGCGTCCTCCTCCCCTAACGTTACGTTCGCGCCCCTCCCGCAGACCGAGCAGCGCAAGCGGCACCCGTCCCACCAGCTCGGCGTCGCCGCGCGCTCGCGGCTCCTCCGGCACCGCCGTATGCTCCGCGAAGGCCGCGTCGACCCCGACGACCCCTCCTACCACCAGTACGGCCCCGGCAGCGGCATCGCGGGCGGCAAGGGCGCTGTCGACACCTACGGCCCCGATGGCGAAAACGTGCAGTCCCCCTCGGAGGGGCATGGGGAGATGGGAGAAGGAGAGGAAGGGTACCCGCGCAGGCGCCGCTCGCGTGCCCCGAGCGAGCCTCAGGAGGATCCGCTGGTGGCGCTCGGGAGGCTGATGAAGGGCGCTACGAAGACGCTCTGGAGGAGCCTGTCCATGCGGGATATGCGCGTGCAGGAGAAGGAAGAAGGGCAAGCGGGACCGGACGGCGCAGAGCGGCAGGAGGGACGGCCCGCGAGCAGGTCGCGGAGGGAGAAACGGTCGGCTCCGCCGAGGGTCGGTGCGGTACATCTCTTCGAGGACGACGAAGGGCGGCATGTATCGGACGAGGGAGGGGTGTGGGAGGAAGAGGTCTCCGGGGAGTCGTTGAAGAAGCTGCTCTCAAACCACCCGCTGCCTGCAGCCGACGCTGCGCACGACGCAGAACCGCACCCCCGCTACTCCGCGGAGTCCACCGACAGCGTCCGCACCACCACGGTAACCGTCACCGCTACGGCCCAATCCTCGACGGCGAAGGCCCGATGATACGCGTCGTGTGCGTTCGTCGACCTGGCTCTTAGTGCGGTCGTTCACACTGCACCTACCCATCCCACTACATTTCAGATCGGGAGCGTACCCCCATCGCTTTCGGCGCCGCCCTCGTCTTCACCTTCGCCTCTACCTTCGACTTCGAATCGGGTTCTCGCCACCATCACACTAAGTACATACGCATGCACGCCGCACACGCACTACGGGACGACCCACTGACGCACACACCCACGCTCGAAGAACACGCTGGGACGGAATTCGCCATCGGATTGCACATCGTAGGATCACTTCCTTAACATCCTTTTAATATATGCAACGGGTTACCACCAGGCCGAAGGAGATGTAGGGGTAGGGAGAAGGGTGCGTTCACATCGGGCGTTAGGTGTACACTGAGGTTCTCAGTACGCTCGACAGTATCCTAGCATCAGCATTAGCACTGCATAATCGTAGTTAATACCCTTGTTTGTCCAGCATCACTGTTGCACAGCGTCTGCAACCGGACGTAGATGAGCTTTCTTTGAGGTTCGAGGTCAAGATCTCATGTACAGGGGAGCCGATCGGGACCAACACATTTGCCCAACTCCTGCAGCTGAAAAGTCTGGTATACGCCCGCGGCCGTCCCGCTACGGGGGAAATCATGTTGATCGCGACCTCGACATCGTCAGAACATGTGGCCTTTTTCTTCTTGTAACTAGACCAGGCCAAGAAAGTCGAAGGCCACGATGCGTCCTACCACAAGAAGGCCCAACGTCGTTCTGCCGGATAGAGTCCATTAATGATTATTGATGATTAAGGTATCATAGCATTGACCCGCTGCTATAAGCAGAAGTTTGTATGGATACAGCGTCCGTCTTTTGCGTGATCATACATGCGATATCTGAGTAGAGTCCGTGAAGTTGTCCTTCGTAAAGAGTGTCGTGAAAATGAAGAGCCCCATGCAACAAGCTGAAGCTTAAGCACAGAGTACGGTAGCCACCCTCAGGGATAAAAGTCTAGCTTACGCTCTACACCCCCCAACAATGCAAAGTGAGAGGGGACAGCCTGAACGGCACTGACCCACCGATCCGCGGGCGTTCGCTTCGCAGGTAGCTCGGGCTATTGCAATGTCTCCCGTACAGGACGAAGGATCCGCGAGTGGGGCCGTCCGAATGGCGATGGGGGAGCCTCTCCCTCGTAAAGTGCATCGATGAGCTTCAAGTACTGGGCGGTGCTTCGACCTTCCGCATCAACGTACGTGGTGTGGTGAGCCTTCTGGTACGCACTGGAGAGTTGCCGAGATAAGCCCCTCAGCTTCGGCCATGACCCTGCAGTGAGGAATCCCGCGTTTGCGCCGAGGAGGGCGGCAAACAAAGAAAGGAAGCTGTGGAGAGCGGGGAGGAAGTCTGCGGATGCGCAGCCTTGCGGGGAGGTCCCGTCGGCGAGCATCCTCTTGAGATCCCCGATCACGATATCCACCAGGTCTCGCACCGCATCCACAATGTCTTCGGCACATAAACTGACTGTAGGCGGTAGTGCGAGGACCATCGAGATGGCCAGCCTAGCGATGAGTAGTGATGCGTCGCTGGCGGTCCCAAAGTAGAGCCTCGCAAGCCTCGTGTAGTCGACGACGGTCATGATATCTGCGAAAACGTAGTCCATTAGAAACGTGGACTGAATCTCTTGCCGAACATCGCGACACGCACCTTCTCTATCGACCGCATTTGGTGGGATCTTGTCCCCCAGGTAAGCAAGGATGGAGAAGACCGATTTTTGCACGTTACTCTCCTTCTTCACATACTCGTATTGCGGTTTCCGTATGTAGGACAGAAGGACATTGAAGATGCGCTCGTACCTCTCGTGGAGAAACGTGCAGTGATTCCTCGTAAAGATGAGCCGCTGAAGGACTTCAAGGACCTGCTCGTGCGCCACTCGATGCTCCTGGAAGCGCTTCTCCGACTCGCAGGTTTGCCTACTCAACGACAGCTCCTCTCTTTCGAGCATGTCGAGAAGGATGTCGGCGGACACTTGGCAAGTGTCGCGGTCGAGGTCGTAATCCCAGTCAGGTAGCCCTCGACGATCGACCGCATCCGCACGGCGGATGAGGATGCGCAGGAAGCAGCCAATGCTTGCATCGAGTGGCAAAGAGAGGAGGCATGGTCGGACGACATCTTGCAAGGCCACCGGATCCATCTTCGCGCTGTCGTACTCGTCAAGAAGATCGGCCTCGTGCGTACTCCTGCAGGACAGAAGCGTCGCCTCTTCGCGCTCCTGCCAGCTCCAGTGAGACTTCTTGTTTCCCCTCCGTTGTAGCCAGGTGCGCGCCGACTGGGCGCACGACCTCAGCCAGCCACCGGATAGAGGACCCCGGGAGAACGAGCTCCGACCTGTGGCCACCGAACTTCCTGGAGCTGAGGCGCGGCCATACTCCGGGTCAGATTTGCGTCCAAAGGTGGTATCTGCCGACGAGGGCCATAGGAAGCGTTCGGCTGAGCGCGCGATGGCTCGGCCCACCCAGCATATGCCTTGAACGCAGATGAACACGGCGAAGGCCTGAGGCGAGCGGTAGGGGCAATTCTCCGATAGAGAGGGCAGGATAGTGGTAGCGAGGGAGAAGATGAAGATGAAGCCGATCATACACAGCGCGACCAGTCCAACCTTGAGGTCGAGGCCTATGAGCATCCTGGATAGCCCAGCGCAGAATAGGGTAAGCGCGGCCAGAAGGAGTAAAGGAAGCGCAGTCCTAATGGCGTGTACGCGCCATAGGCGGAAGGCAGCGTGACGATGTTGTCTTGCACGAGCGTGCTTCTGAGAGATACGGGAGCGAGGATGGGTCAGCAGGCCGCGGGAATAATCCCCCAGCCACTGCTTCACGAGGATGCCCACGAAGGCCACGCCTAGGCTGAGGATGAGACTGGCGAACCAGAGACCGTTGATCTCGATGTTGTGGCGGGTGGGGACAAAAGGCTCTTCAGTCGGCTCCGTGATATCTCCAGAAGAATTCCGCAGCTGGGCGGAAATTCGCTCGAGAACGACCACTGTGGCGGCAAGAGGTTCGGGTCGAAGTGATTTAACGGACTCCACAAGGAACCCGGTCACGACTGAAGAGAAAAGGCCCGCCTTTTACATGGGGAGCAGTCAATGGCAGGTGCTTATGTCGTCGGAAAGGAAGCAACTCACAAATACAAGCAGTGTGTCGATGTCTTCCTTCCATCGCTTGATGTTCGCCTGATCTAGCTCCATCATTGCACGGGCGCATTCAGACCACGACTTAATGGCATCGCGGTCAGGTAGGTTGCTGCCACTCCCCTCCTAGAGGAGTGGATGCATGAGATGAGAGCAGGAATGCCAGGAGATCCCTCGTACCTCCTCAGATTGTCCAGAAGCCTGCGTGGCTTGTCGTCGCCTTGGCGGACGGGGCGACGCCTGAGCAATGCAGGGGTTCCTCTTCCCTGAATGTGGGTCCTCTAGCGAGAACTTTGGAGAGGCATCTGGAGGTTGGACATGGATTTCAAGAGCGTATGGTTGCGGTGTATCACAGACGGTGGTCGTTTCCGAGAAGTCATGAACTTCCTTATCGACTGGAGCCAATCTATGACGGTTATGAGTTTCGCGCGCGTAATGTAGTCCAGCACCAATCATGTTGTATGGGCTCGCCTGAAAACACGTCAGCGACATATAGTCTGACATTGTGTCTTGCTATACTCACAAGCGAATCGGGTCCAGCCGGCGTCGCTGCGTAGTTGAGGAAGTCGGTGGACGACACCTGGTCGATCCCAAGCATAGACTGTCCGTCGGAGGCCAGAAGTGACACTGGGCTTAGTTCAGACATAGAGACAGAATTCAGAAGAACAAGGAAGAGGCGGAGCCCTTGAGCGAACCGGTCGCAGAGGTAATGCGGAACTCTATACTCTCTGCGGTTGATTATATATCCCGCCATGGGCTCTTCGCCCTTCTTCCCGATTCCGTGGTGCTCGGTATGGATGTGTGAATTCACGAGACTATGGTGGGAGAGCGGTCGACTCTTCCAGTGACATTTGCGTCAAGTTGATGGCCTTCGGATTGAGGATCTTCTCTGTCTCATCAGCCATTCAGCCGATGCAAAGGCAAGCTCAGGAGCAACCGGTACTATTGTACGCGGTTGCTGATGTGGTGCGCAACGAGGATGAAGGTCGTAAGCAAGTGACATCGTGTGTCATTACGTGAGGCGCACATACAATTACAAGAGTACCCCAATATGGCAATCACGTATGACAGTGGTTCCCTGTAGGTCCGCTACATAGATCAGGCGCACTTTGTACTTGCTTCGCGGAGACTACAACACGCTCACGATCGGTGCTCCGCGACGGTCATGCTGCTCAAATCCGAGGCAGACGTTGTAGCGATCCCCATGGTCACTTGACGTTCGCCCCTCCCCTGAGACTGTTCGAGCTCGCGGAGGCGCTGCTGAGCGCGACCCTTCCGCCGCTGGTCGAGTTCTGTTCGGGTGCCTGCCTAGGTATGGGATACCGACCTCGCGATAGCAAACGGCATGATTGCGACCGTCTCCTGCGGCATTGTAGTCCATTTCATGCACTTGACATTTCCGAGGTGTCAGCACTCTGCTGCCACGATTACAAGGGGACATGGGAAGTGGTACCTGTATGACAATAAGCAGAAGGACGGTGCAGTCAGGAGTGTAGTATGAAACGTCGGCATTCTAGGACATGAGTGGCATCAATGTGTAAAGATGTGTATTTGCTAAGCGATCAGCGGCGGCGGGGCGACGCAGAACGGGTGAACGCTGAAAGCAGGGAGCACGAAGTGCATAGACATGGACACATGTATTGATCACCTATCCCCTGTTCGACCTCGTGCTGTCTTATATCTTTCAACCTTCGCCGTGAACAATAAGTCCCAAGCGACCATGATCTCCTCCTTGCCGTTGATTATGACTCGCGCCGAGATCAATGAAGACTCGCTATTCGACATATTCCGCGTCAGTTCCTACGCAAGTACGACGAAGGGAACGAGGGACGCACATAAATAAAACCGTGTCGCGCAATGCGACCTTCGCCCATGTATGCTCGCATGCCGAGCCCAGACGAATCCGTCCAATGCGCCTCTTGCTGGAGGAAGGCGTGCCAAGTACACGCACCGCGCGGGACGTTCACGTCTCCCGTAATCTTCCACGCTCGAATCATGGAGTCCGCGACGTTGTGTTCAAGGAATAGACACTCCGTCCCGTGCGGACCATAGTCCCCCAACCAGAGACCCACGAGACTCTCCGGACGCCAGTTTTGCGACGCTGGATCTTCGCCTTCCTGCATGACTGTCCGTAGCGGGTAGTAGCGCGGAACGATCACTGAGTAGGGGCTGCTGAGAGGGTGCATGGTATTATGGAGGTCAGGCAGGTGTACTTCCGAGGGCTCGTCGGATGGAGGGGGGAAAATGGCGATGGATGCGGGCTTGGGGGTACCCTCAACATAGTGTACGTCGCCTGGATAGAACCAACGACGCTGAGTGGGGATGATGGGTGGAGGGCCTTCCTGTCGGAGGCGGGGTACCCCTCGCTTGGCGTCGTACCAGGGGGTAGACGTCGACTCCGGGAACTCGGGGCTGTGTAAGGGATGCCGAAAAAAGTCGGCAAGCTCGAGAGTCATCTTCGAGGGAGCAATAACACGCAGCGAGGGCGTTCCCATGCGGCGGTTCCATCCATGCGCACCCAAGGTGGCGGGATGCCGTTGTGGACGAGGAAGCCGAGGTCACAGTCAGAGCGGAGATGCCAGCTAACGTGCACGTCGTTTGCTGTCTTTTGAGTGATTTTCTTGCGAGGAGTGAAGCCGATCTGTATAAACTCGGTATAGGTGGGGTAATGAGGACGAGGATTCCCGGCCTCAGTTGAGAATTTCCATACGTCCCCAACAATCGTGGGCTCGCCCATACGCAACCAGTAATCAGGAAGGAGGCGAAGTTCGATGATGTTGCCTTTGAACGGATAATCACTGCACCAAAGTCCTAGGAGATGTCCATATCGGTGGAAAAGGCGACCATAAATCAGGCGGAAAGACCGTCCAAGGAACACGCTGGTGTCGGTGACACCATACGCAGCGCAGAACCGTCGCCAAGTAGCGTTGTCGTCCATCAGCGTGTAGTATAGTCTCTTCGACGTAGAGATGACGCTTAGGATGTCGACAGCAGATATATGTGCGAAGACGCATTGCAGGACATCGTAAGGTAAATCAAGGAAAGGGGATGCAGCCGTCGCCATGAGATGTTCCTGATCAGGAAGTGATGTTAGATGCTGATCCTTATGAGGGTGGAGAAGCAACTCACCTCACAGCATCCACAAGCACTATTACTTGGAGTAGATGAGGGACATGATACAGTGTCTTGAGCGCCCCGATACCCGAATGCGGATATGGGCGCCTCTTCTGGCGGGGTCGTTCGCACTCTGCACGTTGGGAACTTGCTTCTCCTCGTCATCATGTCCACTTGCAACATCCGGCCGCTATCGCGGACGCTACCAACCTCAACGCGTCCAAAGCTCGTGTCGTCTATCCGCACCCGCTTTCACACACCTGCATCATGTCGTGGCAAGGCGACTAAGGCCCCAAGCAGTAAAGGAGCCGCGACCGGTACCTCGCAGGTCTCTCAAGTGGAGAAAGAGACTCTTCCGTGGCAGGAGTACTTGGCTATACGCAAGCGGAAGAGAAGATGGGAGACAGTGCGTTTCCGTTCTGGAACAGCATTTGCACGCTGTCTCCTTGTATCCTCCCAAGGACTGTCCTCACGATCTTCTGCGGCGAACACAGGCAGTGACTATTCCTACTACAGTCGCTGGGTTCGTGGGCGGAATCTCCTACTTCGGAAACCTGGAAATGGACCCTAATAAGCCTATCTTCGTGCGTGTACTGCCTAGGAACTCTTCATGGTGCACTGACGTATGGCTGTACCAGAATGTTGACCCCATGTTCGTCTATGGCGCTGCAACCCTAGGATGTGCAGGTTTGCTGCTCGTTGCTCAAGGCTGTGTATGGACCGTGATATAATCCGCCTTATCTTCTAGGCTTAGGATATCTCATCGGCCCTGTGATTGGGTCGAGCATCTGGCGACTGACCCATCGCCGCCTCATGCGACTCATCGAGAAGCGCGACAAGGAATTCCACCAGCATATAGTCAAGAACCGAGTGGATCCCACTCGCCAGAGCGCGACCAATCCTGTTCCTGACTATTACGGTGAGTGCTATGTTGCCTCAAAGTGTCTTCAATCTCTTATATTCAACTTGTAGGAGAGAAAATTGGGTCCTTGCACGACTATAGGCAGGTAAGCCAAAAACCTTCCGGCTTGGTACTTGCCGTGTATTGACGAATTTTTGTCGTAGTGGCTGAGGGACCAGGCGAAGTTCCGTCGAAAAGCCGCTAGTTTCCTCGCAGAGGATTGAGATCAGACACCCTACATCTCGTAACATACCGCTCATTATCGTAATTGGACTTGCTTCCATCTCTTCTCACAATGCGTTGCGCCCCATGCGTATGTTCCAATGTGACCGCGCCTAGGCTAACTAGCAGGTCGAAGATGCGTAAGTCACAGCCCCGCACGCCGCGGGCACGGTATCGTCACGAGCTCTTCTCGAACGTTAAGACAAGCATCGCTTCATGGTGGGCGGCACGCCCGTGTGTTTGTAGGCGATCGTCCTTGGTCACCGCCCTGGCCTTGCCTTGTGCTTCGCTAGTACTTTGTTTCCTCATAAAGTCTCCCTCGATGCACAGTCCTGCCTCCTCGCCTCTCCTCCCCAGTTCCATGGAGGCACCTGTCGAGTCCAGTCTCGCCCCTGCTACCCCTTCGCAAGCTCACTTGCACTTTTCTCGGCCTTCGGACCGGGTGCCGACTTTTGCGCCGGCTCCCGCGGGCAACGAGGCAAGCATCCAGGAGGGGCACACTGGGACATCATCTGGATACATCCTGTCACTGCACCTCACTCTCCATGCGTTCTGGGAGGTCTTAGGCTATGTGCCGCGGAGGGATCTGCCTCTGGAGAGCTGGGCACTTGGACGGTTCGTCTTCTCCTGGATGCTTGCCCTGCCACAGGTATGTATATCCCTCTGCCGTGCATTTGTCCTCCCTATCCCTGCAGCCTCAAAACTCTACTTGTTCCCTTCTTCCGCTCCTGTAGGACGGGATTCTGTTGACGAAGAACATCTTAGATCTTGGCTATCATCATTGTCATCGCGCTTGCTTCGGGACACCCATCTCCACGTTATGGCCCACATTCCCCTGGCGCGCATCCTCCGCAGACAGGACGTGGCAACTGCAGCTCGATGTCACCATTAAATATATTCTGGCTCGCGAAGCTTATGCTGCAATGTTACGTCGACGGTTGGTTCCTACTTCATCGTTGGAAGACGTAAGTCAATGTCGCGTTATAGTGTGAGCCAGTGCGCTGATCCATCCTGTAGTGGGCGGGAGCCTATCCAGGGACCACCTGTGATTTGCCCGCCTGACCACACCGCGCTTGTCAGTGTGTACGTATACGATAGTTTCATGTTTGCCATGTCGTGGGCTTAATTCTATGCCTCCCTCAGCCTCTCCTTTATCGACGTCGCCTGCGTCTCCATATGGATCTTCGTCGAATGCTTTGCTATAGGCGAGGATGGGCCTCGATGCCTCGCCGGGGAGCCTCGTATTTTCGTCGTTGGAATCGTAGTTTTCGTACTCGCCGTCATGTACTACTTTCCGACGAGTCTGATGTATGTGAGTATGCCATCTCGCCCAACCCCCTGTACCTTATCTGACCCCGCGATTCAGTGCATACGCAGATCTCGAGAACCTCGACCCGGCTTCCCTGATGACAACGTCGAGATGGTTGGACCGATCTCGCAGAAGACAGCCGCCCGCCTCGCCCTCCGTTTCTACATTCCCCAGCCAGAAATGTCCTCGGCACCTTCTCGCCCCGTAGGGCCTGCCGCGTTCTTACGACCTATCGGACGTAGGGAGCTCGACAACTGGGACCAGAAGTTCAGGTCTATGGAGCACCCCTTTCTCCGCCTTCCAAAGGCTGAGGCGAAATGTTTGTTCTGCTTGGACGACTACGTGGAACCTCCCCGTGTGCTGCCAGTCGCCGTGGAGGGCTCCTCGAGCCAACTCGACCATGCAGAGACACAAGGTATACCTGTGCCTTTGAGACTGTTGGCTTGTGGGCATCACTTCCACGTGAGTACTTGTCCTCTGCAACTTGATGGAGATGTTCGCTGACTGGCGTTCCTCGTTACAGAAGGAGTGTCTTGATCGTTATATCACACAAGTGTCTGCACGATGTCCAGTCTGTCGGGCGCGCGTTCAGGCCCCGCCCTTGCCAGGCAGTAGGTGATGGGGTGATAGGATCTGGCCTCATCCCGGAGGCAATGATGTACATAAACAAGGTCAACACTCGACGACGGACTTGGTTGGCCTCTCTGTCAGTCTTGCGGACATCCTCTGTATCTCTATCGAATCGATGTAACATCTACTGTACATGAACGCCTGTGCACATCGGCATCCCCAGGTTGTACGCTGCGCATAATCCTAGCGCTTGCCTGGGACCTGTCATCTCCGAATCGGATGTGTATATAGCGCTATTGTTCGTGCCTCATGGAGTATTACGGCCTTTGGCAGCTCGTATGCTCTAGAAGTGGTCGCATCCAGTGCGCCCTATCAGAGCCTCGTCCCTCATATTCTTTGACAAGGTTCTGTCCTAGTCCATCTACATCGTGGGGCTATGCGGATCTGAGAACCTTACCATGCTTCCTGAGACCACCAAGGTGTCCGCAGGCTATATACCCATGACCATGATGTCCGCTCCGCTCCCCCCTTCCGTTACTCTCTGAGAGGTACTCTATCATCTGTGATCCCTTCGCCATGAGCGTGCGGTCCCCGCCGCTGCCCGAACTCACTACCCATGGCCAGCCTCGCATACCGCCGGCCGCAGCACAGCCGCCGGCTCCTGCCCGTCCTGTCTCTGCCGTCACCGGCGGCGCCACGAATAATGCACAAGCACGCGCGCCGGAGACCAGATCTGCTTTCCAAAGGGCCAAGTTGTGGGTGAAGGGGCTCCTTGGGTATGCCGGCTCGAGACGGGCGCAGCGGGATCGTCGGGAGGTTGTGGGCCTTATCCTGTTTTTGATCTACTCGGTCGCACAGGTGTGTGGTCATGGTCGGAGCTGTACATGGTCACCTGAATGCTCTTCTTCAACACGACAATCGATGTAGATTATCGTCATCCTGACGCTGACCACCCTCGGGGCGACGACTACCAGTCCTGTCCCCGTTCCTGACACAACCCCTCCTGTGCCACAGAGTGAACTAGCAGCTTGTTCACTGCTTGGCGCGTGGAATCTTATATGGCTAGGGAGGACGATTGTCAGATGCTATCTCGAAGTATGGCTCTTCAGATACAAGAGACAACTGTGAGATTTCGCTGTTCGTCGTGGTCACGAATGGCCGACGCTCACGAGCGGTCGTGGATATCAGCAGGCGAGCGCGTAGAGCCGCGAGGCAACGTGCTCCCCGCGCAGACCTTCCACCGCTTGCATTCCAGCAGGGTGAACAACAAGTTGGTCCTCAGGGAGGAAACGGTGCTGCTGCAGAGGAGCCAGCGCCGGCACCCATCTGTCCATTGACGTGGACGTCAATCCGTTACGGGTATGTCTCCGCTCTTTCAAAATGTTCTAAATGGATTGTGGGGAGCTCATGGTTACCACCTGCCATAGCTTGTACAAAGCGGATCCCTTCTTCACCATCGTTTGGTTCTTCACTACTGTGCTTGTTAGCTGGGAACATGGCTCCCGCTGTCGTGACGCCGCCAAGGACATCTCAGCGATCACCTACACCTTGCTTCTCATGGTGTACGTCCAATATGTCTTCACAACGCTCATTCCGGTACGTGTCCCAACTCTCCTAGCGCGACGGCATGGTGTCTTCAACCTTCTCCCACTTGTTGCAGACAATCCGCCTGATTCAAGCGAGGAGGCGGGCCAATCGGCCAGTGGTTGGAAAGCTGTCGAAGAAGGATGTCGACCGAATACCACTGGTTCTTTACATCCCTCCTCCGCCGGGCGACACGCCTGCCAGCCCCATCTCCCCACTTCCGCGGTCTGTCACGTATCCCATACCCAGTCCAAGGCCCCCTCCACCTTCGTCTTTAAAGCGACGTCGCTTTATTCCCTTTCGTCCGAGCCTAAAAGGCCACGACACCAAGGCAGATCTAGCAGACCTCGAGAACGGCGAGGGGCTCATGAGCCCCATCGATGAGGAACTCGACGAGTGGGAGCGCAGTTGGGAACGCGGGTCGTACCCTTTTGTTCGCCTCCCAGAGAACCGGGCGACGTGCATGATCTGTCTATCGGAGTTCGAGGCCCCTATGAGAGTGAGCGAAGGTGCGAGGCAGCCTGTATCGGAAGGCGGTGGGCTCGAGATGCGGCCGCTCTCCGCTACGCTGGAGGGGGGTCCCGTTGAGGAGCTTCGGGTTGAGTCTCCTAGGGATGCGGACGCTCGTGCGATCCAGCTCGCCGATGGGGGCAGCAGCGACGCACCGCAGCCATTGAGGCTGCTGAGCTGCGGGCATGCGTACCACGTAAGTTCCGAGCCCGAGTGTCCCCCTTCCCTTTGCTGATCTGCATTTGTCGCTTTCCAGAAAGACTGTGTGGACCCGTGGCTAACGCAGAAGTCTGGGCGATGTCCGTACTGTTCGGCCCGTGTTGAGATTCCTCCCGCACCGGGGAGGAGGGACAGTATCTGGAGGAGAGGGACTGTATGATTGTCGCCAAGCCTGTATAACATGTACATGTCTTGGAACACGGACTTGGTCTGCTGATCGTTTTGCATTCACTACGCTTGCGTTGCTGTACTCATTGCTTGAAATTGAGGAGGAGGTTCAGGTTCTCAGCGAGCCTCATTGCTCTGATCACTGGTCCGACCCCGCAAAAAGGCAGAGGCGATCCTGGACCGGGATCGAGCCTCACATCCGGATGGGATTGTCCTCCGGCCACGAGTGGAGGGCTTAAGGAATAAGATCGCAGGTTAGAATACAGGAACACAACACGATACTATAGGCATTGGCTCCCAATAGCAGTCCAACGCTCTTCCGGCTGAGCAATCGAAGGTGGCTTGCTGTTAAACCATGACTGACATGCTATCGGAGCGCCCTTTTCGTTGCAAAGACTAGTATATCGATCAGCGCTCGCCATGTATGGCGTGGCTAGCGCTTCGTTCGGTGCCCCATTCCGTTGTCCAGGCGGCGGCCAATCAGCGAGCGCTGCATCTGCACTGGAGTGTGGGGGAGCTTTTCGGCCTGATACGAGGGTACTCCGAGGCGGTTATCCGAAACATGTTCTGAGGTGCGAGTCATCTAAACATGATTTGCTAAAGCGTTCACAGGCGATATGCACTAATGGCACGCTACTTATACCGGTGCTGCCCTCAATAGACACCACTCCGCGCCAGCTGTTGGATTGTTTCCCCCTGTCTTGTCCTGTGTGCTGGTGAGTTTGACATGACCGAGCTCTGTGCAACTTTCTAATGTTTGCCCTATCTCAGGACACTAGAGTATGCCCAACATGCCTTCCTGCATCCGTCTGCCCCCGGAGCTCTGCGACCAGACGATAGACCACCTCTGGGACGATCTCGAGTCCCTCCGTGCGTGCAGTTTGACATGCAAGGACTGGCTTCCAGGCAGTCGGTACCACCTTTTCCGCAATGTCCGTCTTCGGCACTCGGACGACGTAACCCGCTTCCGCGCCCTCCTCACTTCCTCCCCCGGAATCGCCCCATGCGTCCGCAAGCTGTCCCTTAGCGCTGATTATGACCGGAGCGCAGAAGACGGTGCCGCACGCGAGGACGACGCATGGGTCAACAGCGCAGCAGAGCTCTTTCCGATGCTCCAGCATGTCACGACGCTCGCGCTCGCGCGCGTGCGCTGGCACGCCCTGAGTGGAGACACACGTGCAGCGTTTGCGGGGTTGTTCAAATCTGTACGCCAGCTCTTCCTCTTCGAGGTCTCCTTCGACGCATCGCGCGATGTGGTCGCCTTCCTCTCCGCATTCCCCGCCCTCCAAGAGCTCTACTTCCAGGCCGTTTCCTGGGCGAACGACTCCCCCTCCCCCTTCGACGACCCGGGGGCGGAGCTGCGGCCAGACGCGATGCTCGACACGTCGCGGATGCAGCTCTCCTACCTGTTCCTCGACCCCAAGTCCTCCCCCACGCTCGTCACCGAATGGCTCCTCCAGCGGCCCGACGAGCAGCGCCTGCAGACGATCCAGCTCTGCTGGCGCGAGCTCGACAACACCAAGTCCGTCGGCGACCTCCTCCAGGCGAGCGGCTCCTCGCTCGAGTCCCTCCAGGTCGAGTTCCCCGCCGGCCTCTCCGCGGACGCCGCGATCCAGAACCACCTGAGCCTCGCGCACAACACCGGGCTGCGCGCGCTGCACTTCGGGGGCCTGGACGTGCGGGCGTCGAGGGGGTTCGTGTCGAACAGGCTCTTCCCGTGGGTGACGGTCATGCTCTCGCAGGTGCGCTCGAGGCACCTGCAGGAGGTGTCGTTCGCACTTGAGATCGCGTCCGTGGATGACTTGCTTGCGCTGGATTGGGCACGGATCGACCGCGACTTGAGCAGAGAGGAGTTCCACGGGCTCATGGTCATGTTCTACGTGTCGTGCGAGCGCGAGGGCGTTGATAAGGAGGTGCGGAGGGAGATCTCGGAGCGGCTGGGCGGGTTCCAGAAGAGGGGCACGCTGTGCATCTCGTGCATTTAGATTCCTGCTAGACCGTTTGGGTGTTTCGGTTGTCTTTTTCATTGGGTCTTAGGCTGTTGCGCTACTAATCTTGCTACATCTACTCCTATTTACTCTGCAGCGCATGCTTGTGCTTATCATAGTGTCCCTGCTGGGCGGGGCTTTAATGTACATATAGGGCGTGGCCTGTGGTCACAGTGCGGTGTATACAGAATCACTGCGATCGTGCAAGAACCTCTGCATTAACCGTGGTCTACACACCAACAAAGTACCTTTAGCCTACACTTCTTGTATACTGCGATCGTCTATCATCTAACTCTACCCGAGCCCGCACTCGCCCCAGTCTATTGCAAGGAGTACGTATTATGCAAACCTACGGTACTGTCCGCCCCGTTCATCGGCCCACTGCATCCCACCGCTGCCTCCCGACTCTCAACCGTGCCGTTTGGCTCGTGCTTGACCGCCCCTCCTCCCTTGCCCTCCATCGTACCCAGTCCCCCCAGCTCCATCCGCCGCTTGACGTTGTCCGCGCGGAGCTGCTCGAGCGACTGGAGGTACTCCTCGTCGACCCCGCCCGTGACGTACTCCCCCGTGAACACCGAACAGTCGAAGTGCGCTAACGCCGGATTGAACTGGCGCACGGACGCGATCAAGTCCGGGAGCGTCTGGAAGATGACGAGGTCCGCGCCGATCGCGGCGGCGATCGCGGCGTCGTCGCGGTTGTGCGCGACGAGCTCGCCGCGCGAGGGCATGTCGATCCCGTACACGTTCACGTGGCGAATGGGCGGCGCGCACGACGCGACGATGACGCGCTTCGCGCCGACGTCCTTGGCCATCTGGACGATCTCCTTGGACGTCGTGCCGCGGACGATGGAGTCGTCGACGATGAGCACGCTCTTGCCCGCGAACTCGAGCGCCATCGCGTTGAGCTTGCGGCGGACGTTCTTCCTGCGCATCTGCTGGCCGGGCATGATGAACGTGCGGCCGACGTAGCGGTTCTTGATGAAGCCCTCGCGGTAGGGCAGGCCGAGCTTCTGCGCGAGGTTGAGCGCGGCGACGCGGGAGGTGTCCGGGACAGGGATGACGACGTCGACGGAGAGGTTGTGCTGCGCGAGGACGCGCGCGACGGAGTCCGCGAGCGCGTCGCCCATGGCCATGCGGGAGCGGTAGACGGAGACGCCGTCGAGGACGGAGTCGGGGCGCGCGAAGTAGACGTACTCGAAGATGTCGGGGGCGAAGGTGGCCGGCGGGGAGACTTGGCGGCGGGTCACGCCGTTGCGGGTGATGATGATCGCCTCGCCTGGGGAAGGTGAGGTGCGTCAGAGGGACGCTCCTGCGAAGAGGGAGGACGAGGGAGAAGACGTACCAGGCTTGACGTCCTCCCACTCGGAGAAACCACTCGCGTCCGCGACGACGCTCTCGCTCGCGAACAGCCAGTCCTTGCCCTCACCTCCCCCGAGGGCCTTCCGGGAGCCCATCCCGAGCGGGCGGATGCCGTTCGGGTCGCGGAACGCGATGATACCGAAGCCGGCGAGCATGGCGACGCACGCGTACGCGCCCTTGACTTGCTCCATGAGGCCGCCGACGGCGGTGAAGATGTCCTCCTCGTTGATGCGGAACTTGCCCGTCTTCTGGAGGTTGTCAGCGAATATGTTGAGGAGGAGCTCCGAGTCGGAAGTCGTGTTGATGTGCCGGTGGGCGACGGCGTCCATGAAGTGGAGGAGGGACGCGGTGTTGATCAGGTTGCCGTTCTGGGAGGATGGTAAGCTCTTCAGAAGCCATGCCTGAGGGGGGGGGGAGCGGAAGGTAGGGTAACGGATCAAAGCACTCACATGCGCCATGACGATACCGTACGGAGAGTTGACATAGAAGGGTTGTGCCTCGGCATGGTTCGAGCTGCCGGCAGTCGGATACCGCACTGTATGATGGTGAGGTCCTTAGGTTCGCAAATGTATGCGTCCGAGGTGGGACATACCATGGCCGACACCCATCCCGCCGATCAGCTTGGAAATAGCTGTGGCGTCGAAGACATCTCTGACCATTCCGTTTGCCTTGCACTGGTAGAAACGACCCTTGTGACCGCAAGTGACGATACCGCACGCATCCTGGCCACGGTGCTGGAGAAGGGAGAGACCTTCGCAGATCTCAGAAGCAGCGTCGATCGTCGGATCGTGCAGAAGCAAGCCTAGGATACCACACACTGGGAGCAAGAAGGGGTCAGATTCAAGGCTCGGGGAAGGGTCATATAAGTGCTTACTGGCTGGATGGACCGGGGCAGGTGGCCTGGGGCGGAAGCAGGGACGAAGGGACTATGAAAGTGCGCAGCGGTAGGCTGGAGCATCGCGTTTCCTCTCTCTGCCCGAGACGATCGTCCGCCTGCTTCACCTCCCGTCCTCTTCCAATTTTTCTGGTAGCCCGGTCCGCTCCCCCCGCAGATGTCGGTCCCTGTCCTCGGGGTCCCCCTGGAGCCAGAAGAGGCGCCCAGCTATCGGCCGAGGCTCCAGTACTGGTGACCCCCTTCCGGTCGCTATGCTCGTACATGCGTAATAGACGGTGTGCACGGGCAGCTACATAAAAATGAGCCAAGGGGACCGCATACAGCAGGGCCATAGGCTGTAGAGTGTGTGATTGGCAGACAACACGCGTCGGGGGCGAGCATGTGTCGGGACAGGCCGGCTCGGGAGGTCGGAGCTTGAAAAGCGAACTTTATTCCCCTACGTGTCGGCAGTTGCGAGCTCTCACCACCGCTCACTCCAACTTCACTGTCCACGTCCACGATGCTCACCTCGCGCGGCGTCCACCGTCTCTCTCGTAGAGCACTGCAGAGTGCGAAGAGGACAAACGCGTTCTTCTCCACTGCTGTCGCCGCGCCCGCCATTGCCAGGGCTGCGTCCGCTCCTTCCTCATCACAACGCGCCCTCCCCCGCTATGCCCCCGCGTCGCAGTCTGGTTTGTCTTCCTGCTTTACCTGCAGGAGTATTGTCCAGTCCTAACCCGGGTTTTCTGTCATTTTCTGTGCCGTTTCCCCCGTGTAGCACGCTCTTACGCGACCGAGGCGACTGGCACCACTGGCCACGTAAAGACCGTCATCGGTGCTGTTGTTGACGTGCAGTTCGAGACTGAAAACCTTCCCCCCATTCTCAACGCGCTCGAGGTCGTTGACTTCCACGGTGGTCGTCTCGTCCTCGAGGTCGCCGCCCACCTCGGTGAGAACTCGGTCCGCACCATCGCTATGGACGGTACCGAGGGTCTCGTCCGTGGTCAGAAGGTCGTCGACACGGGTGCCCCCATCCGTATCCCCGTCGGTACTGCCACCCTCGGCCGTATCATGAACGTCATTGGCGAGCCCATTGATGAGCGTGGTCCCATCAAGGGCGTCAAGCTTTCTCCCATCCACGCTGACCCCCCCGCGTTCGTTGACCAGTCGACTACCGCTGAGGTCCTGGAGACCGGTATCAAGGTCGTTGACCTCCTCGCACCATACGCTCGTGGTGGAAAGATCGGTCTTTTCGGTGGTGCTGGTGTCGGCAAGACCGTGCTCATCCAGGAGCTCATCAACAACGTCGCCAAGGCGCACGGTGGTTTCTCCATCTTCTGCGGTGCGTCATACGCGTTTTCATCCTGATGATGTATTCCTCATTTTATGGATAGGTGTCGGTGAGCGTACCCGTGAGGGCAACGATCTCTACCACGAGATGATCGAGACCGGTGTCATCAACCTCGAGGGTGACTCTAAGGTCGCTCTTGTCTTCGGTCAGATGAACGAGCCCCCTGGTGCCCGTGCCCGTGTCGCACTTACTGGCCTCACCATTGCGGAGTACTTCCGTGATGAGGAGGGCCAGGACGTGCTTCTCTTCATTGACAACATCTTCCGATTCACCCAGGCCGGTTCGGAGGTGTCTGCTCTGCTCGGTCGTATCCCCTCTGCCGTCGGTTACCAGCCTACGCTCTCGACGGACATGGGTGGCATGTACGTGGCAGATCATGATTGGCGACGTTGGCATGATGGTCTAACCTGTGTCGCTCGAATAATAGGCAGGAGCGTATCACCACCACCAAGAAGGGTTCCATCACCTCTGTGCAGGCCGTGTACGTTCCCGCTGATGATTTGACGGATCCTGCCCCGGCTACGACTTTCGCCCACTTGGATGCCACGACTGTATTGTCGCGTTCGATTGCTGAGCTTGGTATCTACCCTGCGGTCGACCCTCTCGACTCTAAATCCCGTATGCTCGACCCTCGTATCGTCGGCCAGGAGCACTACGAGGTCGCGACTGCCGTCCAGAAGATCCTTCAGGACTACAAGTCGCTCCAGGATATCATTGCTATCCTGGGTATGGACGAGTTATCTGAGGAGGACAAGCTCACTGTGAGTAAAGCCTGGCATGTGTCACATGGACCCCCTTCTGACTCCTCTCGGCCAGGTTGAGCGTGCGCGTAAGATCCAGCGTTTCATGTCGCAGCCCTTCGCTGTCGCGCAGGTCTTCACTGGTTTCGAGGGCCGTCTTGTGCCCCTCAAGGACACCGTCCGCTCCTTCAAGGAGATCCTCTCCGGCGCACATGACAACCTGCCCGAGTCGGCCTTCTACATGGTCGGCACTATTGAGGATGTCAAGGCGAAGGCCGAGCAGCTCGCGAAGGAGATTGGCGAGTCGTCATGAGCGGATGCTTAGCCTATAGTACTAGCTTGTTCTCTGGCGGACCGGCGACAACGACGACAGTGACGACGTGACGTGTCATACGGTGGTGCAGGGCTGGCTCCTTTTACCTTAGACCTTGCATTACCAATAAAATGAACCGCATCTGCTAATTCTCGACATTCCCATGTGCCTCTTTCGTACTGCCGTGCTCTGTTCGGATGTTGTTTGCATTAGTCGTAGAGTCACCGTAAGACAAGAAATAGATACATGGTTTGCCCATGCGGTCCATCCAATCGTTCGGAAACAGTCGTGTTTCCGACAGAAATGAGGTCAGGAATCAGACTTTTTATTCACGGCGTAGGTGTGGCCACGTAGACGCTGGTCGGCCTGCAAGATTTCATGCGTGCACAGCCACCGTGTGCTGCATTCCACCTTCCTCCAGACCACAACCTGAGCCTTAGCTCATCGTTGGCTCATCTGCAAGCCATCTCGCGACTTGTACCAGCCTCTGTTGTCTTTCTAGACTTCTACTTTAAAAGTACCATCAAGTCATCGCACAGCGGAGCATAGAGCCCTCTTGCTTATAATCTTGTCCCAGCCTAAGCGCTAGGATTCCCGACCACGCCGCTCGTCTACTTCCCGTGGCGTTACCTGACATGGAGGACCTCTACACCGCCCTGAAGAATTTCCTGCCAGTAGGGGTCATCACTCTGCGCATCGGATCTCCAATCCTCGGTTTTTCAGGCCGCCATCAAGACTCGGAGACGGCGGAGGACGGCTGGACGCCCTTCCCACAATCCTTCCGGGCCGCCGACATTGTCGACGGCGAGGGTTTCTTGGAGACGCTCGAAGCGCTAGACTTCCTCGTCCGCCATCGGTTCGTCGCCGCAACGTACCTGGTACACGATGCACAGGCGCAGTTGTTTGTGCGGGTCTACTTGATTCCTTGGGACCTCCCTGGGTCGAGTGGGAAGCTGCGGAGGCGGGACGAGGACACGGTGCTGCGGCCTGGCCGCAGGCGGCTGAAGGACCTCTTCCCGAGGATCAAACAGGACCGCTCGCTTTGGGATGGGCACCCGGCGTCTTCGTCTACCCCTATTTTTTTCTGGCCGAAGAATGCTGTATGCGCCTTGCGATAGATACTTGGAGTGGTTATGAGCTGACGTAATGTTGTAGGACAATCGCTCCCTCTTGGACATCTACAACGACTTGCCGTCTCCCGCGTCGGAAGATCTCGTAGGGGAACTGCCTGGCTTGCGGAGCACCTTGTACCCGTACCAGCGGCGTACTGTCTCGACTATGATGGCACGCGAAACTCGCGCTGACACAATTGCAGACCCGCTATACTTGGCTTTGCACGGGATGGACGGGAGGGTATTCTACCTCCAGCCAGCCACCTTCGAGATCGTTACTGAGCTCCCTCGGCTGTCGCCCGTTCCGGGCGGCATCCTATGCGAGGAGTTGGGTCAGTATAGAAGCTTCTTTCCCGTCCATAGTGATGCTGATTCCGTGGCTCAAATCAGGTACCGGCAAGACCGTGATGATGCTCTCGCTCATCCTCGCAACGCTTGACGACCTCTCTTCCCCAGAGGCAACCTACCACGAGGAACGTGTCCCGATGACTCCGCTCGCCATCCGACACTTTCAGACTCCGTCCGCCACGGCGGAGCGCAAGAAGCTCCCGAAGAAGGGCAAGGCCTACCGCGACGTTGGTGTCCCGTCGCTCACCGAGATCATGTTGCACCAACTCCGCGTGTGCCCCAACTCCCTCAGGCTCCGCAACCAGCAAGACGTCCTCGAGCAGCGCAACCTCTGGGAACCTCTCCGCGCCAACGTGCCGTTCTACTTGCACACTGAACCCCGGCGGGACGACGTGGGGTGGTACCAGGCGAGGAGCGGGAGCGTCTCAAGCCCCAAAGTGATGTACTTGACGACGGCCACGCTGGTCGTCGTACCGGACAATTTACATATGCAGTGGGCGAGCGAAATTTTGAAGCACTGCACGGACTTTTTGCGGGTGCTGGTGGTGAAGAATAAGGAGGAGCTGCCGGATGCGCCGGTGCTTGCGACTGACTATGATGTGAGTCGCTACATGTTTGGCAGAGCCGACTGTACGACCTGACCACATTGCACGAGTAGATCATCTTGATGAGCCATTCTCGTATGTGATCTCGCTCAACGGCATTGGGTTCGTATCCATGAATGTCTACAGGATTCTCGAAGGAGGCGAGAAAGAAAGCTACGGAAGAGTTGTACACGATGCAGCCTTGCCAGTGCAAAACGCTCAGAAATGCTCGTGTGCCACGCTGCAAATGTAGCAGGCTGGAGAACGTGTCACCGCTCCTGCAAATACGATGGAAACGGCTTGTTGTCGACGAAGGTCACAATGCAGCCGAGAAGCGGACCGACTATGCCATCTTCACCAAACTGCTAAGCGTCGAGCGACGTTGGATTGTCACCGGCACGCCTACTAGTAAGTCCTACCCTCCCGAACGGTTGACATTGAAGGCGGTTGTTGTTAATCATACTCGGTTCACTCTAGCGAACCTTCTCGGTCTCAACTTCGGCTCAGGAGATGAACTTCAATACCCGGATGACGACGACGAAGAGGAGGAAGAAAGTAGTGCAAGTAGCGATGACAGCAACGAGCAACGCAAGTGGCATCGCAGCGAGCGGGAAGACTTCCGCAAGCTCGGGACAATGTTCGCAGACTTTTTGCTGATGAATCCTTTCGCGTCGAACTCGAAGACTTTCAGCACGCTGGTTACTGACCCTATCTTCGAGCCTGAGGGTCCCTTTCCTGGGGATATCCAGGTGCTGACGCAGGTTATGGCGTCAGTTATGGTTCGACATCGGTGCGTGCACCAATTGGTTGCAGCTGTACACCGGATCTCACGTTAGCTATTGTTGTGTAGGATTGAGGATGTTGAACAAGACGTTCGTCTACCATTTTTGGAGCACGAGACCATCCTGCTCGACATGGACCCTTATGCGGTCAAGACGTATAACTTGATCCAGGCTACGATTGCAGTCAACGCAGTTGATTCCGAACGGAGAGATCAAGATTACTTGTTTCACCCTCGAGTTAGTTCGGCTTGTTTCTCGACTGCTTCTTTACTGATGGTATTGGTAGAATGCTGTGCATCTTCGACATCTTGTTGCAAACATCTCTCAGTAGGTGGTTGACTTGGAAGCTCTATTCTATAATCATGGCTGATATGGCACCCAGTGTTATGTTCTGGCATGTAGTTGATGAGGACCTTGCGGAGCGGCTCACTAATGCGGAGAGATGTCTGAAGACTCTGGAGCGACGCAATGGGAGTTCCGCAGATTTCACGTTGATCAAAGATTCCATCCAACATCTGTTCGTGAGATGCCATTTTTCCACACCGAGAGTACTAACAACCCTCCCCAGTCGGTCTGCAATGAGCGATCCCATTTGGCTTGCATTACAGGCGCACTATCACTGCTTCCATCGTGTCGACAAGCTGAGTCGCGATATTTTCAACGGCTGGAGCATGTTCTCTGAGGCAGGCCGGCAAGCCTGTGACCCCCCTCTCCTGCCACCTATGGCACTCATGAAAATTCGAGCTTTCCTAACACAGCACCCGCTCAAGAAGGTACGGGATATCGTTGCGATGGGACAGCACGTGATAGAGGAAGAACGACGATGGAAGGAGTTTGAGGCACTACACAATCAGTTGAAGAAGAAATCGTCGAAGGACAAGCGAGAACGCCGACGAAAGGAGGACGCGGCGAACGATTCTCTTACATCGATGAAGCGTGAAGCAAAGGAGAAGAAGCTCGAGGAAGTGCGGCTTGAATATCAGGCCGCAGCCGCACGACTGACGGCGAGCGTCACTGGGGAGGAGGTCGCTCCATTGAGGCCAGACTCTTCACAGCGGACTGTCGCGTCAACACTGTTGAGGTTGTCTCCTATGGCAGACGTACGGATCGGAAACTCGACTTCTACCAAGCTGGACTACATCCTGAGTGAGGTGCGCCTTCTGGTACCTATTTCGGCCGTTTCCCGTCCTTCATGGCCTCTTTTATAGGTTCTGACTTACGGAGCGGATGAGAAGTTCTTGATTTTCTCGGAATTCCCTGCGACACTATCGTTCATTGCGGAAGCTCTCGACCTCGTCCGCGTAAAGTATCTCGAGTTCAGCGGAAAGCTCAAACGCGAACACAGGCAGACAATTATCACGACTTTCGAGACTTCAGATCTATATCGTGTATTCCTCATGGAACTGAAGCACGGTGCTCGCGGTCTGTGAGTAAATATAAATGCCCATATCAGGAGGCATCATGTTCACGATGCCTGTAGGAACCTCGTCTCTGCGTCGCGGGTCATCTTCTGCGAACCTGTCTGGAAAGCCGACGTGGAATCGCAGGCCATAAAGGTATGCACTTTCATTTATCTCAATATTCCATGGATTCTGCTAAGACACCTGCTAGCGTGTCCATCGTATTGGTCAGTCGCGCAGAGTCATGGGTAAGTAATTCACTGCTGTTCGTTTGCAGTAATCGCTGACATCAGGTTTAGTCAAGACATTGGCTATCCGACACACGGCAGAGGAGGTCATTGTGGCTCGCAGCAAAGCTCTCAAAGAGAGCAAGCAGGAGTTCACGAAGGAGGTCACTGATGACCGGACCATCCGCGACTTCATCGAGGTGCGTCTTTTCTCTGTTAACGGAAGAGCACTTCCTGACTATCCTGTCTAGCATCCAACGTTCTTGCCGATCCCTATAGCAGATCAAGTCGTCAAATTGGACGTGCCGCTTTTTGAGTTCGCACCGCCCCCGAGCATGCTTCCCAGAGACAATACGAAGTCCAGCTCACCCCAGCCATCGGGGGTTCGTGTCGTAGAGGCAAAGAAAGTCCCTTCAATACCCAGGCGTCGAGTTGCTGTTCACGTCGAAATATCGACGCAGCCCCCTCGAAAGAAGCAGAAACGGGTGGCCTTCGCCAATTAATCAGTCGCCTCGGATGCCATCTTTGAGCATAACCCACTACCTTATATCCAAGACCTATGGGGTCTTGTAGCTCATATGTTTTGATAGTCTTCGCTGATGTATTTCTACCTTGTTGTCATCACCATTGCATGATCCTATTTTGTCACCCACATTTCGATACTTAGGATAGACGAAGGAGCTGTTCGTTTTGCGTGGGAGTAACAGGCTACCATCCATCCGAATCCCCTCTAAGTACGACTAATCGACTGGGAATATAACTTAGAAGCAATACTACAGCAGCCTTAGCGTGTTCCATATGATAGTTAGTCAAGTGTGTATGAAGGATAGTGATCCGCAGTGTCAGAGAAGGTGAATTATAATATACACTAAAGGTAAGGAGATGAAACCGCGTGAGCTGTGACTGTGCGTCAGCCTTCAGCGTGGACAATCTGACAGTTATGTCTCGCTGCGACATACCACGGCTATGCTCCGACTCGCAGAGCTTTTGGACGACGGGGGAGGAGCTTCACGATCCGGTGTTTCTTGACCGCCGCCCCAGATTTGCCGAAGTAGCGTTCGCTCATGAAGCTCCAATGGAGAGAACCCACGATCCAGTCTTGCAGCCCTTGAACATATAGCGCAACGTCCCGGTCTAGCCTCGGGCCGAATGACGGCACGTTCCGCTGATTCTCCATGAAGGTATCGATAGTTTGCTTGCACAGCTCGCCGACAAAGTCGATCGCCGTCTGCAGGTCGCAGCCACGCAACTCCATGAGGATTACGATCATCTGCAATGTTGTGGCAAAGTATCAGCCTTGAGCCAGAGTGGCAAAGTCGGGACATGATCACGAAAGGTGCGATAAACGCACATTGTGAGTATCGCCACGAGCTTGCTCTACGTTATAGGAGAATATGTCCTGTTGTATGTGTGTTGGCACCTGGCCACAAGACTCCACACAGTCAGACTGAAGGCTTACATTGCTCCACTGTCTCATCGCAACGGGTGGTTAATCATTCGCCGCAGTACCGGATCGGATAGACGCCACTCACAGTAACGAGATCGTTCGCGCCCTGGCTCAAGGCCTGGATGATCGGATGCCGCACGACATGCTCCGGAAGGTCGATGTCCATCGCATATTCAATCAAGTCAAACACGGGCTTGCACCCGCTCGTGTCACGCCGGACCTGTGTGAGAGAGCCAATGATGAGAACCGCCGGTCAGATCAAAGTGTTCAACATGCGGGCAACATCCTCCGGCGCCGAGAACTCGCAAGGTACTCACGCTGATGTACGAATCTAGATCTGGGATAAGTTTGCTATCGCGATCTCTCGCCTGCTGGTGAACGGCTTCGAAGAAGAGCTCTAGGCTCTCCTTGAAGCGAGCCTGCGGCCCGGGCTTTGCATCCCTCGTGCACCTGGTCCAGTAACTGCGAACAAAGAAGAACGAGGAACCACGCGCTCCGTCAGCAACGTGTACAGAGGGCTGCGCAGATCACAGTCATAAGTGACTCAGTACGCACTCTCTGGCGAGCTTCCCTGCGCTGACTTCTTCCATCGGCTGGTCCTTTCCTTCACATGTGGTGGGCATGTACCGGTCGGGGAACCAGAGTGCGTTCATGACGCAATCCGCGAGCTCCTCGGTGCCTTTGCGTACCATCCCGTCCGAGACATTGTCGAGGTGGAAGAGGTAGTTCATGAAGTCGCTCACGACCCGCAGTCGTTCCGTGCTGCAGAACGGATAGCAATACGCGGTGAGCTCGCCCGCCTGTAGTCCGTATAGAGCCTTGCGGGCTTTGGGGGACAGCTCGGGACACCCCTCGTCGAGCCACCGGACGGACTCGGCGGCAACGGTGTCGCCATGCGGATGGTAAGCGAGAGGGAAGTTGCAGTGTGAGACGAGATCGGGGAGGATAAAGTGGTCTGGGACCGGGGTGGTTTTTGGGACGGGCACGGGCATGGTAAGCGAAGGATGGGTAGCTATCAGTTAGCCGAATGTATTAGGCTAGGAATTGTGAAAGTTAACGAAGAAAGGAGGCTCGAGAGGGAGGCGGGGTGCTGTTCGAAGGAACGAGCAATGAGAGTCTGACGAAGACAGAAAGTGGATTCGGCCTCCCATATTTTATACGGGGAGTCTACGTCGGCCGAGCGGCGAGAATTGAACAAGCTTGCGGATCGAACCAAACAACCAAACCCAAGGACAGGAACGCATGCGAGGCGCGTTGCGCGCAATCTAAACATACGGGTTTCCTGCGGGACCCACGACTTACCGCTTTACCGGCACCCCCCCGTGCACGCCACGGCCGCGTTCATAGCCCGAAACTATTGTCATGGTTCAGGATGCACTGTCATTCAGACAGGGTGCCGAGCTGTCACGGATGTCAGGAACGCAGTGCACTTCATTTACCGGCCTCTTTCTCCCCTCGCGTTTGTCGCGGCAATTCCAGATGACAGCCAAGGGGGTGATATGGCGCGCCGCACTAGGTCGCAACCGTCGCTTGCGATCCCGCGGACCTCCGGGCGCGCATGATGAGATGTGACGCCACATACACGGACGGCGCGCCTGCAGACACACGTCACGCTTGCAAACCGCGGTAAAAGGATAGGCACATACTCGCTTCTGTCCACTGTCAGTCACTCTGCTGCTGCGTATTAGCTGATTCCTGATGCATGGAATCGGAGGATGGGAGGAGGCACGTTGCATAAGCTCAGGCTCTGCGATGCTTCCAATCTTGATCTTGGCGCCAGCCCGGAGATCGCACAGCCAAACATCCAAGAAGCTACTGTCAATGAGCGTGTGGATAGTCCAGACATTCAGTATCCCGGGAGTACAGTACAACAATGGGCGAGAGCGACACCGATCCGTGCCAACGCCAGAAGGCCAATGTCGCAGGCCGCATAATCAGAGCTTGAGGTATGACGTATCGATCCCATGCGAGAAGTCCCATATGCATATCCTCTGTTCATGACGGAGAGACGAGTAGCATTAGCGATACAGGCCTCAAACTATGACAACGGGCACAGTGCTTACCTGGTCCTCACCACAGGAGACGATCTGCGGATTATCGCGCAGCAACAGAGCAACGGCAACGTACAAAATTGGTATCAGCATCAGCCATTCGGGAACGTATCGTGACTCACCTTCGTGCAATCAGACCCCACGCAGAAGATGCGGCCCGTATGCCCCCCGGCGAGGTCGGCAACAAGTGCGCCCGTCTTTCGATCCCAAACCTATGAGCCCATTGTTCAGCCACGTACTTCGATGACAGATTCGGAACATGCTGTCATACCTTGACGGTGAAGTCGTAACTCCCACTGATGACGAGATCCGAGCTAAGGGCAACGCTGCGCACGAGATCTTCGTGCGCGCGCCGACGCGGAGGCTGAGAAGGCTCTCCAGCAGAGGTACTGCTTCCGCAAGACTCGCAGACAACCGAGACAGTACGCCCAAGGCCACCAGGCGCCGCCGGTTTGTCCGTCACGGCAGGGTTGGTCGACCAACCCTGCAGAGTGGAGACATCAAGTAGCCGGATGTGTTTATCGGATGATCCGGACAGCACAAATGGATGCTTGTAGTCAATGCTTGCGATCCTATGGGACAGAACAACGCCGACCAGAATCGGACATGTTGGATGTCAGCAACAACGCCTCGCGATTGCAATCCCAACAAGGAGGTAGACGTCTGTGCGACGTGCACGTACCCACGGCGGTGATGGTTCTCAAACGTGCGTAGGCACGCCCCAGTGTCCGCGTCCCAAAGTCGGAGCGACCTATCTCCAGAAACGGAAATGATGTGCTTGTTCGCGATTGAGACGGCGTTCACCGCGGCGCGGTGCGCACTAAGCACATGCTGCTGCCCTAGATGCGGGAAGAGGTATGTCCGAACCGTCCTGTCTGCACTCACACTACGTTAGCATATGAAGTTCACCAAGAGGCAAGTCCCAGTCCCGCGGCAATCCCACGTTCCTGTGGATCGGAGGAACGAGAAAGCACAAGCACAACACGAACCTTTGGAACACGACACGAGTCTCTTGTCGTCAAAGCGCACACAGAGGACGCTATCCTCATGGTCGCGGATCGTCCTAATCACCTTGTTGTGCGCCAGGTCCCACACGACGACGCATCTGTCGCTGCTCGCGCTGGCGAGGAGGCCGCGGTGCACGCAGATGCTCAGCACCGAGCTCTCGTGCGCGCCCTCGAGCACGCGGATCACCGCGCCTGTCTGGAGGTCCCACTCGCGCACGGTGCGGTCTTTGGAGCCCGTGAAGAGCACCTGCGTGCCGCTCTCGGGGTACGTATACAGCTGCAGGCAGTATATCGTGTTCGTATGCCCGTTGGGGGTGCCGCGCGTTTGCAAGTTCGAGAGCGTGTACTGGCCGGTCGTGAAACGATTCCTGAGCTTGACGTGCGTCTGGTGCAGGGTCTTGTAGTCTGGCTTTGGATCGGGATTTGGCGGAGACGCGAGAGCAAGTTTCTGAACCGCGGAAGTATGCAGGAGTGATGGGGCGGAGTGGCGTTCACGAGGGGATTGCATTCTACCCCTCGACGGGCCAGCGAGGAGATCGGGGAGTGTGTGAGAGGAATTGATGGTTAGGGATAGATGGGCAGTTGCTGAGAATGAGGAAGTCGACGGTAGGCCGACGCGAACTGTGTCATGTCCGTTGATATCCATGGATGCGAATCCAGAGTCGTCGACGTGCATGAGGTCATCGTCCTCTTCGTCTCCCATCCCCTCGTCATCCAAATCTGATTCGACATGCTCGCCGGGGGGGCTTCTTGCGCCGGTTTCATGCGCATCCGGGCGGACGCGCCATTCCCATTTTCGCTCCAGACATAGGCTCTTCCAAAGAGTTTGGTCGTCTGCTAAAACGCGCCACCGCGTGCACACAAGAGCACACGTGAGGAGCGATTGGTAGGGCAGGTACGAGAATACTTCGAGTGCGACCTCTGTCGGCAACAACTACATCCACAAACCGTACATCAGCCATGTTTGTATTCCGTCTATAGAGGCGGATACGCACCCCGACAATGTCCAACTTCAGCAGCGGCTCAATCCTATGCTGGAGCACCGCAAGGCTGGATCTCGGCAATGACGCCAATATCCTGAACGCCAGCTCTACGTATACGACGAACGTAAGCACATACACCAATTCACACCTACAGGAAACACCCCGCGATGCAATGGCAGACGGAAACGTACCTTCCCGTTCCCGGACATCCCGTCCTGTGTCCACGCCACCCCCGCCACCACTGTAGCCAGTGTGGTCAGTCACTGGCCCATGTCTCCTCTCGTAGTCGGCTAAGTACGCTCGGAACGGCATTGTAGTTGAGCGTGAGCGTTCGGTAGCGTTTCAAAGGTGATTGAGGGTAGGGTGTGGCGGATGGCAGCAGGCGCAAGGGCATTGCGTTGGGCTGCCCGGAACGGGGCACCGAGTTTCCATGCAACTTGGGCGCTTCCAACTTAAGCTTCATCGAGCTTCATCGCTGACCGGTCCGGTTCGAACGGCGCCTAAGACATCGTCGTCCCAGTCGTCGGCTGCGCGCAGCTCGTCGTGCTCTTGGGCATCGGTTCACAGCGGGAAAATGGGGCTGTCATAATGTGCAGGTCAAGACAAGGCGGCTCATAAGAAGCAGTGCCAAGCCTTGCTAGAACATTTAGGCTGATAATAATTTGTCCTCAGTCCCCTTGGACTTCTGTTGCAATGTCACATGAGCAGGACATCGCAGTGGCAAACCACATCGTGAGTATGCCAATGTAACGACGAGCACGTAAAATGATTCTAGAGAGCACGAAGAGCTAGCTCCCCCCTCTGTTCTACCCAAATAAAGGCCCTAAATACACCGATTAGATACAGCTAGAGGGTATAGATGTTGACACTCGCAGAGATTTCAGCGAAGTGTGGTAGGTATGGGCATCAAGAGCACCTAATAGTCAACTTCCCTCGCCTAACAGCCAAGGGCAAATAACCTCTAACGGCTGACCGCAGTGCATCAGGATCGTTATGCGGGTGCAGCGCGCGGTTAACGTTGATCACGAGGGCGACGTCCTTGAATTCCGACTGTGCCAAGACCGCGTCGAGCTTGCCCCACTCGAACGCGGCCAAGACGTCATTGCGGAGGACGAGGAGCGAGATCGCGAGCGTCTCAAGCTGCGTCGAGCGTAACTCCTGCAGCAGCGCCGACGTCCACTGGACGCATCCGGGGAGCACTAGCCCGTCGATCTCAAGTATGCGCAGGCGCGTGTTGTGATACAGGCTCGGGACTTCCTGTGAATCTAACAATAGGGCGGAGAATCAGCGCCGTGAATTCGTAGATTAGAAGAGATACGAACCCTCTTTCATGGTTGGGAGCTCCACGTAGAGGTGCTCTAGCGCGGAGCCGCACACGCGGAAAAGCGAGTTGAGAACGTCCATCGAATCGCGCTCACGCCAACGGACCATGAGTGTCCGCAGGTTGACTTCGCCGGCTAGTTCAGCGCAGGGCAGCAACCACTGTCGCAATATCACGGACGACGCCCACGAGTCCACAACGAGCCGCTTCAAGCGGAGGGGAACTGGGCTCGGAAACTCTTCGTAAGCGGGAGAGGGGTTCCCCCACCCGACACGGTAGAAGAGGGCGTTTGTGACATTGTGGGAGGAGGCGAGGAGGGTGTTGAGGTCAAGGAAGTGGTCGAAGTACACGTCTGCGAAGACGAGCTTCTCGAGCTTGCCGAACGCGGCGAGGGTCTGCTTCGAGCATCGCTGGAGCGATACGTAGTGGAGCCCGACGAGTTCAAGCGTCGCGAGCCGCTGGAGCCTGGCCACGAGGATGGGCACGCGGTTGACCCACTCCTGAGCGTACGCAGAGCTGGTGGGCTCGCTGATAGAGAGCGTCCGGATGTAGCGAGTAACGTCGGGCGAGGACTCTAAGAAGGCTTCGAAGCGCGAGCAGGACTTCGCGCCGAGCAGCGTTTGGTCGTGGAAAAGGTGCGTCCGTGCGGAGGGCAGACATGACTGGGAGGCGAGTGCGCACGCTGTGAGGGCCTTGACATCGTTCCAGAGGTAGTCGATGGCCTCGTCGATGAGCTCCTGCGGTAGATAGGGAGGCATGACTGGGCTGCGTGTCTGTAGTAGCCCAACCAATTCAGTACACAGTGCATAAGCTTGGCCGATGAGATAGCTCGAGAAGCTGAGAACTGTGGGCTCACCAGGATAGCTCGCAGGGCGGCTTGCTGGCCTCTGTCCTCTCGACCTGACAGCGTGGCGGTTGAAGGGATACCCCAGATAGGAGCATAGTTAGGCCCTGTATAGCTGCTGAAAATCTCATCATTCCAACGACCGATCTCAAACACGAGTCTCACGATGTGGCCGCTGGCAGCAAGCGGGTCTGTACCTCCATTGATCATTCGGCCGCTAGAACCCCTTTACATAACTGGGCATGATAAGACCCCTTTCTTACCCTCTCGATAATTTGAGTAATCGGAGTTGAAGCGGTGCATAGAAGCACTCACTTCCCAGACTATGCCAGCTTACCCAGGGGGTATAGGAAATTTGGGCGTTTCCGCGCGTTGACAGCGGTCTCTGTTGTCGTCCACGTCCACCGACTGCCCTCCCCGTCGCTCATTCCTCGTCGTCCTCTCCTCCCGTTTCCTTCTCCCGCTCCTCGTGCTTTCGATATGGCCACCGCTGAAGAGATCCGCGCCAACTCCTACGTTGGTTTTGACACCATCACCCAGCAGATTGAGCACAAGCTCTTGAAGCGCGGCTTCCAGTTCAACATCATCGTCGTTGGTATGCATGCCTCAGCGCCCGTTGCTATTGTCTGTGGTTTGCTTGATTGACAGTGGTGGTACCTGCAATAGGTCAGACTGGTCTCGGAAAGTCGACGCTCATCAACACCATCTTCGCGTCCCACCTCATCGACTCGAAGGGTCGTCTCGAGGCGGATGAGCCCGTCAGGCAGACGACGGAGATCCATCCCGTCTCTCATGGTTCGTACCTTCACACCTTGTATAGTCTAGAAGTGGCTCAATACTCCTCTAGTCATTGTTGAGAACGGCGTGCGACTGCGTCTGAACATCGTTGACACCCCTGGCTACGGCGACAACGTGAACAACGAAAACTGGTACGTCCACCTTCCCCCCAGACCCTCCCTCCTTCTGTACACGTGGAAACGTTGGTTTGACGTGTCCCCTCTGCTTCCGCTTGTGTTCGCAGCTGGGACCCGATCGTGAAGTACATTAAGGACCAGCACAGCGCGTACCTCCGCAAGGAGCTCACCGCGCAGCGCGACCGCCACATCCAGGACACACGCATTCACTGTGCGCTCTTCTTCATCAACCCTACCGGCCACTCTCTCCGGCCTATCGACGTCATCGTTATGAAGAAGCTGTCCGAGGTCGTCAACGTTGTGCCTATCATTGCCAAGTCCGACAGCTTGACGCTCGAGGAGCGGGATGCGTTCAAGCAAAAGATCCGGGAAGAGCTCGTATACCATAACATCCGTCTCTATCCATTTGACACGGAGGAGAATGACGAGGAGGAGATTCAGCTCAACGAGAGCATCAGGGTGCGTCTTCCATTCCCTTCCACTTCCATACCAGTACTCACGACGCGGCTACAGAGCATGATCCCCTTCGCTATCGTCGGTTCAGAGCGCACTGTCATTGTTGACGGCAAGCCCGTTCGCGGCCGCAAGAACCGCTGGGGTGTGGTCAACGTCGAGGACGAGAGGCACTCCGAGTTCGTCTACCTCCGCAACTTCCTCACTAGGTACGGTCTTCCCCATAATTCTGTATCTCTATATTCTGTGCTAAGCGTAAGCATGTACGCGATTGGACAGGACGCACCTCCAGGACCTCATCGAGACGACGGCACAGATCCACTACGAGGCTTTCCGATCAAAACAGCTGCTCGCGCTCAAGGAGCAGACCAACGCCCGCCCGTCGGCCGCGGCGCAGTAAACGCGTGCAATTCCCTGCATATCCTAAGCTCCGGCTGCCGCATGCTTACGTGCGGAAGTGATACCCCCACAGTTGGAATTCCCTTCGCTCATTCTGACTGTGTTGCCGTTACTGTTGCCGCCGAACGCTCGTTGTTGATCTATCCTCTCCCACCCATACTCGTTTGCGCCCTTTGGATGTTGACTTTGGTTGCCTCATATAGTGCCTCTATACTCTGTGTTGTCTCGTATTGCCGATGTGCCTCTACGCTCGTTTCTAATAGCATACCTTCTTCTGCTTGTCCATAACTGCTGGTGTCGGCCGACCATGGGTATTGGGAAACACAGTCTATCCCGAAGAACAGCTAAAAGCGCAATGTCATGCCCGTACATCAAACCAGGTCGGCAGATGGTACGTTGTTTATGGTAGTTGCGACTGCATATACATGCTGAAATTCTCCCTGACAGCTCCATGTGCACGTCATCTTTCGACCCTGTAAAGACCGCAATCGCAAGATGCAGGGCTTGATGCTATGAGTGCCCGATCGCAACGGTGGGACCGCACACGTCTTCCAGTCTTAATGGGTATGTATCACAGATCTTGACTTCATTCTCGGTATCATCCGACCCAGTGGTGTTGGCCCTCAGAAGCCTTGGGAGATCACTGAGCCCAAATTCTTCCATAAGCTGCCCAGGAGCTTCGAAGAGATCCTGCCACGACTCGACGGACATATCAAGCTGCCCGACGCTCTCGCACATTGAGATGTAGCTAAATTGCCTGCACTGCGTGGAGTATAGTTGTCCGAGGTGCGGCGCCGAGGTGCACGAGCAGTGAAGACGATGGTAGCTCAGGGTGCGAGCTTCTCCCGCGTCGCTTGAGTGGCCAGAGTAGCCGGAGATGTATAGATGCCGGGTTTACTCGCCTCTCCCGGAGGGCAAAACAATAACGAGGAAGAGCTTCTCTGCGGCGGCATCTACCCTGCTCGGCCTCCCTCTGCTTAAGGCTTACACAGCCTGCCCAGCATACGACCGTGACACTGAACAAGCACTCTCCAGGCATCCGCCATTTAACCATCTATCCCCGCGACTGTGCAGATCCTTGTTCGGGGGTCGGGTACGGTGTGACGTCGGTGTCCTAAGCCACTGGGGGATTTGCGATCACGCCGCGGACGCTAGATGCCCCCATGTTTTGCGGCGAAACATTCCTGAGACTCTTCGGTTTCCGAGTTACTAGAAGGGTCCACAGTGAAAGGCCAGTGACAAGAGCTTATCGACGTTAAACTCGATTCGGGGTCGGCTCGGAGCCTCACAAGCTAGCCTCGACGTTATGATGTGTGCATGATGTAGCCGACCCGTGGCTAGGTCCAGAAGTATTGACCTCTGCTCGGTGCCGCGGTACAGTGTGATCCTTGCTATCCTAGAGGTATATGGAAATCGTGTGCGATTTTCTGCTCTGAACTCTGAATCCAGCGAAGGACACGGATGGGAGATCGGGTTCTTTAATACTATGTATTGACACTCGGTGGACTGCGGGGTTACAGGAGATAGCGCGAAACGGATCTGACTGGCAGGACGGGAACGTAAAGTGCACTGCGAAACAGCCAGCCGTGCGCGCACCTGCGTCGCAAACGGGTATGCAATGCGGGGTTCCAGACGACCTGTACGTGCCAGTGGCAGATCGATAAATAGTACTAGCCGCGGACAGCGGACGCAAAGGCGAGATAAGTCGCAATGGGCCGAAAGGGGCTTTGGACGCAAACTGCGTTTTGTGGAAGGGCAAGAGGTGAGAATAGTGTAGAGGCAAAGAAGTGAAACAGACGTACTGATATGCCAAGATTAAGTAATAAATACCTCAAAGTTAAGAATGACTACGGTAAGCGATTGTCGTGAGGAGTCTGCGCACTCCGGGGCGATGTGGGTGGGGTTGGAGGTGGTGAAGTTCCCGTGCTCTCGGGGAGTGGTCGAGGTTAGCGTGCGTAGGGAGGGGGTAATCAGTGCGGCCCAAGAGAGTAGTGGCTACGCGGATCGTCGAAGCAATGTCGTGACAAAGTCGTGATCATGCTAGAGCGGACGGTCTACACGCTCACTGCGTCTTGGAACTCGCACCGCTCCGGACGGAGGTAGAGGATTGGCCACGCTTATGGCCCCGAGGGCGCTCCTTCAGGCAGAAGCGCGGCACAACGCCGCGTTCACCGGAGCGGGAGCCGAGGCGCTCGACAAGGCACCACTCGTCCTCGTACTCCTCGAGCATGGTGAGGACCTCGCCCACTTTGACCGAGAGCTCGTCTGCGAGGGACGGGATAAAGGTGTGCTCGACGAGCATCTTGCGCGGGAGCTTCTGGCCCTTGATCGACGGCTTCGGCTTGAGGTTGTTCTCAGCGGGTGCCTCCTTCAGGAACGAAGACGTGCGGCGGGGGCTCGGGACGGGGGATGCGACTGCGGGGACGGAGAGCATGTTGCTGTTGTCTTCATGCGTCACTGTGAGGATGGGGAGGTTCAATGCGGGCGGCCGAGGCGATGTAGACGGAGTGCTCGCGGGGGACTTGTAAGCCGTGTAGGTCGGGGGTGGGGACCTGGCGGCCTCACCCATCGATACCTTGACATCGACGACGGCCGAGCCATCATGGCCCTTCGGAATTTGAGGCACCCACTTAGCGGAATGCTGCACTGTCGCGGGCGGTTCCATAGGGAGGATGACGAGAACCTCCTGCTTCTCCATCGGCTTTCCCTCCGCGATCGGTCTGATCTTCTCGCTAGGGATGAAGCTATCTTTGCGGAACTTCTGGGAGGCGGTCATAGCCTTGCGACGCTTCCAGACGACAATTCGCCATGTAGCGATGCCTAGTTCAATCCATGCATTGTTTGGTTCTGGTGCATATCTGGTACTTTGAACTACGACTCACCCAAGAGCAACACTCCCAGGATCACAAAAAAGGCCGTCAACACCCGAACAGAGACGGGGAGAGGGTTGACGACTGGCTGTCCGTTTTCTGTGGTAGTAGCTCGGGGAAGAATGCTACGGACGACATTGTGTGCCTGGAAGTCCTTGCGCTGGAATGCGCGGGCATGAGTAGAAGCAATAACGGCCATTAATACAAGCAGAAAAGGAACGAGACGAAAGGGAGGGAAAGGGAAAGGACAGGACAGGAAAGCAAAGACGTTGAGGAAGAGAACAAAGGAGTATATGTGACATCGCTGCCATCATATCCTGCTCGAGGCTGTCCGCGCCCATCAACGTCGGGCGACCGGGACAGGGCATCCAATCATCCCAGTCGCAAGTTTCAGGTACCGTCGCGCTGATATGAGCCCCTTTGCCACCGCAGAGTACATCCATCAAACCCTGATATATATCTGGAACGGTGAGTGTCCCACCGCCTGGTGGCGTTGCCATGTCGACTAACTGCTGCAAGTAGGTACATCGTGATACCACTGCATACCTACATCATAACGCAATGAGCTACCTGGTGTTCCCCTTCAGCCTGTAAGTAAGTCAAGCCGCATATTTTACTCGAGTACACATAAGTGGCATTACGCTCGCGGTCATCGACAGTCTTTGGAAAACATGTGCGGGAGCAGGGTGGAATGACCGTGGAATGACCGAGGTATTGATGTGTGCGAAGGTCATTGAAAGGTTCAAGCATCGCTTGCTTCGAGAGCCTGTGTGTTCCAGCCAAAGAGATCGAATAGCCTATGTTCTGTTAGATCGTGTCCAACAACAGAGTCGAAACCGCGCGGTACAGCGACCTTGCACCCTCAGATGGGATGTATGAGTTCAGCGAGGTCCGCACAATGAGGTCCCGTGTCGCAGGCGGCATATCAGTCACCGTCTCCCCAACCAAGGAGTGCAGAGCCTCGGCGGCTAGCGCCATCTTTTCATCAGTTGTAAACGCGACGAAGGGCAAAACGGCGGTGACGCGAGAAAGCAAGGATGGCTGTAAGAGTAACGTCAGCCACTGCAGTCACTATTCTCAGCCGCGCTGAGGAAAGTTACATACTCCAAGCCGTTCCGAAACCCGTGGGCGGAGCAGGCCCATGAGGTCGACATACTCCTCGCGAGAAAGTTGTGTTCCTGGCGAGGGGCGCTGATCTTGATGCTCAAACACGAGATTGTGACCGATGTTGGATGTGCCGAGCCAGATCACCTTTGATACATCAACGTGGCGGTACCCAGCCTCAAAGGAGCAGCGGCCTGCAAGGAGCCATACATATGAGCGAGAGACATGGAATATGAATGCTGTGACCTCTTCACTTACCGTACTCCCATGGCATCAGTAACGACGACAGTATCTTCTCGTCCTGCGTCTTCTCGATTTCCTGTATAACGAGACAGCTCTAGTCATGTACGGTGACTGTCAATCGGGATTCAAACACTTGCATCGAGCACGACAACACAACGCTTTCCCTCATTCTCGATCAAAAAGTCCTTGAGAGATTTGTCCGAGGGTTCCTAGATATTTCTTAGGTGAGCAACGGCGTGAACGCTCTGCTAAGTATATTACATACTTCATGAGGAGCAATGGAATGGCTCTTCCATATGTCGTTAGTGTCCCGTAGAGTGGTCATGTTGACTGTGTGCGTGGGCACGCCCAACAGAGACCCGACTGCACGCGGCGGATGGGAGGTCGGTGAGAATGATCGTTCAAGTCGAGCCGCGGGATGACTCACATTTACGCGCAAGCAGGCTCTTGCCATGGCCACTTGGTCCTGCACAGGACCTTTCAGCTGAGTCTCCAAAGCACTCACGATGGCCTCATACTCACCGCAAAGCAGGACAACGATGGGCGCCATTGACGGCATACTCAGGACACGGAAGAGCTGCTCCAACACCCGGTCCTGGCCAATCAGCTCGTATCGGACCCGCGTCAGCGGGCGAAAGTACGACCTGTGAATCAGCGCGGAAGCGCGGCGAGTCTGAGGCGAGTCCGCGCGCTCAATGTAGTACCTGAGCGATCACGAACACGAACCACGGCGAGGCCACATCTCAGTTGAAGGCCATCCGTGATGCTGCGCCTCAATATGCACTCACCGAGTGGCAGGGTCCACGTTCTGCAACAATCTGGACAGGCGACCTGAGCCTCTTCGGGACGACCGTTCCTCACGCTCGTCTTCCTCTGCATCACGCAGCACGGAGGTGTCGGCACCGTACGCAAGGAGCAGCTTAACCATCTTCATCTTGTTCTTCAGCTGGTCGTTGGCGATGGTGAACGCGAGAGCTGACTGCGGTGCAGCGTCATCATTGATGTTCGCCTCCCCGCTCTCGAGAACACGGCGGACTTCCTCGACGTTGTCACTTGCGAGAGCAAAGAGCAGGGTAGGGCGTGGCGTCGCAATGGCATGGACAGGCTCCACAAGAAGTGAGATTCGATGTGACTGTGCGGTAGATAATGTGGACTGTCGCCTCTGCTGCTGGATGGCCTGTTGAACAGCGAAGATGGAAGGATCACGTGCAGATGGTTCTGCGGAAACAGGTCGGCGGATAGTATCATCGGCTTGATCGGCATCATCATGTCCATAATACTCGTCTTCCTGACGCTCGTCGAACGAGTCGATAGGCTCCGAGAGCCTACTCTCCGAGCGCGCGTACTGTTCTTCTTGTCTCTGCTCTAGGACAGCGGAGTAGCGGCGCGAAGGCTGGTAAAGCAACGACTTGCGGGAGAAGCGGTTGCTCCAGGAGAGGGGGCGGGTAGCGGGGGCAGATGCAGGTTGCAGACCCGGAGAAGCGATAGCAGGATTAATATGCAAAGGAGAGTTAGGTTGTGAGGATCCGATGGTATTGCGTAGATGGGAAGGTATAGTGCTTGAACGCGGAGATGAAAGCTGTTGATGGCATTCGGTTCAAGCACGTCGCCTGAGCACATAGGACGCACCAATGTATTATGAGATAACGAGTAATCTGATGATACAGTTGGGGACGATGGGGTGAAAGCTAAAGCAACGTCAGCGCAACACTCGTTAGATAGATGATGGGAGGCGCACCGGTTGTTGCAGTGGTAGCCGTGGTGAGTGATGGGATGCTGGATGAAGGATATGCAGAGCCAAGCGACGACGAGGACGAACTGAGAATCATGGACTACGGACGGCGATGATCAGACATTCATAGGGAGACCAGGCTGAGCTAACGACTCACCAAACGAAGAGGTTTCAATTTCCTAGGATTTGACGAAGTCGAAGAACCGGTCAACGGCGTCTCCTCGACCGGCGAGAGAGGCGTAGTGGCCCGCGACTGGGTATCCTCCTGCACGTTCTCGACTGCCAGCAATGGTGGGGGCTTTAAACGGAGGCTATCGGGACGGGCCAACTGCGAACGGTCCGAGACCGAGGTCCGGAACCCGAAGGGAACCTTCCTCGACGCAGACTGAGAAGACTGCGACGAGTGCATCGACGCAGCAGATTGCAGGGACAGCCGTCGCAAGCCCCCGCTATGCTGGCTGAGCGCAGAAGCAGGTCGACTCGTGCTCTCCGCGGCGCTCTCGTCTAGCACTGAGGCGGCGGGTGAAGCGGCTCGACTGGGAGCGGCAAAAACGATAGAGTTGCGGGCACTGTTGGGTAGTGAGAAGTTGGGAACTTGCACGGACGAGGCAGAGGAAGGAGGACGAGTGATAGGAGAGAACACGCGAGGCGCCTCTGATAGGGAAGAGGCAGCGGACGGAGAACGAGCAAAGGAGGTACTAGGACCGGCTTGTTGAGAGTCGTCAGCAGCGACTGAGATGTCTTCCTGGATGTCTTCGGGATCCAAGTATGCGAGCTCCTCGTAGAAATCTGAGGTCGCGAACGATTGCTCCTCAGCAGCTTCTGGTGAATCCGGGACGACCGTTACATTCGCCGGAGAGGGTTCCTGCGAAGCAACGACAGTCTGGGGCGACGGTTCCTGAGAGCCCATAACGGTCGCAGGCGACGTCTCTTGCAGATAGCTGAAGTCGAGTGGCGAAGCATCACCCTGTTCATCCCGCAGTGGTGATTGGTGGGGCGCGTAGGACCTGAACATCACCGTGGGCGACGCCTCCTGCTCGCCCTCGCCCTCGCCATCAGGGACAGACCTTGTATGCGTTGTCGGGGTGTAGTACTGGTCGTACAACGACGCCATCGAGTCGTCCGACCCGAATGACGCCTCGCCCGCGTGCAGCAAATCATCCTCGGCGCCCAAAAACTCGGATGCGTTCAGTGCGCTGAACAGGGACGACTCCTCTGGATCAGCTGGGATGTCTTCGAACGACGCCCCGGACTGGCGCTGCACCTGGATCGCGACCTCCGCGTCCTCCCGCGTAAATTGCTGCGAGTCCACGCTATCATTCCTAGAGTGGCCCGACTCTCCATCATGTGCATCCCGTGTAAGCGAATTTGTGAACGCCCCAAACCTCGGCGAGAAGAGACCCGACACCCCAGCCCCGGCCCCTGCTTGAGCCATGCGCGCCGACGGCGAGCCGAACGGGGACGACAAGATCGAGAGCGTCGAAAGCCGCCGCGGGCTGCGTGGAGGTGACCGCCGCATCGGTTCTGGCCCCGAGAACTCCGCGTAGCCGGAGTCGAATGACTCTTCACGTTCGAGAGCTCCTGGGATGCTCGCGAAACTGATGCGCCGCGCGCCTGTGAGGTCGATGGGGGAGAGGAGACCAGATGAGATGGAGTCGTGCGAGGAAACTGTGAAACGGCTCCGGTGGGAGAGGATGGAGAGTCGACGAAGCTCGGGCACTGTGGACGTTGGGCGTGCGGGTGGCTGGATGTCGGGAATGTCTGAGGGAGGAGAGTTGGGTGAAAGTGGCAGGGGTAGAGACTCCGGCGCGATGGGAGCGGGCCCGGAACAGGAGGGAGCAGGAGAGTGCACTTCGAATACGGTGGACGCTCGCCTTGACGGCGAGTATAAGTCCGGGGCCTCGGAAGTGCGCCTAGACGGGAAGTAGTCCGAAACGATCGCAGAACCCCCTGGAGAATCTTGCAGATACGAGCTGATTGATTCACGATTTGAGTGTAGAGGATCTTGAGACGTCATCGAGTGGCGGAAGCGTGCAACGGTAACGTCCTCGTCAATGATGGCCGTACTTGCACTGGGAGTCCCCGACCACGACGAGGATCCGTCCACGAGGGTTGCTGAGCCGTCCGTTATGGAAGCTTCCGGGAGATGAGGCGAAGCATCCCGAGGAGGGGAGGGGATGCAATGAAGCAGCCTCCTTGCGTCTTCGCTGAGTCCGAGTATGGGTGTAGGTCGAAGAGAGTTATCCGAGACCGCACCGGAATGAAGTCCAGGGGGATTCGGCTCTAAATTTCCTGTGCTACTCGAGGCAGCGACAGGACCCGCATGGGAATAGTCCCCGCTGGTGCGCCCCTCTGAGCCTTCTCCAGATGACGACTCGAGCTCTCCCGATTCCCCTTCCTCCCAGTCACCCTCCTCCTCCTCCTCAAGCTGGATGACATCTCCCAGTGCCAGAAGCAGACTTGTGGTGCGGGGTGACCTAGACGGCGACGTAAACCGCACGGTCTTGGCCGGAGTGGGGGAGTCGATGCGCAGGCGAAAGTCCGGCTGGTCTGAGTCTTCGGAGCCCAGCACGCTGTCCGGTCGTCGAATCCTGACAGTGTGCATGAAGTTGCACGAGTCTGCGAAGAGACAACGGCCCTGCGAGTAGAAGGGACATGGGCGCGCTTTATGAGACATCGGTCGTCAGCCATGTACGACCAATCAGAAGACGGAGTTGCGCGAATGACGAAACGAGGTCGTCGCCGACGACCCCACACATTCTTCTTCGGACTTGACCACGGTGCAGTCTCGGCGGCAGTAGCCTGTGCTGGTGAACAGTTCGGTGACGCAAGATGGGCAGGTCTTGATGCGACATGCATGGCGGGATGAAACAAACAAATGAGGAGGGACTCACTCTTTTTCTTCCATGGAGGGTCTTCGATGGTCATAGAGACATGGACGGTGAACGTCGAGGTCGGTAACTCCCTGGGTTTGGCCTAACAAGACGTCAGACGCCCAAAATTCTGCAAAACGAACCGCGACCACGTTGACCAGCGCAAGTAAGTAGTGACGGGCGCAGCGATTTGCAGTGCCGAGATGAAGCGGATCAACATTCAGTTTCGCACGTCCGGATGTCATTCGGGAACAGGAACGCTCACAGCATGTAGTGTTTGACAAGAAATGCGAAACACGGGACCTGCGTCGTTGGGCTGGTCGTGAAGAGGTCGTGGGCGATGGGTCGAAGAAGAAGGGGCACGGAGACGGTCGAGGGCGACAGCGGGAACAAACCCGAAGAGAACGCAGGACGTAATGCGCTTCCCTTAGGCGCCATCGCGTATTCCAGTCACGGGAGCGTGTAGCCTATGGCAACAGCGCTAACCATGCGCGCTCCGGGTAGTTTACAGCGTTGCGTTGAGCGGACGACCGAGACCTCTACCCAAATACTCTGCATCTTTGGTTTTTTCTGCGCAGTGTCGAGCCGGCACAGAGAAGGTATCCAGAAATACATTGTGTTCTATGCTTCTCTACATTGATTGAGCAAAACTACGCGGGTAGCACGCTCTCGCTCACCCGTCTGCGACAACAACTCCCGACGCGCCAAACAGCGCGCCGGTCCCACGTACGCCTCTCGCGACGCGCGACCCCCGACACCCCAAACCCATCTTCCACCAGCGTCCCCGCCCTTCCGGTCCGTCTTCCAGCACCGGCCATCAGCGTCCTCGGCACATTTTGCCTAGCGTCGTGTTCATCACAGCACCGTGCCCAACCTGTGCATACACACAAGCCCAAAAAGAGGGTGTCAATTACACGAACATACAGTAAAACAGGATACCGAGCGAGCAGAGCAGAGCCCCCAGACCCAGACAGTGTTCACGGCCGGCTGTAGAAGTACGGGAAAGCGAACGCGGTCGCAAGCGCGAGACTCGCCAAGCCGACCGCCAAGCAAGCGTTAGACGCAGCGCTCTGCGTTTTACCTGCTTGCTTCCGCTTCGTGTGCGCATCGGCCGGGAGGCGTTTCTTTTGGGGTGGAGGAACGTAAGGATGGACTTGTACATACCCGATGGACTTCAGCCCGTGCACGCTGTGAGGTGTGGTGAGTTAAAATCATGTAGGAAAGTCGATCTCAAGCACATACTAGTAGCCGTTGAGGTTGCGAGTGATCTCCTCCTCTATACCTAGAGGAACACCATCGAGCTGCCATGTCACCTTCGTCGAGTCACTGCCCTGATCCAACGTCGTCGTGAGAGTAGCAGTATGATCTACCAACAAACGTTAGCACAACTGCAGCAACCCTCTAGGAGATATTACCCAACCACCCACCCGACGGCCACGTCGGACTCGACAGCTTCCACGTCTGCACAAACTGCTTGGGCGGCTCTACGCTGACGAATGTGCCCGTCACCCCACCCCCGAACAAACTATACTCCTTCCCCGGCTCCGCAGCACCCTTCGCGGGGGCGCGCGTCCACTGCGGTATCCTCCGCTCGTCCGTCAGCAGCGAGAACAGGTCGTCCGCCGCCGCCATGAAGTGCGCGTCCACCGTCACCGTCGTCGTGTTGTTCGCCTTCTCCGTCTTCTTCACAGTTGGGGCTGCGTCCGCCTTCTTCGCCGCAGTGGAGTCGGAAACAGAACCAGATGGGGCCCCAGAGGGTACAGGCGTGCCCTGCCGTGAGGGGTCCGCGGAGACTGTCAGGTCTTTGCCATGCGTGTCGATGATCGCGGCGGGGAACGTGGAGAACTTGGCCTCGAGCGCGGCGGGCAGACGTGACTTCGCCAGCTGGAAGAGCGCATCGACCGCCGGGGAGCGCGAAGTGGTTAGGCTCCATTCGTACTGCAACGGAGTGAGCGTTGAAAGCACAGGAAGCGTTGGGGTCAGAGATCCACGTACGACGTAGTCGGAGGTGCCGTCGAGCGTATTCTCGTGCGAGACCTCAGGAATAGTCAGCTTGCCCTCGACGGCGGTCCCGTCCGACGCGGTGCCCGACCAGTTCAGTACGACCTTGCAGTCATAGATCGTGATCAGCCTACACGCGCACACGTTAGCTGTGCGATACTCCCCGCCACACCAGGTGCACCAGACAAAGGGACATAACACGCACTTGCTTTTCCGCTGTCCCAGCTCAACGTCCCCATCCACCTCCACCACACGACTGACAGCAACCTCCTCACTTCCATCTCCAGACACGCGTACGCTTGTCAACTCGCGGTCGAACCATTGCTTCGCCCAGGACGTGACCGTCTTGTTCTTCCAGTGCCAGTTCGCCGTGCTGGGCGCCATGGGCTGAGGAATCGTGCTCGCCATCGTATCTGGAAGATCTTGCACGCCGCAGTTGAGGTTACGAAGAGGATTGGAACAGCACTATAGCTGAGAGAGAGAACAGGGCCTTGCCGAAGGTAAGGAGGAGAGTAAGATGAATTTATTGAGATGTGCGCAAATGACGCTGGTGCGATCGAGGTCGATCTCCAGAACTTTCGAGTATCCTCTCCCTTGCTCTCTCTCCTGACCCCATTCGACAGTCACTGACGACGCAACACGCATCAATGGTCATACCGTGTACACTGCACGAAGTACAGTACACTGTCATTACGGTTCGTATCCTACATTTAATGATGTATCGCCGGTGTCATATCGTACATGGTACAATTGATTCATGAACGTCCTTGCATGCAGTTACGACAATGCAAAAGTCAAAAAAAATGCTCTCATTGCTGTTCCTGCTGTTCCTGCTGCCCTGGCTTGGCTTGCTCACCCTCAGAGTCCTCGTGCTTCTTCACGACCACGTAGCGGTCTGCATCCTCGGACGCTGGAGTTGCCTCGATATTCCCAGCAACCGTACCCTCCTTTTCGGTTGCCAATGCCTTGCGCTCAGCACGGATCTGCGATAGGATAATGTCAGCTCAGAGAAGGGTTGAAGTGACCAAAGGTGGATAATCGCACCATGTTCAGGTCGTGGCTGACGAGCCCATGACCGCCGACAGGTCCCCAGTAGCTAGTCGCTGCGAGGGAACCAATGATGCACGTCCCAACAAGGATGGACAGATAGAAACGGTACTGAGAGTACCATTTGGGTGCTATCAGATAAAGGTAAGCCATCCACGCGATGCTGAGGATCCAGTCAGTGCCAACACTCACCCCATCCAAGGCCAGTCACCCTGAGATCAGCCCACCACATGGCAGTGAATCCGATCCACTGGGCGATGAGCGCGCCCACAGGGTCAAGGGCCAGAGTGGACCAGCCGTACACGACTGGGGCGGCGCCCAAGAACAGACGCGAGTAACTGCACACATTCTGGTCAAAATGCGGCAATTATATGGGGGTAAGTACATACTGTTTATGGCCGCCGTATCCGGAGAACTCGAAGCCCCAGTGCACAGCGCCAAGGAACGAAAGAAGAACGGCACCGTACGTCGTCTGGAGGCTCAATGCCTGGTGGAGCACAGTGATGGCGACACCAGGATCAATGTTGGACACCAAACCTATGCCACACCGCTCTCAGTCAACGGCTCAGCGTAAAGGAGATCCCCGATTCTCACCCTGTGTAGCCAAGCCTGCCTGGTACGCGAGGTAGACGGTCGCGCCCGAAGCGCCAATGTACGGAATACCACCTGCGAGACCGAACACGACATATGGAGTTGGGACTGCGTGAGCGACCGCGTTCGTGATGCCAAGCTGCGATGCATCAGGAAAAGTGATTGCGCACGTCAATGGGTAAGGGACGCACGAATGTCTGCTGGGTGGGCTCTACATTGTCCGCAAAAACGTTTCCGCCGGCGATGGACTTGGCAAGGTCGGCAGCAGACTGGCCGACTTCTTCACGGATGTTCTCCGCGGCGTGTCCGAGGGTCTGGGAACCTGGGCGGCCAGAGACACTACTGGCGGCCCCACGAACAATGAGCTGGTTACGGAGTAGATGCGGCGAGAGACGAGAGTTAGTAGTTGGCTTAAGGAGGGGCGAGACAGAGGAAGTTGAGAGGGGCCGACGGAGAGCCATATGTGCGCGGCGAAGGGAGGGGAGCATGGACGACAACATGGCTGGACAAATGGTATAGTGAGAGAGACTGAAAGGCTGGAGAGAGCTATATAGGCCCCCCTACGCGACGCTGAGCGCGATTGGGAGCATATCCACACTGTCCACCCTGACGTCATGCTCGTCATGCGCTGCTGCCCCCTTCGGTCCGGTCGTACTAGGAAACCGCTACATGTCACCCATATGCACCACGAAATAACGACACAACTCTGCGGGTTGGTACATTCGGATGGGACATAGAGCATGGCACAGAGCATCTTGCGCACCAAAAACAAAGCGACGCCAGCAGGACTCGAACCTGCGCTCCCAAAGGGAAACAGATAATCCGAGATTCTAATCTGTCGCCGTAACCACTTGGCTATAGCGCCCCCAACGAGGGGCGGAAAGTTAACATTATACTGCTCGTGTTCTCGTTCCGTGTACTCGTTCAGGCTTTATCGATCTAGCCATCTGAGTTACACTGGTTCTGGGAATGTACTACGTTCTTCTAACAGTCCAAAAAGAGCGCAGGGTAGCTACCAACTACTTAGGCCCAGGCCGGCACGGGCATGTCGGCTTCATCCTCAAGATCTCGGGCGCGTTCCGCTTCAAGGAGGTCTTCCGTGACTGCTGAGGTGGCGCGTAGGGTGTCTAGGGAGCCTATGACCTGTATTCCGGACAGCGATTCTTGATGCGTCATCTTATAATTCATCTCATGGAGGTCGAGAATGAAATGGGAGGTCAGGATTGCCGTAACACTGCGTCAAATATAAACATGAGTATGATGAGGTTGAGAAGGAGCATTGAGTACTCAACGGCTCAGAGAAATCCCTGATGTACGTCGTGTTTGTTGAGGGAGGGTGCAAGGGGGAGTCCTGACTCACAAATTCAGCAACGGAAAGACCACATAGAGATGGTACTGTCTCGCTTACGGGCAGGAACACGAATATGAGGTGCAGGACATTGAGTGCAAGAAGAATGCTATGAGACCGTCAAGGAGAATATTCGCCCAGTGGTGGTTGAGTAGCTCACATAAAGTATACGGTGCCTATATCAATGTCATTGGTTAGTATACTATCACATGTGCTGAAAAAAGTAAACTTGCCATTCCTGAATATGACCTTGGTTAGAAACGACAAAGACGACTCCCTACGGGCGTGATAGGTCGCCTTCCATGTGATGCCCATTGCGATGGCATCACCAATGATTTGGCCTCCAGTGATGACAACACTTCCTAGCAATGCAATGTGGGTACGTTGAACAAAGTGCATGCAAATCATCGCATGATAAAACTGACCACTGAGTTCCGCGTTAACAAAGAATTTGTAAGACAGATGGGCCGACGTACATGAGACTGAGGACAGTGGGTGTTGTCGCAGCTGTCAGACATCCACGGGTCACCGTCGGAGCTACAGATAAGAACCTATGATGGAAATTTCCCTAGCCCTGGTCATGGGTATAGTTGTCAGTGATGATGGTGTATTGTGCTTACATAGTAGTTGAGAGGGAGAGCGAGGACTAAGCTCAAGAAAGTGATACCACTAAGGACCCAATGCTTGTGACTCAATGCATACACTCGCAAGGCCGAGAAAACTGCTTCCATCGGGCTCAGCATAGACCCGGGATTTCTGTAGAGAGATGAATGCGTTACGAACCTGCCCAAGGGAGATATTGCAGGTATCTTGTTCCCAGACTGATATAACTTTGCACCTGACATCTGTTCCTCCGTCAGTATTTGTTTCAGACACGAGATAACGCTGGGCTTACTCCTATAGACAAGGATCAGCAACAGGAACCTCGGTATATGTGCAAGATCGAACTCACAGAGGATGGTATAGATAAGTGGAGTCGATAATATGCAAGGCCGACGTAGTAGAGTAGTGCAAGGTAACGATTGATGAAAAACAATATTGACGCCACATTGACGCTCCCTTTCAACCAGAAGAGGCGCAACTCTTGCGATACAGTCAAAACGTAATCATAGCCAATCAAGGCTGTGCGATATCAGCATGGTTGGCGACATTGCCTATGAGCTCATACAAACCTCCGGTCGCCACTGAGATCAGATCGTCCAAATGACTGTCCGGTAAATCAAGTTGTCATGAGCCTGAGTACATTACCCATAGATATAGAACAGGCTGCGATATGATATGGCTCACCTTGCGTCTTTCAGGGTGAGTATAGTGCTGTTCTGGAAGCTCGACATAGGGTTTAGCGAAGAGCAATTGGCCGATTGGAGGGATAGACGTAGTGGAAGGCAGCACTACCTGTCCAACACCCTCGCCTGTGGGAGACTTTTATACTGCAGTCCTCGAACTCAAGATTGGGTGTGTCACCTGAACCTCAATGATCTCAGCTATTTGCGGAGGAGGCGGTGGAAAGCAATTGATTGTGTGCGATGTATGTGTTCAACTGTTCAAATTATAGACCGCTGTGCCTTGCGAGCGGCGACGGTGAGAACATACGATGTCTTTCGTATGGACGATGCATCTTGTGGCTAACCTAACCGGACTTTTTGTCGGCTATATCTGTGGCCGGCCTCTGAATATCGCTAGATCTGTAGTCGAGCTTGATACGAGAAATGCTTGTGAGGGCGCAACCAGCGAGATATGTGCTATGTGATTGATTACGATCGCCTGAAACGTCGCAATAGAGGTAAGGTCTGCTTCTCAGCCCCGGCCGTAGACTTTGTTACTCCAGTCTTCGGCACAGTGACACAATACGTTTTTGCGGAAGCGCATCTTGGATTGGTGTGGGAGTATATCATACCAGGACACAGCAGTCGTTGCGTCGATATCATAGACGATGTTCTTCGGATTTCGCATCGTCAACGTGAACAGCGATCCGAGATTGCGGCCGCGATACTATACACCGCACCTCGCATAACATCAGAGATGTGATGTTCGGTGGCTTTAACCACTCCAGAGCATCCACAACCGGGCCTTGAGAAGAGCGAAATTCACGGAAAGGGCGCTCTCAGCTCTCAGACCACATTCCCATGAAAGCACGATGGAGCCTCTTCGGAAATGCCACGCGGCTCTGGCACAATGCGTCACAGCAAATTTCAGCAAGGAAAGAGGAAGGACAGATGTTATGGGCCAAAACCTTGTCCAAGCGAGCAAGAGAAGCACGTACCAAAGGGGAAAGGGTAGGTAAAGCCACCGAGAGAACGCAAGCCCGACCTCCTCCTGTGCACTGCGAGTGACAGCTCCAGCGTATCTCGTCTGCAAGCTTCGTCCATTACTAGTCGTGCAGGAGGGGTGGATCACGTTGGGCTGTTGTTTATTGTAACAGGTCATACTTCTTGAGCATATCGTTGCGTACACAGTTGCTGATGAGTTCATATATACGTTGCCGGATCCTGTGATTACGTACCTACGTCCTACTTTGACGTTACCAACCTGTTGATCATGTTGGATCTGCCTCATGGCTGGGTTTCTCTGTCGTTGTTCTTTCCAAGTCCGGAGTAGAAGTCGATTGCGACGGTGTGAGAGCAAGTCTTCGACCTCCAAGCAAAGTTAATGCGGCCCATTACGTAAGTAATCCGGAAAAGGCATCCGTTATGAATTGTCTATTGTCCCTTCGTCCGAGACAATAGAGGGCTCGACAATGCGGATCCCCACGTTGTCACCTTTATAAATGAAGAGGAGGCGTCGTCGCAAAAGGCGACAACCTCCAGCTGAGCCTTTTCTCTCTTGCAACGTTCATCTCTGGTGCTGGGACACCTCTCTTCCTCGAGTCCCCCGCTTCGAACGCACCGACGCCTGCTGTAACTCGTCACTCATTGTAATTCCGGGACGACTCTCAAGTCTTCATTCCAATCTTTTGCCTTTGTACCCGTATACCTCTCGTTGAAACATCTACACAACCATCAAGATGATGCCTCCTCGTGCATGTCAGTACTGTCAATATTACACCCTCTTGATCGAATCCTGACGGGCCCGTATTCCAGACTACTTCATCGGCTTGAACGCTGTCCGTGCTCTGAGCATCATTGCTCTTATCCTCGTGTTCGCAAGTAGCATCTTTGTCCTAGTGAACGACATCCAAGCCGTCAACCGTGCGATGGCATCGCCTCAAGACATGACGAATTGCGACTACATCGAGTACGTACATATGGTCATCCCGCCGCTTCGCATGTCTCCCGTATTACAACAAGACTCACGCATCTCGCTCGCAGTGGCAGCACCGTCCCCAACCAGCCCGCGGGCGTCTTCTGGGCCGTCGTGAACCGCCTCCTCATCATCTTCCAAGTCATCGTCCTCATCCTCTCCGAGATCGGCTGGCCCGCCGCCTTCTTCGCGATGTACTTCCCCGTCCTGGGCCCCGACTTCGGTCTTGGGGCACTCGGGATCTTTCAGTGCCTCATCGGCGCCACGATCCTGTCGCACCACGTCGACGACTTCACCCTCGTTGCCGCCTTCTTCCTCTTCTCGCTCGGGTGCATCAACATGTTCCTGGGCCTATTCCGCGAAAAGGTCAAGCGCAAACGCTCGATCATGTCCTGGCGCGAGGAGGCCAAGGGCGTCCTGCCCACGCATAAAGACCTGCGCCCGCCGTTTGCACGCCCGGCCTCGGCCTTTGTTGGACGCGTGTTTGGTCGTGGGGAGAAGGAGTCGGATGGCTTTGAATCGAAGGGGTTGGGTTTCGGACGCCAGGGTGAGAAGGCCGCGGGACTGAAAGGTACGTCAGCACGTTACGAATGAATGACAATTCGCGACAATGCGACTCACGCGAGACGTCGTTCTAGGTTTCCTGATTTCGAAGCCTTTGGAGAGCCTGCCACGATATGCCACGCAACCTCCACGTTCCGACCAAGGCTCGCGCGCTGGTACGCCCGAGCCGATGTTCAAGTCAAGCGCTACTGCCATTTGAGTCACCTACACACGCAACATACGACGATTACGACCGTGGACTTCCTGCATTTCTGTGGACACTGTATCATTATCGGACCCCAACGCTTGTAGAGCAGCTCGGCTGTATCATAGCTGTATCATACTATACCTGTTTTTGTAATTGTGGACAGCCGTATAACGCGTGCTGCCAGGTAATTAACGTGGTGATATTTGCGGGTATCTTAGAACATGTGCGCGCTTACGACAGTTAGTCCGACAAGTCCATGTCATCATCGTCGGAGTCCATCTCCATCTCTGAGCGATCTGCCTCATTCGACGTGAAGAGCGTATTATTATGGGACGTAGGCGCTGGAACGTCAGGAGGCAAGGGCGGCGGAGCGGAACTTGGCGGCGGGGGCGGAGGGAGAGGAAGCGACATTGGTTGCGGACGGGGTTGCGACATTTCGTTGAATGCACCGTGCATCCTCCAAGGCGGCATAGATCCTACAAAAGGTCTCGACTGGTCCTGGGGGGACGCGATCCTCTGCCACAGCGCCTCGCGATCGGCAGTGTGCGTCTTGTTGACCGCAAGCTGAGAGCGAGGATTTCCACGGAGCGCAGGTAGACTCTGACCAGTATAGATAGGCAGCTTGGACGGGAGGAAGTACGTGTCAGGGTAGGCAGCCCAGCGGGCGGAGGACTCGACGGAGGCTGCAGAAGCTTCGTCCGACTCGTGCTTGTCCGGAGTTGGCGGCATCCTAGAGCGGGAGTCTGCTTGACCGTCGCCTGACAGTTGACAGAGCTCGGGCTCTCCTTCCGCAAAGATATAGAACGAGTCGTCTTCGCTCTCGTCCTCATCATCGACTTGGAGTCCCTCTTGTATGCGCTTCCAGACATGCTCACGCGGATCGCGAGGTCCGACCCATCCTGGCGGATAGCCCCACATGGTAATGATAGGGAGCCATGGCACCCTCTCTCCGGGATCGCCGTCCTCCAAGCCCAGAGCCTCACGGAGTAGCGGGCCTCTGATCTGCCCGGGTTCGAACTTGTCGAGCCACTCCAGCCGTTCGCGTCGCCACTCCTCCACTTCATGTACACGCAATCGCGGGAGGACGGGGCCCTGGCGAAAGAATTCGAAATATTGTCGTGTAAGCGAGACCAGACGGCGGTCGAGTGGTTCCGAGCACTTCGACACGACATGGCCGGGTTCGCCGCAGTTGAAGCAACGTTGGACGTCCCTGTCAAGCGCTTCGTCTCCAGTGCCGTCACCGAGCACAACGTCTTCATGGATGCGATGGTAGAGGGGTGCATGATAGAGCCACTGATCGACGTACTCCGCGCTCCCGATCTCTACTCCTGCTTGGTCCACGGTGAAGCCTCCCACGAGTCCAACGCCTGGTTGACCGTCTGCGCGTCCCAGCGTCCCTTCGCTACCTCCTTCCCCTCGATATGCAGCGCCGGGATCCAGTAGACATACTTCTTCTTCCAGCGCTCCTGGCCCGGGTCCTGGATGTTGATCGTGTTGAGCTCGAAGGGCCGCTGCTGCCGGACCTTGGCCAGCTCCGCTTTCGCCGTCTGGAGGGAAAACCTTGGCGTGAGCCAGCTTGTCAGTCGCTTGGATAGAAGGGGGAGCGTACGTCGCAGAGAGAGCACTGTGGACCAGAGAAGAGGGTGAGGCGTGCGATCCGACCAAGTCCGCGAGCGGCCATGAAGCTTGAGAAAGACGGTAGGTCCTTGAGGAAGGCGAACAATCATTATCCGTTTGGGTTCTGTGTGCCAATGAAATACTCATACCTCGGTGAACCAGTCTGCCGGGGAAAGCTGGTGGGGGCTGACAACCAGAGAGGCTCACATAGCGGCTGAGGTCGCGGCACCCATCTTGCCTTCGTCCATCTCATTTGCTCATACTATGCGAGTTTTTGGGGCTTTATAGCCAGGTGGTTACAGCGCCAGCGTTGAAGCCTGTTCCAGGTTCGATTCCTGGCTGCGTTGTTATTCTGGGAGTCGGCATCGTTTTTGGTTCGCAGTCAATATTGTCAACAGGACCCGAATACACTTGCAAGTGCATCTTGTCTAAATGAGGGCCATCTGTATGCATACATATGTCGGGGTGTGTAGGGATTCGGACTTTATGGGACACGCTCCTCACAGCCATGCAAAGGTGTTCGCTTTTTAGAGGCAAAATGCAGAAGGGCCCAGCAGAAATCAGGTTTACTGCGTAGCATTCCGTGATGCTATCAAACAAAGACATATCGTGAAGGTCTGAGGACGTCGACAACAAGCGTGATGGCCGGACAGCAACTCGGCGTATAGTCCCAAAGTCCACGTGTCCACAACAAGGAGAAAACCGCAAGTGTCGATCAAAGTTTCTCCAGGAGGCCGCGAAGCATTTTCTGGTTAGCGGAGGCACTACTGTCCTTGTCCAGAGCCTTGGCCTTCTTCTCAAGGAGCACGATTGTCTGCTCGACATCCAATGGGAGACCTTCTAGGGCGGCTGTCGCGCGCGCAGCTTCGACGAACATCAGTAATGCATCTGCCGTGAGTACCACAGCAGGGGAAAGGGTGAGAGATAGTCACCGCAACGGTCGAGGTCATCCTCCAGAGCTGTCCAGAGGTCCTTCCGACGCGCATAGGCCTGTTCAAGGTCCTCCAAAATCCTTGTGACTTTCCGCTATCGAAGGAGCCCGGTGTGCTGAGTAGGAGAGGAGGGCAGCGGATGGGCGCACCTGCGACCCAGCGTGCGTGGTCTTCAGCTCGTCCTCGTCCCGTAGGGCGATCCGCTCGACTTTCTTGCAGATTTCGTCGAACGTCAGAAGCCCCGCTCCAAAGGCGAGGTCCACTGGTTATGCAATGGAAACTCAGTAGATACTCATGCGCATATAGTCAGGGGAATATTTACCTTTCTCGTCCAGGACATCATGTGCTGCCTTGATGCTGCTGTATGCGGGAAGCAAGGCGTTCTTGAGGTATTCCTTGAGAGTTGCTCCCTGCGCTGCCATGGGTTCCTTGAGCGACTCGATAAGCGCGATCAACCGCTCCTCCTCGTCTTGTTCCGACGCGCTACGGACGCGTCTGAGTATACGGGCGCGCATATAGCTGGTCAAAAGGCTCACTTCTCCTGCAACATAGCCACCAGCGTCGATTCGTCGTCCCAGCCGAGCATGTCTGCATCATGCTCGACCTCATGTCTCTTCGAAGACCCAGCCTGCGCGCTACCATGCTGAGGCCATGGCTCGAGGTGTTTATAAGCTTCGCGCGTGCCGGCATACCTGTGCGGCGCAGGCTCAGCCTCGTCCTCCTCGGGCTCCTCATGGATAGTCGAGAGCTCAGCGCGCTCCAACAGAAAGCGGCTCGTATTGGTCGAGTGCAGCCGCGACCGGAGGCCGGGGCTCCGCGCAAGGTTAACGGGGAATGGAGACTTCTGATGCTGCTGAGCGAGGCGGGTGGCTGCGGGCGAAGCCTCCTAAACATGACGTGCGAACAGGGGTACGGCATGGGGCGCATATACTCACGATAGCGTGCAGATTTGTGCAGCTTCTGCGCAACGGGGGACGCGCGCTGGAGGAGGTGTGTGGCGTGCTTGACCATGATCACCGAGGTGGGCGGGGGTGGCGGGAGTGTGGAAGCAGAGGCGGAGGACGGTGAGCGCAAAAGGACGAGCCGATCAGAGAGGACGCGCCGCCTGATGGGGACACGGGCGCCAAGCAGGGGAAGAAGCACCGTCGGCCGCTCTGGTGCTTCTGGACTGGCAGAGGTCGCAGTTGGCCCGCTCGCCGCGCTGTCCCAGGCCTCTTGCCCTCCTCTTCTCCCCAGGCCCTGTCTCCTCCCCTCCTTCCCGTCTTCTTCTGCGAGTCCGGCTACTCTCCGTGCTCGTTCAGGACCCGAAGCCCTTCCTTGCCCATCCCAGACTTTCAGGCACTACCACCCGGTCCCTGCCCGACCTAGTCATCATGAGCGGCCGTCCCCCGAAGCAGTCCATGTCTGAGCTTAAGCTTCGCAGGCTCTCAGAACACAACGCGAGGCTCAGGGAGGACCTCGCACGGCCACGGATACGCGTCAGCGAGGCGAGCAAGAGGTAAAATACCGGTCCATGACTGCCAGTGTGCACGAACATTGACTGAGATCTCCGTACCAGCTTGATCAACTACTGCAAGTCGACTCCAGACCACCTCGTGAGTAACACGCTTCCTCATCCCGCTGTCTTGCGTGCTTGAGACGGGTGCCCGGCGCCATCCACACAAAACAATCGCATATCCTACGCCCAATGCACTACACATACATTCCGTCTTGTAATCCATTTCTGCTAAGTTTCGGGACATGAACAAGGGGTTCCGCCTTTGTTCATGAAATCGATATGGTCTTTTGGTGGTAGCAAGTAAACGCCTCCGAGCATCGTCCTTCGCGTTGCTCTCTGGACGCCTTACTTTTCACTGTCTGCACACCGTTCGAGTACGCTCGGTCCATACTTGCCCAAGTGGGAAGCAACAGGCCATCTCTAAAGAGCATAGCGCGCGCGACTCATCATGTCCTCAACTGCTTATCAATGATTGCCTTCTCATCTGTAATGATCTCGTTTACTGAATGGTATCTCTGCGTGCAGATTCCGTCTGTATGGGGTCCGGTCAGCAAAGCGGAAGACCCATTCGCGGTGCCCAACCAGGGTTGCCAGTGCGTCGTCATGTAAGACGGCTACCACAAAGACAGCTGCTGCTATTGCTCGTCCGTCGCCACCGTGTCTCCCAAGACCTCCGACGAGGCGCAGCAAAGCTCAAGAACCTCCTGGAGGACGCGAGTCGCCTATAGGATATCGGCGTAGATGGCATGGGACAATGGGGTTCGCGTCCATGCCCGTCTACAGCTCCTCTCTGCTTCCGCTCGCGTTTACCTGGCTGTGGAGCACCGTGCGCCCTTATCTTCTATTCTTGCATTATCATTTGTAGTATTCTTCACAAATCGCGTACACCCCGCCACTCCTTTAGTCCATCGCAAGCATGTGTCGCATTATACTTCTATCTACACGTCTATTTCTTAGCATCATCGTCATCTCAATTCCCAGACTCGCAGTCATAGGCACACACGTTCCATAGTACATACCTCGCATCGGGATCCGGAATACCTCCCGCCCTCCCTTAGTCCTTCCGTCGACGCGCTTGCGTACCGAAATGTTCATCAGCGTCACATGTCTAGTTCCCTTCGCGTGGCGCGCCGTAGTTTTTGGATAGTTTCCCAAGCCCTCCTACCATTTTACTTGGCTATTTCGCCCGTCGCTTTCTCGACTTCACTTGGCTCCGTGTTACATACATTTATAGCGTAGCCATAGCTCTCCAACGCATCGGAATCGCATCTTGCTGTCCTGATTTGCTCTGCGACATTGGTTTGCGCTGATCCATGACATTTAAGAGCATGCGCGGCGTCGATTGGCCGATCCGTAGGTATGTAGTGTGTTGCTCGGGGGTTGCCGTGCAGATCAACGCCATCGCTCTTCAAAAGGCCGGCTGTGCTTGCACCTTTGTACAACCGTCTGGGCTGTATCAACCTTTCTTGTCTCCAGCTCGGCGGGACTTGTTCGGAGCTTTCTTCTAAATATATGTCAATCACCAAGCGCTCCACGTACTCCGACAGGACGCGGCCGCAACGAGCCGCAGCGCAACTTTACAGCCCAGCAAGTACTCGGGTGAATCGAGTCAACACTCCGACGCCTAAGTATGAGTTTGCTGTTTCCAGTCATGTATGCATCAAAGACAGCCGTGGCTCCCCCCTGCCGGAGCACACGCGTCCTGATGGCTTCTCATCCTTCCGTAGGTCCGCCGCAATCTCGGGAACGTTGTGTGTGCTTGCCAGGTCTGCGGTTGCTGCAGCTGACAAACCCTCTCCGCGACATATTATGCAAGCACTGGCTGCGGATAGATGGTACATGGTGGCTGTTTCCCAGTCACCTTGGCTCATGAGGCGGGTTCGAGGTCGATCGCTGTGCTCATGGCCAGGGCACATCCACATCATACCCAATCACCATTATGTACTGTGAGTACGGTGCCGCGTCTGTCATAAGTACCGATCAAAAACGCGCCCGGTATTTCGTACGGTCCTCGGCAGCGCGGATGCTTATAGTTGGTGGCCACAAGTGACAATCCCCAGCTCTCTCGTCGGGTGAGCACATCTCTATTTCGCATTCAATCCAACAAACCCGTCCCCTCCTGAAAGCAGCACCATTCCCCAAGCATGGCATCCGAACCCTCCACCCACCCGCGCATCGCTATCATCGGTGGTGGCCTCGGCGGGCTCGCGCTTCTCCTCACGCTCCATCGCCGCGGTGTCACCGCCACCCTGTACGAACGCGACGCCGGCTTCAATGCTCGCGCCCACCTCGGCGGCAGCCTCGACCTCGGTTGGGACAGCGGCCAACGCGCTCTCCGCGAGAACGGCCTCCAAGACGAGTTCGACAAGTACTCCCGTCCCGAAGGCGAGGAGCTGAGAATGTACGACGGCGCAGGTAAGCTCCATTACAGCCATGGCGCCGAGAGCGAGGGCGGTCCCGGCGGTCCCGAGGGCCACCAGGGTGCCCCGCCGCCGCAGGGCCCCGAGGACATTCGCCCGGAAATCGACCGCACCGTCCTCCGCAAGATCCTCCTCGACGCGATCCCTCCCCATCTCATCAAATGGGATCACGCCCTCGCCTCTGCGCGCCCCCTCGGCAACGGCCAGCACGAGCTCACCTTCGCGAACGGCTTCATCACCGTCTCCGACTTCCTCATCGGGGCCGACGGCGCGAACTCGCGCGTCCGCCCCCTCCTCTCCCCCGCTACCCCCACCTACACTGGTGTCAACGGCGTCGAGATCTCCCTCGCGCCCGAGACAGCCAGGCTCCCCGAGCTACAAGAGACCTTCGCGAACATCGGCAAAGGCACCATGATGGCCTCGCAGAACTCGCGCATGCTCGTCTCGCAAGTGAACGGTGACGGCCGCATCCGCACGTACGCCTTCGTCCGCGAGTCCGCCGACTGGTCCGTGCCCTCGAACCCCGCCGAGGCAAAGGCTGTGCTCAGAGAGTACTTCTCCGGCTGGCAGCAGTGGATTCTCAACTTTATCGACTACGCCGACGAAAGCGCGATCTACCCCCGCGCGCTCTACATCCTCCCTGTCGGCCACAGCTGGCCACATGTCCACGGGATTACGCTCATCGGGGATGCCGCGCATCTCATGAGCCCGTTTGCTGGCGCTGGCGCAAACCTCGCGCTGCTCGACGGGCTCGAGCTCGGCCTTGCGCTCGCGGAGCTTGTGAAGGAGGGCAGTTTCGCGCACCAGGAGGCCGTCGATGAGTCCGTTGCGGCGTTTGAGGTGAAGATGTGCTCGATGGCAGGCCGCGTCGGAGAGAAGGCGAACCGCAACCTGCATGAGTTCGTCCATCCCGATGCGCCTCACCCTGCGATCCGCAGGTTCGAGCAGCTCATGACCGAGGGCTCCCGCGAGGGCTGAGGTTCTCATTGTCTCAATCTTGTATCGGGTGGAAGTACTATTTGGTGGGGGTCTCAGGTAAATTGTCAATCGCGTAAGTAGAAATCAGTAGGTAAGCAGCATAGTTAGCACATAGGTGAGTACCTCGACAAAGATCAGACTTAACGTCCTGTACCTAGGTAACCAGTACATACAATTTTTCAATGATGTTCAATTCAGTATACCTACACCAATAGCAAAGTGAGCAATCATGCAATTCAACACGCGGCGCACTGCGCGGTCACGTTCATGTATTACGTAATAAAATATCGCGGTTGTCTCTAGTTGGAAATTAGGCGCTCAGCCGCGTCGTGCGAACCTGCTTGTTCTGAACCATCAACGTTCGCCGCCTCATCTGAAGTCGTCTATATCCCAATCTACCGTCTAGCAGCGTAGAATATTGGACCCGCTACTATAATACGCAAGTCTCCTCTCTTCATGCCAAGGAAGTGTTCGCCTATCGACTTTGCCACGTTGAGTCGTGGACAGGGAATGCCGCCTTCGCGGTTGACATCACTCAATTACACGGCTGAAGAAGACGTGAAAATGGTGCAACGCTCTCCTCGTACTGACTTGGATGGCTCGTTGACCTGTTTCCGTCAGGATACCGAGGACTTGGCTGTGGTCTCCACGCAGCCACCACCTACGTTAACCACCGTCAACTTCGATGTGCAAAGACACATCATGACTTTTCTCCCGCTTACCGACCTTTCCGCGCTGATGCGGACATGCCGCCTTCTCTCCGAAGTCGGGTTCCAGCCTCTATGTGCGCGGTCTGGAGAGCCTCTCAGGACGCCTACGCAAATCTTGTCGTTCCTCGAGTTCCTCCATATTGGCGCACCGCACTCGCCTGCTCCAGTCATCAAGGACTTGCGTCTCAGTCTAGAAGAGCACCGTGTGCCTCAACGTAAGGCTAGCTACTTTGAACACCACACTCGCGAGCCGGCCTACTTCACCACCTCAAGCGACCCGCTACAGGAAGAGTACCTCCTCCGCGCGTACCGCAACCAGGCCCTTGAGGCCTTCCGTATGATTCTACAAAAATGCTGTAATCTCCGTCGACTCAATATTGGCCGCTGGTACGAAGACGTCCCGATCGCACCACTGACTCATGTCATCTCAAGCCTGACAGCGCTGGAAGAGCTCCGGATGCCCATGGTCCCTCGATCTCAGTTGTGCAATGACGTCCGGCTCGCGAGTCTCCCTTTGCGCAAGCTGGTCCTTCGACCCGGTAGGTGGCATGAACTCCCAGACGCTCTGAATCTGTTGCAGCCGCTTTCTTCTACCCTGGTCGAGCTGGACATCCCCGTCTGCCGGTGGAAGCGACCGGATGCCCCATTCCCGCATGTACGCAAGCTTGCGATCGAGTTCCCAGCCTCAGGCGACGTTGTCCTCGATCTGGTGCACGCGTTTCCAAACCTGACGCACTTGTCTCTCGGGGGCACGCGCAACTTCCATCTGTGTCATACGTTGTCCTCGCGTGCTGAAGAGGACAGGCTGCGAGAGCATTCGCAAGGCCAGTGGCGCTTGCTAACATATTCATGGCCTTCTCTCGTCGCGGTGCACACGGAGTCGCCTTGCGTGCTGTATACCCTCGCGCTGCCGTTCAAGGTTCCGCGGGTATCGATTGGGTACTCTGCTGGGGACCCCGCAGAGAACATGCTCCCTAAGATACTAGCGGATACGTCGCCCACTTGTCTAGAGATGCGCATCAAGCAGGTGCACTTCAAGTACTTTCCTCTGCCACGCCGGTTCACGGGACTCAAGCCCGGTGACGCAACGGCCTCGCTGCAACGTTTCATCCTAACCATGGAAGGCACTGCAGTGCCAGACTACGTCATGGTCACCAGTATGCTCATCGTGAGTCTCCACTTATGTACCATCTTGCCGATCAAACATTGACCGTTATATTATCTAGGACGAACTGAAGGAAGCCCTCGTCGGCCTCCCGGTCACGCACCTCCTCCTCAAGTTCTCCCTCGACCATTTCTTTGCCTCCCGCGCGCACACCCGCAGCGTCGTTCGCACTATCTGCGCAGACGCACCTCGCCGCGTGGCAGCCATCGCGCGCGCTGCGCCCTCCCTCCGCTGGATTGGCGTTCACGTCCACGTGTGTGGCGGGCCGACTTGGCTGTATTGTTGGACGGTATCACGAGAGCAACCCGTTGTGTCAGACTTCGACTTTAACGCAGCGGCGCGCGTTACGTTGGAGGAGATCAGCGAGGACGACGGTTGGGAGATGCTTGCCGCTGAGGAGATGGAGGACGTCGCGGGACTTTGAGCTCGTGCTTTCCATAAACTCTTCTGGTGGCGGTCCGATACAGATTCCCCTTGCGTGTATGGTTGCGTGCCCGTTTCCGAATTGTGTCGTCTCTCGACTGCAAATTTGTGCAGACTTGGACCGGTTCTGTTGTTCCTGACACCTATTATAAGTTCATACGTTACGAGGACATTGCTGTTCTGTCCCTGTGAATCTGTACAATCATGCTTCTTTGTGGGCCGGACCTCCAACGATCGGCGCACCGGGGCGCGCCGCCACAAACCGCACGTTATAGCCATTTTGAAGCTGTTGCAACCCCTAACTCCGACCTGACGTGACGACACAAAGAGACATGTTCCCGACAGTCTACACTCCATATTTCCTGTCTTCTCGGCAATAGGCCGGGTGCGGACAGTGAAACTCAGGGGAAAACTGGCTAGCCACCAGGATGATGTGTTCCCCATTAACGCTGAACCATCATCGGGGGCCCTCAGTCTGACAGATAGTAAGTTAGTAGCGCTGTTCCAACGCTAGTGGAACAACCGATTGTACAACCAAGTAGCGAAAGGTATTTGGCAGTATTCGCACGCGCGGATTATGTAGCTAGACAGGAGGGGCGGGAGCGCCTCGCCAAGCTCGGTGGCGGATCAGCGCTTCACTGCTCAACCAAGCTACATATGGGACACCCGCGATGCGTAATCCAAGATTCCGGAGAGAACGTTGATCCTATGAACGTCCGGATATATTAGATCCCTGGAGTAACTCACTGCGTCAGCTGCCACCCTCCGTCTCTTGCCGACTCTGACCTCTATGTCGTCTCATTACTACCCTCTGGATATCTACAAAGTGCCCAGGAGTCGGTAGACGTCGAGAAACTCGCTCAAGAGCTCGCTAGATACCTAAAGATTACCGCGGAGGACACCGTATTCTTGAGCTATCATGCTACCCGTCGCGACGAGCTCTTCGCTGAATTGTACAGCCATCCTGATGTGAAGTCGGATATCTCCCCTGAACAGTTTGTTGGACCGGGCAGAGACTCTGATGAACACCTTGTCCCTGTAAACGCTGAGATAGAGAGGCTAACGCCACCGAAGACACTCGAGGAGTACGTGGAGTCACTATAGTATCCTCTCATTCACTTACGACTCCTTTTCAGGCGTGTTAAACACCTTCACCTCGCGATGGCTGCCCTCATGGTTTTTAGTCAATTCAAAGTTCACTATGCCCTCCTCGATTATTCAGACCTCGCGATGGGAGTTGAGATACGGAAGGAGCGGATGTGCGTGTCATAGTTATTTTTCCTTTTGGGCTGTCCCCGTGCTAAGGATGCCATTGCAGCATGGATGAATGGTATAAGACGGAGTATCCTCGCCTTTTCCCCGACCGCGTGAAGTTAGCCAAGACTTCATCAACTCCACCGACCTTTGGACCCCTTCCCATCGCGCCTCACACTCGCCTTCTCACTGCGCCTAGAAGCCTTTCTAGCGAGGAAGTATCGCAGCTCCTGAGTAGCCCGGGAACTCTTGTGGGGAAGCGATTTTTGTATTCCCCACCTCTTCAGGAACAAGAGGGCCGTGGCGCGTGGGAAGTGGTTTCATATACCGTTCGCAAAGCTGGGGAGGGTATCGAGCATGAGTTCCAGGTAGTGTGTGAGGCGCTCGGTGGAGATTCGCTTCCAATGGATGAGAAGGAGGTTCGAGATCTCCTGCGGTTCCCGATGTTTGACGTTTAATCAAGATGTTCCTCACTGCATCTTGTCTTCGAGTTGCCGTAGCTTTGATGTCACATCTGACTTGACTGCATTGTTGTACGTTATCAAGAGAATTCCGTTGCGTCTGATTCCGACTTCGATGCACCGACGAGCATTACTTTGCAAGAGATCGGGGAGGACAAATGTTGGGAGGTGTTTACTGCGGAGGATGGAGGAGTTTCCGAAGGCTTTAGCTTTGCTCTACGTAGCTGTCTCAGTTCGTCTACTACTTTTAGCCCGTAGACAAGTTGGCCATTGCACGTCGCAACGGCCTCTCATCCATAGTTATCGCACAAGACACCCAAAAAGGTCTCTAGATGACCGCGATGCAGCGCCATTTTCACCAACAAATGCGGCCTGGACCATGATTATCAAAACTCCCGGTCTCGCCCACACTTTCCCTCTCCTCCAATGGCAAAGCTATGCAGGGGCTTTACGGAGCGTTGGGACAGATTAGTTTACCAGGGACAATGGCGACGCGCTCCTCTTCTCTCATGCTCAATGCCTGTCTCCTCTCTGGAGTCGCTGGCCTTGCCTGTTCTTGAGCTCACACCGTTTCGCGCTCCCTCGCACCCGTTCTTGCTGCCCAACTCCGACCTCAGGCCTCAGCCCCGAGAGAGAGCCTCTACTTGCCTGCTCGCCTGTCTACAAGATTCCTCAGTGAAGACGGTGTAAGTCCATCTAAGACTCATCTCTACGCATTCTACCCTTCGCACTCTGTCCCGCCACCGCATTGCTGCGACAAGCCTTCTCCTCAACCAATTCCCCCGCCACATGTCTGTGCCCGCAACGATAGCGATCCAGCAACCCGTTCGCATGCTATCAGGTGATCCCCGACCTGCAAACCCACCTTCGTAAGGGCAACGTTCACGCCTCGCGGGGAGCTACGGACTGTAGCCGCATACACACGAAGACGAGCAATGATACCATTGTATGAAATTGCGCATCGCGACGCGCGAGAGTTGCAGTACAGCAGCAGCGCCTTTTCGATGCCTGCTCCAGTGAAGTTTGGGTGCAACCTCAGTTTGGTTTGCAAAATCGTGGTTCAATCTGATTGCGAATACAGTCTACTATCAAGTAGCTAGAGCATTTACATGACATAATTGGCGACATTCATAGCAGCGGGACTCGGTGTCGTATACAGTGGCGGAACTCCCGGGTGCCCTTGAGGGACTGGTTGAAGTGGTGCGGAGAGATTATGACCATTTCCTACCAAACGGTGCACCAAATTGCGCGGCGCAGGTCCAACCAAGCGTTGCGCAAGGTGGCCGCCTAACTTAACCTCATTTGACACATCCATGAGGTTCATGTCATGTATGTAATGCAGCTTCAAGCCTAGACAGCATTACTCGTATCAGTGCACGAATCACGTCGAGTACACCGGCACACACCTTTCACCGTGGTCGACAGCTTGTTATTGGGTCGGATGTGCGTAAGGTCAATCATGACTTGATACGCCTCAAGGGCGGCTACCTCCGTATGACAGTGATCCGAGTACTGGTGGTGACCGAAGCCAGCAGCCCGTAGCCTCTTAATCAGCTCTCGATAAGTCTTGACTATCATTCCGTTAATGAGTTGAAGTAGTATCGCGTACGAACGACGAGAAGGATTGCGTACCACGAGGTGATTCCCAGCCCCCCGGGACAGGGTCTTCCGTCGGTCGAGTGTAGATGTCGTACGATATACCATAGGTACCAAACGGCTGGAATGTCAGCTGGTGAAGTTGGCCGGCGAGCCAGAGATGATCCACAAGTGCCATGCTAGCAGAAATGTGTTGTGGCAGACTGCTTCGCGCACTGGGAAGGTGGAGAGGGTTGACGAGTGATTGCAGGACCGGCAAGGAGACGAGACATAAATAGAGAAGCGGGCATGCTCATCCCTGGTGATAAAGTAAGAGGGTTGAGCCCATGGTGTACGATCCCCATGAAGGATTGTCACTTCGCGGCAGACAAAACAAGCAAGAGGCAGGGATGCATCTTGACAAAGGTAATCCCAAAAGTAGCAGGAGGTCCTAGTATCACGCCATCATGCTAGTACAGCCGTCACCATGTCCGCCCATCGGAACTTCTGGTGAACACGAGGCCCCGGATAGTCTCATACAAGAGCAGCCCCAATTGAGGCAGGAGGTACTAGTATCACGACATCATGCAAGGACAGCCGTGTTCCCTCATGGGAACCTGTGGATTTCTGGTGAGCACGAGAAAGGCCCCGAAAAGTCGCTTACAAGAGCAGCCCCAAACGAGGCAGGAGGGCCTACTAGTATCTGTGATGCTCACAATACAACGAAGTCGTAAGGATCCTGATCCTGTCGGCAGTCACGAATAAGCGCTAAGCGTTTGTCGAGCAGGTCGAACCGTGAGAACGTTTACGACGCTCACATGCAGAGCTGATTTATAGCGAACGCCACGTCGTTCTTATCCTCCTAGCCACTCCTAGCCACTCTTCGTTCCCGCAATCCGCGTCATGTCGACCCCAAGCTATGATTTGGATGTCTATAAGATACCGAGGAACCTGGTCGACGTCGAAGCTCTTGCTCAGCAAGCATCTCGATACCTCAAGATTGCCGCGGAGGATGCTGAATTCCTCAGTTACCATGCAACCCGCCGGGACGAGATTGTAGCTGAACTCTACAGGCAACCTGGGATCAAGCCGAATACCAGTCCAGATCAATTTGTTCCGCAGGGCGCTGATCCTGACGTGCATCTTATCCCTGCCGATGCCGTGATCGAGGAACTCACGCCGCCGAAGACACTCGAAGAGTAAGTGCAGTGTTTTGTGGAAGTACTCTGTCACTGACCTGAATTTACAGCCGTGTCAAACGTTTGCACTTTGCCGCCGCTGCGATGTCGGTCTTCAGTCGATTCAAGATCACATACGGGCTGCTAGATCATCCCGACCTTGAGATGCAATATCAGCGACGGAGGACGCAGATGTACGTAATCCAAACTATCGTCTTCATGGCGTGCTGAATCCGTTGCGTCCCTACCATGTAGCATGAGTGAATATTACAAGACGGAATTTGCTCTTCTGTTCCCTGAAAGCATGAAACGTGTTGCCGCCAAGCGCATGCCGGTGACTCCACCGACGCGCGGGCACCTTCCCTCTCCCCCTCCCTCTCGCCCCTCTACGATTTCCAGGCGTGTCTCTAGAGAGGACGTAGACCGATTTCTCAACAATCCTAATACGCTCGTGGGGAAACGATTCGTGCACTCCACTCAGGGCGAAGGCCAAGATCAAAGTGATAGTGATTATGGCACATGGCACGTCACTTCGTACACCGTTCGCGTAGCTGACGGCGGCGTCGAGCACGAGTATCAGGTCGTGCTCGAGGCGTTGGGCGGAGGTGCACTGCCCATGGACGGAGATGAGGTTCGATATCTCCTGCAGGACTCCACCTTCGCCGTTTAACTCGATTCGCTTTGTATGCCGTTGTCTCGAACTTGTCGGTTGTGTCATACTATCCGTCCATGTATATAAGTGCGAAGCGCAATGTTTTTGGTCTTGAGGTCGTCATCAGAATAACGCCTGCCGAGCAGATACGCTACGGGAACGTCCCGTTAAGACGCATCGCATCACATTGAACAACGGTTTCGGACACGGATATGCTACGCACAACACCAATCCTCGTTACATTGAACGTGCACTAAGACACCGAAATAGCTACATGGAGCGAACGAGAGCCGTATCGGACTGTCATTAGGCGGATGCATGCAGGCGGTGATGACAGTGATAATGCAGCGGAAACTTGCCCTTGCCGGCACACATTCCGCACCCGCACCATCGTATCGCTTCAACAACAAATGAATCTACAGACAGGGAGTAGTTGCCCCAGCCTTCTTCCACACCGCTAGTGAGTTTGCGTAGCCTCCCGCCTTCGCCACTGCGAGCGATACATAACCCCCATCAACATCTGTGCCACCCAAGTTCGCGCCCGCCTTCACCAGCAACTCCACGAGCTCCTCGTGTCCCTGCCTCGCTGCGTAGTACAGCGGGGTGTGGCCCAGCGCGTCGCGAACGTGCACGAGCGCCCCGGCCTCGAGGAGCATGTTCGCCGCACAGATCGATCCGTTAAGCGCAGCGACGTGCAGCGGGGACCGCCCAGACGCGGGATCTGCGCAGTTGGCGAGCCCGCCGCTGACCGCCAGCGAACTCGCTTCGGGATTGGACTCAACGGAGAGCGCGAAAGAAACGGCTTCGGGGTCGTCACGTGCGACGGCGAGGTGCACGAGGAAGGGGAAGAGCGAGCTCTCGATCGACGACGCCTCAGCCGCGGTCCAGCTCCACGGAGCGGTGGCCTCATCTGCCTCTTCGTCGCGCGCGTCTGCTCCGTCGACGAGGATCCGAGGGGAGCGCGCTCCAGAGGAGGAGATTGTGGAGAGGCGAACGACCTGAGAGAGCAACCCTTGGAGGTTGTCGAGGCTGGGCCCTACCGCGGATGGCTTACTGAGTACCGCCGGGATCTTGCTCTCTGGGAGAGTCAGCTCGCCGCGGAGTGGCGTTCCGATAAGCGAGCGGACTTGAGCCACCGAGAGTTCCGGCTTGGATAGAAGGTAGCTGAGCTTCGTGAGAGCGCACTGCGTGATTCAAAAGTCCGTTGATGATCCGCTCTACCGTTTTGGCAGGTATCGTGCGACGCACCTCTGGGGTCATATCGCCCCCTGGAACAACACCGGCCTCGAGGAGGCTCCTTCCAGTCTCGTACGCGTCGGACACGGATCCTTTGCTGCACTGTGAAATTGCCACGATTACTACGCCGTTATCGCATGCTTCTTTGAGTGCTGCGACCAGGTCCGCCCGCTGGGGCGCATTCCCTGCGCCAAACGTCTCAAGTACAACACCTTGGGTCGGATGCATGACAAACGCGCGGATGGTCGCCCCTGTGATACCGGGAAAGAGGCGCAGGGTGGCTGTATGATGAGGAACGTCGGATGCATGTTAGAGTATGCTGCCTGAGAACCATTTACCAACGTGAGGACTCATGACTATAGACCGAATCCAGTTAGCTATGGAACGGCGAAGGTTCTGTGGTCACGTACGCTTGTGGGAGCGGAAACGCCGCAGACTAGTCTGCCGCAGGACATCTTGCCAATTGACCATGATGTCAATTCCAACTGTTCACCGCGTTAGAGAGATCATGGGATGGACAAAATGAGCGAGTGTGAGACTCACCGTTGACAAGCGGAGGAAAGTTCGGACTGTTGAACGCGTTTAGATCATAAGAGGACATTTTTGAAACTCTGTTTCCCCGGAACAGAGTATGATTGAAGTACAAACAGCACTCTGTAAAAGACGTCCGAAGCGCCATGTTAACGTACCTCCTAAACATGACAACCAACGTTACCTGGAATGATGTAGTGTCCTGCGATAACCAAAGCGCCCAACAAATTGTCCACAGCGTCATTCCGGAGCTGGGATATGGGGATCTGGGCACCCGTTACTACCTGCGATGTAGCGATTGAAATGAACGTTTGGCAGAACATGGCAGAGTGAAACAGGACATACGACTGTCTTGCCCAAGTCTTCCAGCATGAAGCTGAGAGCAGATGAAGTGTACGACATGGTGTCGGTGCCATGAAGGATTACGAAGCCATCGAAATTCGAGTAATTGAGTTCTATATCAGACGCGATCCTGATCCAATCTGTATATGCGATATAGGGTAATTAAGACGTGAGGCGCGAAGTAGATAATAGAAAGGCAGTTATCTCAGATACCTTGAATCTCAATATTGCTGCTATCCAGAAGAGGGCTCCACTATTGACTGGGTGAGAAATCAAACCAATGGCAGAACATGAAACAGACCTCAAGGACGGCATACCGTATGCGCTTGCGGCTTCCCCCAGGACCACTGCTTCTGGGCGTCACGAGCGTCGGCAATTGCGCCTCGTAGACATCTTCCGATATCTGTACGCAGACGGGCTGGCGCAATGGGACGATTTGTTCTGGGGATGCCGCAAGGTTTTGCAGTGCACCAATGGGGCGAGATGATCGGACAGGCAGAGTGAGCAACTGATGAGCCTCTGGGCGTGACCCTTCGCAACTTGGGGATGGTTCGCGGCTACGAGAGGTGGCGCCGACTGGTGTGTTCTTCCCGCTGCTCGTCCATCTCCGGTAGCCCTCAATGGACCCGGAATGGGAGAACAGAGACTCTTCGAGGGGGTCATGGAAGCGATGCTCGCTGTGAAGCGTCTCCGTGAGGAAATATGGCTCTGGGACATAGCCCTTTTGGCTGAATATCATATTGATTGTTCCTCCGGTGTTCAAAATGAGGACCTTAGACTCTTCTGAGGACCTTGAGATGTTCATGGTGGGCGCATTGAGATGATGGCAGAGATGAGACGGCCGACTGTGTACAAAATAAAGCCCGGACTGCGAGGCTCGGAGGTCGAGTGCGTAGCGCTGGGGCGCGGTGGAGAATGCTCGGATAGATTAGATTAGCGAAAAGTTAATCTCGATCGTAATATCACTTGCTCGGCGTATATGACTGTGTCCCTTCCTCCTGACTCCTACATCCCCGCCTTCTCATCCTGTCCGTCATGGAGGCCCTCAAAAACGTATTCCAGCAAAAGAATAGTGCGGTGCGCATCCTGGTCATATACAGTGAACTTAGCTCATCGCTTCGTTCAGACAAGTCCAGCACTTGTCACCTTCGTGACCGCCGGCTATCCCAATGTCGAGGACACGGTCCCGATCCTTCTTGCTATGCAGGAGGGAGGGGCAGACATCATAGAGCTTGGCGTGCCATTCTCCGATCCCATTGCAGATGGTCCGGCAATACAGGAGACCAACGTGGTACGTGCTCAGCTCCCTTCGATGAAGACTCACGGTTTAAGCAGTTGTTCGCGATGCGCAGGTCGCCCTCAACAATAACGTTGACTATGTTCAATGTCTCGGGATGGTCAGGGAGGCGCGCAGCAAGGGTCTTACTGTTCCTATTCTCTTGATGGGTGAGTCACATCTTTCGGTCGCGTGACACCCTCGAGGCAAACCTACTTCTCCTTCAGGATACTATAACCCATTAATCGCCTACGGAGAAGAAAAGGCCATCCAAGATGCCGCAGAAGCTGGTGCCAATGGATATATTGTCGTAGATCTTCCACCAGAAGAGGCTGTTGCTTTCCGTGACAAGTGTCGCACCGCAAAGTAAGTCGCACGAGCATGATATTTGCTCGCCTCTTGATCTCTCCCCCTAAGCCTATCCTACGTCCCTCTCATCGCCCCTTCAACATCATTGGCACGCATTGAATTCCTCTCCTCAATTGCCGATACCTTCATCTATGTAGTCTCTAAGGTTTGCTATGATCTTGCTGAACCGATTCCTACGTATAAACTCATCATTCCCTGTAGATGGGTACCACAGGTTCCTCAGTCACGGGAACGATGAACACCGCACTCCCGGACCTCATCTCACGAGTCCGAGACTACACTGATGTTCCTCTCGCCGTCGGCTTCGGAGTTGCAACTCGTGCACACTTCGACCTTGTCGCAGACGCGGGCGCGGACGGCGTTGTGATCGGCAGCCGTCTCATCGCAGTCATCAAGTCCTCTCCACAAGACCAGATTGCAAAGAAGGTCGAAGAGTATTGCGCGGATATCAGCTTGAAAGGCCAGCCGCCGAAACGCCCGTCCGCGACTCACCGCTCGACGTCGGTACGCTCGCGGCCGAGTGTGAAGTCGAGCGTGTCAACAGACTCTGCGCAAAGGAACGTCTTGCCGTCGCGCTTTGGGCAGTTCGGCGGGCAGTATGTTCCTGAGGCCCTCTGGGACTGCCTGATTGAGCTCGAGGAAGCACACAACGCTGCGATGAAAGACCCTGAGTTCACTAAGGAATGGCAGAACCTGTACGGGTACATGAATCGCCCGTCAAATCTGTACAAAGCTGAAAAGCTCACCGAGCATGCGGGCGGCGCAACCATCTGGCTCAAGCGTGAAGATCTGTGCGTCTGCCTTGTGATCTCCTCCTTATGTTGTCATTGACAGCTTTCCTAGGAACCATACCGGCTCACACAAGATCAACAATGCTATCGGCCAGGTACATCCCTTCTCTTGTTGACCCTACAACAGGTCGAAATGACCGCGTTCCTTGCAGATCCTACTCGCGAAACGCTTAGGCAAGACCCGTATCATCGCCGAGACCGGCGCAGGCCAGCACGGCGTCGCGACCGCGACCGCGTGCGCCCGCTTTGGACTCCAATGCGTCATCTACATGGGCGCCGAGGACGTCCGGCGCCAGGCGCTCAATGTTTTCCGCATCCGTATGCTCGGCGCACAGGTCATCCCTGTCCACTCGGGCTCGTGCACGCTCAAGGACGCGGTGAACGAGGCGCTCCGGGACTGGGTTACGAACCTCGCGAACACGCACTACCTCATCGGCTCAGCGATCGGGCCGCACCCGTTCCCGACGATCGTGCGCGACTTCCAGCGGGTGATCGGCCAGGAGATCAAGAGCCAGCTTAGGGAACAGACGGGGAAGCTGCCCGACGCGGTAGTTGCGTGCGTTGGGGGCGGGAGCAATGCTATCGGGACGTTTTACGACTTTATCGAGGAGAAGAACGTTAGGCTCGTTGGAGTCGAGGCTGGTGGCGAGGGCCTGGGTGGTGACAAGCACAGCGCCACGCTGAGCAAGGGCCACGCTGGTGTCTTCCATGGCGTGCGGACGTACGTCCTTCAGTCTGCGACCGGTCAGATCGTCGAAACACACTCCATTTCTGCGGGACTTGACTATCCTGGTGTTGGGCCTGAGCACGCCTGGCTGAAGGACTCTGGTCGCGCGGAGTACACTGTCGCGACCGATGAGGAGGCTCTTCGAGGTTTCAGGCTTCTCACCCAACTGGAAGGCATCATCCCTGGTATGTGTCCTTTCCCACCCTGGAAGGGCGCATGCTCACAGGCCTGTCTCTTTCTCTCTAGCCCTCGAGTCATCCCATGCTATTTGGGGCGGTGTCGAGCTCGCGAAGACCCTTCCAAAGGACGCGAACATTGTCATCGTATGTTACTTTTTGTTCTGATTGTTTTCGCGCCACTGTACTAATCGGCCCCTGTATCATTGCCCAGTGCCTGTCTGGCCGTGGCGACAAAGACGTGGAGCAGATCTCGCAGCTCCTCCCGGGTAAGTGGGAGGAGAAGCTCGACTGGCATATCTCCACCTCCCCTCTGGAGAACAGCAAGCAATAGATTAAGGCAAGGCCCGAAGTGTATGTACGCTGTGTAGAACGGGAAAGAAAAGCGCGCGGCTAGCCTCATGTACTATTAGATCGGGGACGCCCATGTTGTATATCTCACGAAGACAATCTACAGGGATCTTCCAGCTGTTGTACGTATCTGCGTTCGTGTCCCAAGGTTCTGGACCACGATCCCTCTGTGTGATGGCACACCCAAAGCACAGACCTTGAGGCGTGATCCAGAGGTATGTTGCCAATTGCAAACAGACGTCAGGCCCCTCGTCATCACTACTGCCACTCACCATCAGACCACCGCCCCCTCCGTCCCTTCTGGCGGCCTCCTGTCTGGTGGAACTGGTTGCAAGCTCGCACTGGACCTTCACAGCCTCTGGCCCAAGCATCCGCCCTGGACACAGAATGTCCAATCGGGAGGACATGTCCTTAATAGTCGAACAATAGGATCATTCGTGGCCGCGTGCACCCTCGGCGACGTCGTCGGGAGCGCCACCCGCTCAGATCCACAAAACACACAAAGTGAGCTTTGGGCCGTAGCATCTAGATTCGGGCCCGGGAGTACAGTAAAGGAAGCTCCTATACGCTTCGATCACTCCGTTGGCTAGGCGTTCCTGTCAGTCCGCGATGCGTCGACCTGCGCCACATTGAGAGACAGGGTGATGGAGGTTGGGGAGAGAGGTATATAAAGGGTGTGGAATGAGTGCGCTCCTCTTCCTTGACATAGAAGCACTCCCATCCGACGTCACTAACACAATCCCTCCTCCGGACCTCTCTGTTGACAACTCGTGGTTGTCGCTATAACGCCTCTTACAAAGCCTCTCACCTTTCGGCCCCGAACGACCTTCTTCCATGGACGTCGACCAGGAACTCGCCCGTATCCAGCAGGCCATCTCGGAGCTTCGTGCTTCCGAATCGCAGCCTCAAGTCCTGCGTTCCGAACCACAGCCTGTGTACGCGGTTCGTTTTGCCTGGTCCTTGCAGGAGACTGAGCGCCCCGCAGACACAATGACCCAGTGGGCAACCCTCCCCCAGCCCGCGGGCTGTCTAGGGACGAGGCTACGGAGCTCTTCATACAACAACATGTGTGAGCTACCACCGTGCCGCCAAGCGATGCAACCTAACCCACTGACCACACCCACCATTCGTGGCCCGCAGGGCTGAAATACTGGCGGCTATGAGGCAGCCCTCCCCTAGGTCTAGGAGTGTCCCGCGTCGGGATCCAGATGCTATTCTCCCCGACTTGGTGCGGCCGCAACATGATCCTGAAAGGCGTCCGACAGCCCGCCCCTCAGACGCGCAACCTTCGACTGGTGGCTCGCCCGACGAGGATCGTGCCAGCGAAGACGCACCGGGCGCCGACCAGGCCACTTCCTCAGCCGGTGGCAGCGGCTTTGACCACCGCGCAGCATTCGAAGCACTCGATTTCTCCGGTCTGGCGACCGCCCGGTATAGCATGTACGAACGCTACTTCGTGATCCCTGGGGACCCCCACGAACAGCGCCTGGCGGAGCTGGAGCCTTATCCTTACTGGATGGGAAGGCCCAGGACGGTGCGCAACGCCGACGGCTCGGAGAGCACTTTGCCTGGGCTCAACGTCCTCACAGAGGACCCGTACGTGTACCCGTGGGAGGTTTTGTGATGTCCGCTTGTCTGTTCGGGATGGAGTTTGGATATGGATATGGGGACGATGCTGATGTATTGTATTAGGAGGACATGTCTCGGAATGTGATGATGGACGTACACGCTTTCTCGAACAGTGTACGAGCTTGACGACCTAAGCAGGCGGCACATAGATGGAGCATCCTATTGTGTAAGGTATATGTCCAAGACAGATTATCAGGGCCCTCAGGTAGGAGGGTGGCTAAAATGGTGGCCTCGTCAAAGCTCCAATTGTTAGCTACAGCTCCGCTTAGTCGGAACCGCCCGTCTTTATGATCTCCCTGGGGCACCAGTAGGCCACTCGTCTCGTCTTGAGGTGAACAACAGCACGCGCTGCGCGGGCCGATCCTGATGAGTGCTCGCCGATACTTACAAGCGTCCAAGGTCAACAACTTGAGGTATCCGTGAGCGACGAACGGATAAGTAGTGTGCGAAGGGCAAGAAGACAACGGAGCAACTGTGCAATGAGTAGAGGGTCGATGCATGTGATGTTTCTGATGTTTGATATGGTACTCTTCCGATTCCCGAGCCTGATCGAACGTAGCGTGCGCGAGACGGGTCTCGGGAGGAGCCCCGGACGGTGAGGTTAATTTGTGCCTGTGGAAGGAGAACGCTGAAACGAGCGTGCTGTGGCCCACGCCGGCCGGGAGGAGTCGGGGCAGGCGGGAACATGGCGGGGGATTGGCCAAAACGGGCATGCGGAACGGGATGAGAAGGGGCGTGATCGCGCGAGGCACAACTTACTGCCGCACGTGGCATTCGAGGATTGATCGAACGGGCCCGGGTCGAGATGCGTCGAGAGATACGTGTGAGAGCTGCAGAGGCAGGAGAGAGAGCAAGTACATACTGTGGGTGGGGACAATAAATCAGGGAGACGACATGAGATCTGTCATGAGTACGGGCGGAAGCAGAGGCAGAGGTGGGAGACAACTGCCGGAGAGAGCGTTCTGCTGAGATCAGGCTGCAGGCGCCTGGGAGTGTGCAGCCAAGCGCCGGGCCACGGACACAGGCGGGCGCCCATGGGAGACGGCCGCGGATGGTCGTCGAGCAGTTCGCCATCTCTCCTTTGATCCTCCACTGGCCTGTGAGTGTCCCCCGACTCCCTCCCGTCCCCCGCCTCCCCGCTCACTGCTCACAACAGCGCCAGCCCCTTCCGCCCGCCAGCACTCTTCACTGCCGCTCCCCAGCCTTTGTGTCCACCTTTTCTCCCCTTCTCTCCCACCAACTTCCCGCCCTTGTCGCTCCCAGCCTCGCCTCCCTCCCCGTCCCCGACTGTAGTCCTCCACGATGAACTCTCGTCCGCATAAGCAATCCATGTCCGAGCTCAAGCTCCGTCGCCTCACAGAGCACAACCAGCGTCTCAGAGAGGACCTCGCCCGGCCACGGATAAGGGTCAGCGAGGCTAGTGCCAGGTGAGCCCGCTTCCCGTCCCTTCTCCCGCCTCTCAGGCACCCCGCTGCCAGGGTGAGAGCTCCAGGCAACGAACCATGCTCATCCATTCGTTTCCACCCAGTCTCATCCGCTATTGCAAAACGACAAAAGATCCCCTCGTGCGTACCAACCGCCATCAGCCCACCCTGCCATCACGCGTCTTCCCTCTTCTCCCCGCTCGTGTGCTAACCGTTCTCGACAGGTACCGTCAGTATGGGGTCCAGTACCACGCGCCGACGACCCGTACCAGTCGCAAGGCGGCACAGGCAAGGGCTGCTGCGTCATCCAATGACCGACACGCGCCCCCGCCTCTTCAAGCCCTTCCGCCTTCCTGTTTTTCTCTATGGCGTCGTCCTGTCTGCTGTCTGCTCCCCTCCCCTTCAGGCCAACGTTTGCGCACACGTACACTCCGCTCCCTTACCCCATCACCCTTACCGCCCGAGACTGTCGCGTTCAAGCTGTATCCCTCTCACCCCGTCCCCAGCGTTCACACAACTGCATTTTTACTCCCCTCGCCCGCTTCTGCTTCAGTGTGACGTCTTCTCTTCTTCTCCACCTCTTTATGTTTTCTGTTGAATGTTTATTCCCCTGTTCATCCGTCTGTGGTCCAGTTATACCATCGCTCGTTTCACTCACACAACCCCGTTTCGCCCGATCTGCCGCGTCTCCAACGCACCGGCACCGTCACAAGTCGTCTACCCTGCGCACCAGTGGCCAGTCCCTAGTCCCTGGATCTGTCGTTCGCCATCCACGTGTCGCACAAGTCGCCCTCGCCTCCTGGACATGCTGTGACTCGCGCTCCGGTACGCGCCGGTGTCTTGACTAAGGCCTCTTGACGCTCATCAACAGTGCGTGGCGCAATGCGGGGATAGACGGTCAGTCGGCAGACGGCTGTCCGATTGGACGGGGCGGGTCCGTGGGGCAGGGCGGCAGGAAAATCACCGTCCTTCCGGGCGTGAAGAGCGGAGGAGGCAAGGATCCGATCGGACTGGATTGGCGGATATGGACTTGAGGAAGCTTGGGAAGGGATGCAGCGGGTACAGGTTGCCCTTTCCACACCTCGGCGTCGCTTTGGACAGGCTGTTGATCTCTTGAAGCAAGTCCTCGGTTCTCCAAAACCACACCCCCTCCGTTTTCACCATATCTACCCCGTACCGCACCCCGCACGTATACGTATATTATCACCCGCCAGGTCCCTCCAGAGTCCAATACTTATCGCACCGCGTGCGTATCTATGTATGCGCGTCCTTTTTCCGTCTGCTACTCTCTCGCGAGCGTCCGTACGCGTCTGTCTTACGCCGTCTCGTCGCTACTAGAAGTACAAGTATTAGTACTGCTATGTCCTGCCCTCTGAATCCCACAGGTCCTCCCATCTGCGCTCTCCCGTCCGTTCATCCTCTCGTCTTCCCGTCCTGTGCCTCCTGATCACCATTCCTCGCCCACTGCGCACTGCGCTCCGGGAGACACACACCGGAGCCCCCAACCTCTATTCCTGTGCGCGACGACGCCCAACGCCACCGGAGCATGTAAGCACACGTCCTCGGGAGTGAAGCCACGCCGGGCCAGCGAACCGCGTCGCAACGCGATTGGCACCGGTCGCCCGACAAGGACGCAGTCAGACAGATCGACAGACGGGCCTGTAAACCGCGTCCGAGCTCCCCGACACGTCCCAGTCGCTTCCCGGAAGCCTGGCGAGTAACAAGGCACCTCAGATCCCCGTGAGCCTTGCGGGTCACGTCTGGCAGTGCGTTCCTCCAGGGGGCGTAGCGCATCTCTAGGTGTAGCTCCGGTTTAGACTCCCGGGGCAGTAGGTAGAAAGATGCGGTATACGGCAAGCCGCGGGCGACTGCACGCGCTGCATTACATTGCATCGCCCCGGAGCCCGCTTTCTTGTCCCAGCGCCGGGTGCGTATTAGGCTCAGAGCCACGAAGCGCGGAGCGCGTGCAGCCTGCCCTGTGCCCTGATCCTCCCCCAATGCGGTGGGGGTGGGAGCGTGCGGAAGGGAACCGCCAGGGTTCCCACCCCTGGCCCGGGAGGGTGTGCTTCGCGGGGCGCGGCGTCCTCGAGGCGCGAAGCTCGAAGCTCGGCGGCCGGGGCTGTGGTTCGCACAGGGAAGCGGAAGGAGGGAGGCGAGGGGCGCTCTCGGGGAACAAGGCACCGCGACGACGCGGGGTAGCGGATGGGCGGAAGCGCGTGGGCGTGGGCGTGGGCGTGGGCGGCGGGAACGGTCGGAGCGAGTGGCGGTCCGGGAAGCGGTGGGCGGGGTGCGGGGCTTTATGTTGTTAGGCAGATGGCGATGGACGTGGGCACGGCGGTGAGACTGAGGAATGGGAGACAGATAGGGGGAGCGAGAGCATGGCTGTGAGCTGCGGCGCGGCAGCTATAGCTCGTGGTCGTCGTCATCGTACGTCTCCTTGATCAGCCTGCGAGGACGGGGATTACAACAATGATCAGCGTCCGTCCGTCATTGTCGCACAGAAGCCCGAGGCAGTCCATGGCCTCGTGGGACCTGCAACGACAGGGAGAAGGGAGTGACTCACCGGTAGACGGAAGATGGCGGATGGTCGCCGCTGCGAGACAATAGACCATCAGTCGGGACAGGCGTAAATGACAGCGAGGGACGCACTCGTTGGTGATGAACACGTCTACGAGCTCTGGACCGACGTAATCATAGTACGGGTTCACGACGTCGACGCGCTCGACGAGCTTTCCCTCCTCGAACCCCAGCACGCTGCTCGGGTCCGCAAAGTCCAGCGCGCCATAGTCGTGGTAGAGATTCCACAACGGGGTGAGCTTGAACTGCCCCGCGCACACGACCACGGGCGTCGAGTGTGCGCGGGCGGCGGTCGCGGCGAGGAGAGAGCCCGTGATCGCGACGAGCCCCCCATTTGCGAGGATCGCGTGCGCCCCGAGGATGATTTTGTTCACGCGGGACATGATCGCGTATATGGACGAGTCAGGGACGAGGAAGGTGGAGATGCCCGCGGCGGAGAGGGCGCGCGCCATGTCGTGCCCCGAGTACGAGGGCGCGGTCTCCGCGACTATGACGGTGTAGTTGCGGGTGTGGCCCGCGGACTTGAGGAACGCCTCGACGGTCCTTGAGTGTCCAATCGTGAGGATGATTTCGCTAAATACTATGACGTCAGTACGGTCTGGTTTAGGGAGAACAGCCATGGAAAAACAGTGAGGTGAGATGCGTACTCGGAGTGTATGTGATCCTTCGCAGTTTTTGAGACATTGTCGTAGACAGTCTCGAGCTCGTCGAGCACATCCTGAATCGCCTCCATTAGGATTGGCTTGATTCCCCGCGCGAAAGAGTCGGGGTCATCAGGGTCATCCTCCTTCAGCGTGGCGGTAGTCTCGGATTTGGGTGCACCGACCGTTTGCTTGCGAGGTTGTCCTTGCAGAACGAATTTGCTGATTGTGTAGACGTTACGCGACGATGTGGGAGCAGAAACTTTGACTGCGGAATGGTACTCTTCGCGGATGTTGTGGAGGACGCGTCTAACGGTGTTTCCGACTGTGTGTTCTGCAGTCGATCAAGATCTCAGCTCATCACTCAGGCCCATGAGTACGCGCGTGGACACGATGGTCTTTGGGGTTTGGCGACGTGAAGGATGACGGAGACAAAGTACATACCCTTGGGCTGAGCCTCTACTAGTCTCCGTCCGGCTTCACGGATGATAACGATGAGCTGCTGGATATTCGAGAAGCGTGCTTTGGACACGACCTGTCTGAGGACGAGCACCGTCTCTAAAGCGGCCTGTCGAGAGCCAACGATTTGTCTGGGCAATAGAGAGGTCCTCATGAGTGTTCCGATGAAGCAATCGCGCATACAGGGCCTCGCACCGTCTCCGGAGCTTGGCCACCAGAGTTTCTACGGCTTTGTGGCCAGGGATGGGGGTTGGATCGGGTGCCATGGATGGTACTAGGGCTTCTTGCTGTCAGATAGAGCGTGATGCTTTGTTGTAGGACAGAATGAACCGTTTGTACTAGGGTAGGAGACGATGGTCTTGTAGGGAGGAAGAGTTCTCGGCAATTGTGGCAGGTCAGGCTCGCCGCTCGCGGGAGACGCGATCAGGACAAAATCTCGATCGAGGAGATCGAGTCACTCCAATTCCACGTGCCACGCGAACCGGCGCCTCATCTTCCATAGCTCCCTCAGCGAGCTCGCGGCTACAAGCGACAAGCTACGACTCGTGCAATGCATACAGATCAGTCAATTCTTCCTTAATCCTGCACCCAATATCTACTACGTTCCTCCGAGCTCACTCTAATGGCCACTATCCCTCTCAGAATTGTTGTGGCGGGAGATGCCGCGGCACATGACGCTGCGGTCAACTTCTTGTCCACATTCACATCATGCTTTCAACTCAGGCATCCGGTTATGATCTAAGATGTCGATGACCCCTAGCACTCGTCTAGGTGCATAGGCGTACGTCAAAAATCAGCAGCTCAAGTCCGTATCGAGATTTCGTGCGCTCCCGCCATGGAAGAGTACCTGGCCAAGCGACAAAATCTCATCCAGGAGGATCGCGCGAGGAGAGTAGACCGAAATGCCGTATACAGGTCATCTCCTGATGAACTTCGTGCCGACGAGCTTATCCGGCGTATCCGCAAGGACGAGGGCGAAAGTATCTGGGGCAAGCAGCAGCTACATGGTTCAGAACAGCTCTTTCCAGGCATGGAGTTCCTGACCTGTAAGTCATCTGTCCCGCAAGGATCAATACGAACCAGAAAGGGCGCTGAGCGCACCCTGTAGCTCGCGAAAAGATAGTCGGCACCAAAGTATATGACATTCTGAGCCATGTTTGTTCTCGTCTCCAGGTGATTTCTCGAACTTAAACGTTTTGCTCATTTTGAAATCGCAGATGCCCAAAGGAGGGCTCCTACACCTCCACCTAGGTATGGTCGTTCAAGTGGACAAAGTGCTCCGGATGGGGCTCAAGTACCCTGCCATGCACGTCCGCACCTCTGCTCTACTGACCGCCGATAACCTCACGACGGTGCTCCCAATCTTCCGGGCTCTCCCCCAGGACAAGTGGACGACGCACGCCAGCCTCACCGACCCACTCTACGTACCAGATTCGTGGGTCCCTATCCAGAGGGCGCGCAAGAACTTCAGCGAGGCATTAGGCGGCCCCGAGGGCTTCGATCGCTGGGTGACGGACTGGATGGTTATCAACCCATCTGAGGCTTACGGCACTCACAACTCCCCGGACAAGATTTGGTCCAAGTTCTACGCGACGTCTATGGTTTCTCAGGTGCGTTCAATGCCATCCAATAAGTGCCTACACTCCATCATCTGATGTCTACCCGCATTCCGCAGGGACTAATCTTCTTTCTCCCGCTTTGGGAGGAGTATGTCCGCGAGGTTTTCCTCTCCTCCTTGGAGGACGGCATCTCTTACACGGAGCCGCGCTACATGTTCGGTGAAAAGTAAGCCTCGGTAGATCCCCGCATCTTGCCTCGTCCTAGCTATCCTGATCCGCGAACCGAACCCAAAAGATTCATGATCGGCGCGGATGGCAAGAAGAACGTCCCCCACCACGAGTGGCTCCGCGTCTATGACCGCGTTATCGCCTCCGTGAAGTCTACGCTCCGCGACCCCTCCGTGTTCCTCGGGTCCAAGCTCATCTACTCGGTCGTGCGCAACCTGTCCCTCGAGGACATGGAATGGCACCTCGATAACTGCCTCGCGCTCAAGCGCGATTTCCCGCACCTCATTGCGGGGTTCGACCTCGTCGGGCACGAGGACTCGCTGAAGCCGTTGATTTATTATGCGGAGCCCTTCCTCAAGTTTTTGGAGAAGCAGAAGGAGCTGGGGGTGCATGTCCCGTTCGTGTTCCATGCAGGGGAGACCCTTGGAGATGGGAGCGCGGCAGACATGAATTTGTATGATGCGATTTTGTTAGGGACGAAGCGCATAGGGCACGGGTCAGTATTCTTTCAGGCTTGCCTCTGCTGGACAATGCCGGAGGCTTATGCGACCCTGCGTAGCTTCTCGCTCATCAAGCACCCGCGACTGATGGAGCTGTGCAAGGAGCAGAAGATCTGCGTCGAGGTCTGCCCTATATCGTAAGTGCCCGACTCCCTTAACTTCACTGGCATACACGACGGTCGCTGACTTGTCGTTGCATTCAAGCAATGAGATATTGGTACGGAACTACGATGAGACGTATGCATGGCTGCAGTGACTGACGTGGCCGTGCAGCGTTACTGCGGCTCCATGCCGATGCATCCCCTGCCTGCACTCATGAACCAAGGCGTCCACGTTGCCCTATGCTCGGATGACCCGGCCGTGTTTGGTAACATGGGGCTTTCCTTCGACTTCTTCCAGGTATCCACGCCCTTTGTCGCTACTTGCACCCATACACTGACATTGAATGCCCAAGATATTCGTCGCGAGCGATATCCATGGCCTCGGGACGCTTCGAGAGCTTGTGTGGGATAGTATCCGGGTAAGCTATCGCCACTCATTTCTCAATCCTCTATGACCCCGATGATCTCAAAAAAAACCCGAGAAGTACTCCGGCCTGGACGAAGACGAGAAGGGGCACGCCTTCGCTATGCTGGAAGGGCAGTGGAACACCTTTGTGAAGTTTATTCTCGACAAGTATGGCAAAGACTCTGCGAGAGGGCAGCCTTGAGCAAGCGGTGGTATGCAGCTGACTGACATCACGCTGTATCCTCTGGTGGCCCCGACTTGGACAGCTCCGGGGCGTTCTGTGGGGTGGGCTGTATGCGCTAGAGCCATCGACTGCCCGATAGGCACGAACAGAATGCCTCGTCTCAGTTCATGGCACCCTTGTACTATATGATACGCGACAGCGAACGCCTAGACTCGATGATGCAGCTATTCGAATGCTACAACTTTGTTTCCGAGGATACTAGAATTAGAGGCGTTACCTCTGTGGTCAGTGTGCCACTATCTCCCCGCGACTTGCGCCACGGCCTTGACCAGTTTCGCATCCAGGACCCTCAATCATTCTGCAAGTCTGTCCTCACAAGCAGGTTTTTGCATGCGACGAGGAAATGATGGTCCAGATGATGAGAATTAACGACGACGGAGAGATACACACTAATCAAAACACGACATCGTATTCAACGACAGACGCGCCCTGCTCCCTAATCCACGACGATAGGCTCGTCCGCCCCACCAGGCTCATCTCCGCCGTCCTCGCTCTCGAATATACCCGAGACCGTATCTGTGAGCGTCTTGAGGAAGACGGTCATCTGGTCACGCGCGAACATGAACGGCTCCTTGAAGAACTGGAGGCGCTCGACATAGTCGGGCCTCTCCAACTCGAGGTTCCTCGGGATGTACTTGACCTTCTCGACGAGCTTGTCCTTCGGGAGCGCCTCCTTGCCCGAATAGTTCTCTGGGCGATCGAACTGGTTGCGCAGCATGAAATTGAGAGCTGCGAGACACGTTGAGACGGGTGAGCTACTGTCACAAATCCCAGCGCACGAAGCAGAAATAAAAGGGCGATGCATACAAAAGGTGATATTCTCGTCCTTGTTTTCGTAGGTATATATGCAAGATATCACGTCCTCGTCGATGCCCGGCCAATCCACTGATGGCTCTTTCTGTACGCTGGTGACGAGGACGTTCGTCATGTCCTCGTAGAGCTTGATAACAGGCAAGTTATTTGCGGGCCCCCGAACTGCTTTGGTACCATTGGGGACGACTGAGGCAGGTATAGTCGCTGAGCGGGACGCGAGTTGGTTCGACCGCTCGATCTCCGCCTGAAGCTCCTTCTTCGTGAGATCCACTTTGGGAGAGGTGAGCAACTCTCGTAGAGGCACGAGACTAGCTGGGCGCTGCGCACCTTCCTGCTTAAGATCCGCGATTTGCTGGTCTTTCGCGCCGATGACCGCGTTGTGTTGCTTGATGACGTCTTTCAGTCGGGTGTTCTCATCTCGCAGCGCACGCTTCTCCTCCTCGGCGGCCTCTCGAGTTAGGAAGTGTAGGGTCCAGGATTGGCTGGAACTCGAGGGCGACTGTTTTGATAGCTGCCCAGTGAGTTCTTGGATGAGACTGTCTTTCCCTTTAGGGCAAGCGTGAACTGGGGTGGATGGACACAGAAGTTTACGACCTACGCTGGATCTCTTCCTTGTGACGCGCTTCCACGTCGTTCTTGATCTCCTCCGCATCCGTGGTGCGCCGTTGGATCATCTCGTCGAACGATGCCTCGAGCCTTTCTTGAAGCTTCTCTCTCTGTTCAGAGACGCATACTCAGTTACACGCTCGCTGTAAAGGCGATTGTCACGTTTACCTCCTTGTTGTTCGTTCGCATTTGCTCGAGTTCCGCGCGTAATCTGTCCATGTCCCGGAGAAGTCTTTGGTTTTCCTTCGCTAGGCGAGAGGCGGCAGCGGCGGTCATCGTATTCTTCCCTCTCAGTAGCGGTTGTTTGCTCCCGCCCCGCACGCCAGAACGTGGTGGTGGCTGCTCGGCCGACCCCTCCTCATCCACTTGAGCTGCAGTGTCCTCTTCTACCTCCATGGCGTCACCATCCGCGGGCGAGGGATCCGCCCTCGCCTTCCCTTTTGCCGCGGCCGCGGCCGCCTTAGACGTTCCATTCACAGCAGAGGCACCACGTACAGGAGCTTTCTTCGACGCGCCCTTCGTGGGTCCCGGCATGGCTACGACCTCGGCCTCACTGCTCTTCCTCTGCTTCTTCGTCTGCGCCTCCTCCACAAACACAACACCCTCCGAGTCGTCATCGTCCAGTTCAATAGCATTCGTAGGCTTGCTTACGCCCTTCTTCGACACAGCAGCCTTAGGTTGGGGCTTAGTGGAAGGACCCGCGACAGGCTTGCCAGAGGCGCCACCGGCGCGTGCGCGTGATGCTGCCGCCGCCTTTGTGTGGACGGGCGCAGGGGTCGTGGGGCCGTAGTTGTCAGCTAGCGGGGCGCGCTCCTTCATCCATATTCAGGAGTCCTCGGCTACGCGTAGAAGGAGGAGAAACATACCGAGGTCGTCGTCTGAGATGTCGGACATGGTGGCTGTCGGGTCTTGCGTTCGCGCGCCTTTGTTTGGCCCGTAAACAACGCGGTGGGACACGGGCGCCTGTAACCGAGTGCACGCTTCCCGGCATGATCACGTCCTCAACGGTGGCGTCTCGAATCAACATGTTCCTTCTGTCTCAAACTCTGGTTGACCCCGCCCGTCGCCTCATTTGACTGACATCAGGATGGACGAATATCTGAAACGACGCGAGGAGTTCATCCAACAAGACCAGTCTTTGAGACCTGATCGTGCTGCTGCAGGGGTTCTCTCTTCAGACGAGCATAGAGCGGACGAGATCCTAAGAAGCATTCGCAAGACTGAAGCAAGGACGATATGGGGACACGAACTCAATGTGGAGCACTACCATGGATCCAAGCAGATGTTTCCCGGCATGGAGTTCCTGACAGGTGAGTGAATCGGGATGCGTCGTGTGACGATGCTGACCGAACCCATCTCATCTAGCTCGCCAGACAATCATAACCACCAAACTGTTTGACATCTTGAGCAAGGTCCGGGCAACAGTTGGCTGAAAGCAGCCTCCGTGAAACTCATTGGTAGCCGCGCGTCTCAGATGCCCAAAGGCGGTCTCCTTCATGCACATCTCGATGCTACCGTCCGTCCCGACGTTCTGCTCCGGCTTGCACTTTCGCAGCCTGCGGTTCATATACGTGCTCCGGGTAACCTCACTCTCGGTAACTTGAAGACGGTTCCACCCGAGTTCCGTGCGCTACCTCAAACCGAGTGGACGACGTCTGCCAGCGTCACAGAAGCAGGCTATGTTGCCGGCTCTTGGGTCCCCATCCATAATGCGCGGAGTACCTTCAGTGAGGCGTTGGGTGGTCCAGAAGGTTTCGATCGCTGGGTAACTGGCGCTCTCACCATTGACCCCTCCGAAGCGTACGGTACTCATAATACTACGGACCGGGTGCGTTTTCAGAACTCATCGCCCGTCCTCGTAGAGCGTGCTCATACTATTGCTGCTCAGATCTGGGATAAGTTTGAGAGCATATTTGGTGTTTCCGATGTAAGCGATGCCCCGTGTCCATATTCTTTGGTGCCCGGGTTTACCGGACTTTGGCGGCTAGGGCCTTTTCCGCTACGTCCCCATCTTCAAGGAGTACATCCGCGAATTTCTGCTATCATCAGTCGACGACGGCATTTCCTACGTCGAGCCGCGCATCCTCTTCTGGTACAAGTATGTCTCCTATACTTGTGCCTCCGACTCCACGACTCTGACTGTAAGCCTTGCCCGTCGCAATAGATACATGGTCGGCGAGGACGGCGTCGAGAACGTCCCCCACCGCGTCTGGTTCCAGATCTATGAAAGTATCCTTGCCGATATCAAGGCGGACCTCGCCGCGCAGGGCCGTGCCGACGAGTTCGTCGGCTCGAAGATCATCTATTCGACGATGCGCGAACTGACCCTCGACGAGCTTGAGTGGTACCTCGAAGACTGTTTAGCGTTGAAGCAAGAGTTCCCGCACCTCGTTGCCGGGTTTGACCTCGTCGGGCACGAGGATTCGCTGAAGCCGCTCATCGATTACGTCGAGCCGTTCATGCGGTTCAAGGCAAGGCAGCAGGAGTTGGGCGTCGAGATTCCGTTCATCTTCCATGCTGGTGAGACTTTAGGAGATGGCACGAAAGCAGACATGAACTTGTATGATGCCATTCTACTTGGGACTAAGCGGATTGGGCACGGGTAAGGGACACAGCCGCGCGACCATCTCTTCCCGACTGATGTCCCTGAATTTCGATAGGTTTTCTATCTTCAAGCACCCAGAGGTGATGAAGGTGTGTCGTGAACGGAACATCTGCCTCGAGATGTGTCCCATATCGTAAGCTCTTCGAATTCCATCGTGCGTGTTCATGAATTGACCCATCCCCTGAGCAGCAACGAAATCCTCGTAAGTCTGCGTTGTGTAGTGGGAGCCGCGAATGAAGAGCTAAAGTCTGCGTAAGCGCCTCACTGGATCCATGCCAATGCACCCTTTGCCATCAGTTCTGAATCACGGAGTTCACGTCGCCTTGTGTTCGGATGATCCTTCTGCGTTTGGGAACATGGGTCTCTCCTTCGACTACTTCCAAGTCTTTGTCGCCAGCGAGGTGAATGGTCTTGCGACCCTGCGCCAGTTCGTATGGGACAGCATCACGGCAAGCTTTGTGTCGCATTGGTCGGAGTCACTGAGATGCTAACCGCGAGATGTCAGTATTCGTGTTTGGGCGACCAGGAGAAAAAGCGCGCGTTTGGAATACTGGACAGACAATGGGCGAAGTTCATCAATGATATACTGGACCGCGATACTACGCACAGGAGTGCGTGAATGTGGTGCAATGCACGTCAAATCCTGAACGGTTGAACCAATCATGTATCGATAGATACCCAGTTGTATAAATGACTTCAACAGTCTGATCGTGTCAATAGGTACGTCTCGTTCTCACGATCACGTCCACTGATTTGCTAACTGCTCGAGTCACAGAGCCCATTATCTGATCGCCTTTTGGACGCCTGAATCAGGCAGCGTTATTGAATCTCCATTCAGCGGCGGCTCCACGATCGTGCTTCTGTCTGCGTCTCCGACTCCGCGGTAGCGAACATATGACTAGGTCCTAGCACTTGTAAGCCATATCTAGGGCGTCTTGAACGTATATATAGGCGGGAGCAACACGAAGCGACTCGACAGTTCTATCGGCCAGTCATGGATGCTCATTACCTGGCGGAACGCGACCGTCTCATCGCGGAGGACAGGAGCTTGAGAGTGGATGCCCTCGCACTCGATCAGGCTACGGACGCCGAGAAGAAAGCGGATGCCATAGTCAGGAAGTTGCGCGCCTTGGAGAACGAGACAGTGTGGGGCCCGAATGCACCACCCCCACCTGGATCTCTTCATGTGTTTCCAGGGATGAGTTTTTTAACAGGTAAACCTCATAGATCTTGCTGTCCTTCATGTGTCTAACGAATGCGTTGTAGCCCGCGAAACGATTGTGAAGACGAGATTGTTCAATATTATCAGTAAGGTACCAGCGCAATTCGGCGATCTGTCTAGCATGGTTGACAGACAAATGATACATGAGTGTAGATGCCGAAGGGCGGTCTGTTGCACGCCCACCTCGACGCGACAGTGAACGCTCGTATGCTCCTCCGCCTGGCTTTCAAGTACCCCGCATACCACGTGCGCACAAATGTCCGGCTCACGAGGGAGACCATATCGACCACATTGCCAGAGTTCCGCCCGTTGAAGGAAAGCCAGTGGACAACACTGACGAGTCTCACCGACGACGCATACACCCCCGGGTCGTGGGTGCCGCTGGCTAGTGCAAGGGAGACCTTTGACCCGAGCCTTGGCGGTCCTGATGGCTTTGACGACTGGGTTATCGCTGCGCTGACGATCAACCCCACCGAAGCGTACCATACGCATAATACGACAGACAAGGTTGGTACGATATGACAATCCCGAGTAGCGAGCTCATGTCCATTCTCCCGTAGATCTGGCAGAAGTTTCAGTCAACTTTCTTTGTAACTCGGGTAGATACATTTTCTCTTCCTCCTGGTAACTCGGCCGTGATTGGGTTGAGTACTAGGGCTTTTCGCGGTACTTCCCGCTTTGGATTGAGTATCTCCGCGAGTTTTTCCTGTCCTCGGTCGACGACGGCATTTCATATGTGGAGCCGCGTGTCCCGTTCTGGTTCAAGTGAGGGATATTTGGCTTGGAATGTCCCTTGTTTCCTGATCAGCGGACTTCGCATAGACATATGATCGATGCAGGCGGAGAAGAGAACGTCCCACATCGTGAATGGCTTATCGCGTACAACCGTGTCATTCAGGATGTGAAAGACAAGCTTGCAAAGCTAGGGAGGGCGGACGAGTTCGTTGGCTCTAAGGTGAGTTTGCAGGGTTCATTATTCGCTTTTTCCTGAAAGTGCGTCCTAGATTATTTACAGCACTTTACGAGTGTGCACCCCCGAAGAGCTCGAGTGGTATCTTGAGGACTGTATCGCGCTCAAGCAGGAATTTCCCCACTTGATATGTGGTTAGACCGAAATGCTGGGGCTGGGCTGCACCTTCTCCATTCATGCTGATTAGAATGTCGGGTAGGATTCGATCTGGTGGGACACGAAGATCCTCTCAAGCCGCTCATCTACTACTTCGCCCCGCTTAGAGAGTTCGTGCGCCGGCAGAAGGAGCTTGGACTCCACATTCCATTCATCTTCCACGCCGGCGAGACTCTCGGCGATGGTACAGCGGCGGACATGAACCTATATGATGCTATCCTCCTAGGGACGAAGCGCATTGGTCATGGGTATTTGTGTCACTGCTTTTCCTCTGCCGTGAATTTGTGTCTAATAAACATGATCATGCAGGTTCTCTCTCGTAAAACATCCTAGGATTCTAGAAATATGCAGGGAGCGACAGATTGCGGTAGAAGTCTGTCCAATTTCGTGCGTATCTTCATTTCATTCATTCATAATTCACTGACCGTATCGTACGATGCAGCAACGAAATCTTGGTACGCCACTGCATCTCGTTCCGCTGAGGCCTGACCCCTTCTAAATCAAATGGTAGCGATACACGGGCTCTATGCCGATGCACCCGCTGCCCATCCTGATGAGCCAAGGCATTCACATTGCATTAAGCTCAGACGACCCAGCGATGTTTGGAATCATGGGCCTTTCATTCGACTTCTTTCAGGTCAGTCTTCCTATTGAATGTATCGAAGTCGCTAGTTCATGAGAATACAGGTTGTTGTGGCGAGCGAGGTGACTGGACTCATCACGTTGAAAGAGATGGCCCAAGACAGCATAAAGGTAGATTTGGCGTTGATTGCTATAGCTATTCGCTGACGAGGATGAATAGTATTCGTGCCTCCAACCAGAGCAGCAGCAACGAGCTTTGTCGCTCTACCGCCAGAGATGGCTCACGTTCGTCGATTGGGTCAATGATACTTTTGGAGAAGATTACTAGCGACCGTCTCGGCATACTAACTGCCTCCATCCCGATTCAACTCGTTGATGGTCAGAATTGATAGTTTCATACAGAATTACGCGCATCTCGGGCAGCTACTAAACTAGAGTCTCAGCCATCATGAGTTGGGCGCGATAGGGGTCATGTCGTCGGAATGATGCTCTGGTGCTATGCGCTGAGCGGATATGATCTTTCTTTTCCCCATAAATCCCTCCGTCTCTATTGTCCTCCATACAAGCTACTTATTGCAAGGGATCTGAAAGAGAGTAGGTGCCTTTGCGGCAGCGCCGCTATCGACACTGAAGAATAGGGGCAACCCGGCCTCAAACTGCGGGTGATGACCACGTCGGTCATATTCGCCATCTTGCAGCCGAAGGGGCAGACAATGGCTTCGCAATAGATAAGACAATGCTGTAAGGTTATCGTTGACATCTTCAGAGAATCCCTCGCGCATTCGCCTAGGATGATTCCAATCGAACGCTCACTAGAGGCGCACATGGATCCTTCTTCATTCAGCTATTGACCTTCAACTTCACAAAGAACGTCCTTTGACAAACGGGACAGCTCCCCTTGATCGCCAACTCTTGAATAATACATCTAGTGTAAGAGGGAAATGGTCAACGAGAGATTCGTGGTATTCGCGTGGCAGGGCCGATAAAATCCTCACCTCTGGCAGAAGACGTGCCCACAGACTGTGGCAACTGGGTTCCTGCAGTGGTCCTTGAGACATACCCTGCAGTGGAAGGAGAGGTTGCTCGCCGCCCCTGATCGGCGAGGTGACTCATTCGATCGAGTTAGGGCGTTAGTCACGCTGCCGGACGTTTGACTGTCTGCCTGAGGATCAGAAGGATTGGACATCTGGGAAAACGTTAACACTTCAGGTCCGGAACTTGGAACTCAAAGACTTACTTCTGACGTTATAGCTGACAATTCACCAGTAGTAGCCCGGTGGGAACCATCGAACGGCGTCGAAAACGTGTCGGCAGTGAGACTATGCGTTCGAGAGAGCGCCTGCACGCTTGTGAATTGGTGGTGTTAACAGAAAAAGTATGCCAATCCATCACTGTAACCTACCACGAATTTCCAATGTGTTCTGAAGTGGCTTGAGGTTCTCGTGTATCGTGTAGAGAAATGGACGAGGAGGCGGACGCATAGACCGAGATTGTGCCACTGTCTGATGGCAGAGGGGAGCTTTGTTCCACGGTGGTGTCGATAGTCAACGATTCGACTGAGATTTCGCAGTTGGAAGCTGCCGTTGGAGCAGGAGCGGTAACAACCACGTCGTCGTCTCGGGTGTTAGAGATACTACTGCATCTACCAGATTCCCTTTGAACCTGTACAACATATCTGAAGGTCACTCGTGTTGTTTGCCGCGGATCTTTAGTCACACACCTCTTCCCCAGTTTGTGCGTTCGACACCGTCTGTGGATCTCTCGGAGGCGGGCAGCGTGCTTTGTGCTAGCGAAGCGATGAGGGGTACACTCCGCGATCAATGACCCTAAGACTCACTGTAGCCCACGTTACCAAGGATTCGAACCCCAAGCCGCAGGTGTGACATGTCGGATGCAAGGGCGACTCGGTGTAATGCTCCCTTAACAGCATGTCCGAGGAAAAGCGTTGATTACACTTGTTACATGCGAAATGGGTCTGGAGACTCGATGAATGTGAGCAATGTTAGATAGTGATATTGTGGTATGCCAATCACCTCCGTGTGCTCGTTCACGCCCTCCTCCTCTCTAGTGCGAGGTGTGTTCACAGAGTATGACTGCCCGACCTATATCTTATTCACCTTTCCCGACATTGGATTTCGCGAGGAAGAGAAATGCACGTACGTGGGGAAAGGGCGCTTCAGAATTCCCGGGCTGAGAGATACCACTGGATTCAACACGAACGATTTACCACTTACCTCGAAGTGAATACGCACCTCTTTACTGGTCTCTGAATCCAATCCAAATAGGGACGGTACGCCTCGTATAGCAGGCACGACTTGAACCCTATCCGGTTCGGGTTGTGGCTTTGTCCCATGCGAGACTACTATAGAAGCATTTCTTTTGTGTTCCTTATCGATATGTTTCTTGCACTCCTTGTGACTGGTAAACGTATCCAGACAGTCTGTGCAGTAGTACCCTGGTTGCCAGACGTGTCCTGTAGCCTGGGCGTGTTGCCCACCTGTAGCCTTTCCTTGCACCTTGACTTTGCATTGAAAGCACCTAACTTTGACACCCATCCCGCGCGAAGTTCGAAGGACCAAGAGGCTCCTCGCAAGCTAAGCTCACAGTGACAGAGCTGCAGATACGGCTTGGAACGAACTCGCGCAAGGCAACGAGGCGGACTTCATATTACCGCAGCATTGAAGCTTCGCGTGCTTAGTCAGCGGGAGAACTGTTCCAGGGGCTATCAGACTCCTGTAGGCCACATGCACTGTCTTTACAGCAGAAACTTGAACTATAGACGTTGTTGTCGTAGCAAGCAAGAGTCTGCAATTCAGAGCCAGCGAGGGGCCAAGCTGAAGGGGCTGATCGACATTTCGGACAATACACAGGATATCGACTGCATGCGCTCATCGGATGTTTTCCCACAACTTTAGGCGCTCGGCGAGCGAAAACGTGAACACGACAACTCGTCACAATCGCAAGGTTCAGACGAATGCTAAATCATATATATAAGCACATACACTATGAATGCAGTCTTCTCAGAGCTGCAAGGCACTCGTCCACAGCCTTACCCTCACAGCCTTACAAGGAACATGGTCTGACAAACAGGACAGCGCATCTTCGTTGTTAGTTCTCGCACAATGCAGCTGGTCAACCGCAGGTCAAACCACAGTCATACGGGACATGGCTAAGCGCTCACCGATGACAGAACAGGTGTCCACACGTTGTCACAACGGGATCCGTGCATGGGCATGATAGACATGACCGACAATGGTAAGAAGGTTCCTCCGTCTTCGACTCCACATCGATACCAGAGCATCGTCCAGCTAGCCGTGGTGTTACTGGAGTGTTCTGATTGTCTCCATCTTGGATGTTATGAGTACTATTTGGACGAATGAATCGGGCATTGTTTCCGATTGGCGATCTGATAGGTGATGCTGCCCTCGGGAGGAGGCTGCCCACACGTTATGATAAGCTGCGAATACATCTTCGTATTGATCGGAGAACAAGAAGCTAGACTCACGTAGTTTCAGTCATGCGGCTGATGTCGCTGAGGATCGGTGGAGATGCGGTGGGATAATTCAGCATAGGCACTTCAGAAGCAACCTCCGTGTTCGACGCCTGCGATCGCATACGATGTCTTCCCTGAAGCATTAATGGAGAAGGATAGACGACACACATGAATATTCGACAGCATATCATCTTTAGTTCCACTTGAGGGCTCTTCCTCAGACCCCCTGATTCCAGTGTTTGGTGGAGGACACCGCGCCTTGTGCTAGTGTGTAATATGGTTGAGCGGCACCCCTCAAACGTGAACCGTTTCTATAAGTGAACTCACCGCCGCCCAAGGGAGTATTGATTCAAACCCCAGTCCACAAGCACGACAAATCGGGTGTAATGGCGAATCGCTGTAATGCTTTTGCAAAGCTTGCTCTGAAGGAAAGTGCAGCGTGCACTTCGCACAATAGTGTCTCGAGTGAACTGTCAACTTTTGAACTGTCAACTTCAACAGATGTACATTAGCATACAACTTCATTCGTTGTTTCAAGGAGGGGTTCGAATACCTCCACGGGTTTTACACTGGAAATAGGTGGTAGCACGGCTGGCATGTCTACCAGCGGCGGCTCGGGTGCGCTACAAGTCTCCCGTGTAGTCACGGTAACGCTGGAAACGGGCACGCTCTAGTGAACAACGCTTAGGATGTGTGGCAAGGGTAGTAGCAGTGCTGACATACCGACACTGAGGTGGACTCGGGCTGACTTGGGCCGAGGCTCAACCTACACTGTTGGAGAGAAGCTGCCGGTTGCTTACCGACCGCTTCCTTGCTGAATGTGCGTTGAAACGGGGACACAGGACAGTCGGCCCTATGCTGAAGAGGAAGCTTCGGTGAGCCATTTCCACGTCCGCAGTGAGCAGAGGACGAAACATCTGTCTCACCTCGGCCCATGCCTCCAAGTTCCCAAACCCTAGCACGCACGGCCGACACTTAAGATGCAAGCTTGATTCCCAGTAATGCTCCTTAAGCGTTTGAAGAGGTCTCAATTTCATGGTACAAAATTTGCAATGTGGGACGGTAGATATATTCTGCGGAATATGAATGCGTAGAGTTCAATGAGCAACTGGACAACGGTTTTATGAATCGACAAAGAAGCAACTTGCGTTGGTGGCATGATCATCCTCCGTCTCAAACGGCGAGCAACGAGCAGTACTCGCCAACTCCTCTGCGAGCCCACAATGCGCATGTATCTGTCCCAAAGGAATATCTTCGCGACAATGCAGACATTTTCTGAAGACAACGTTGATTGAGGGTATGGTCGACAGGGATATGTCGGTGGCGGCGGCGGCAGCCATCATTACTTGAGCATGTTCTGGATCCTGATGTCGAGTCGAATCCATGTGGATCTCGCGCTCCTTCAAAGTCCTGAAGGTGTCCATGCACTGGAGGCAGATGAAGTCGGCGGTATGCCCGTACCCTGCATGCGTAATCTTGAACGCTGCTCTGCTACGATAGATTGCCCAGCTACATTGCTTGCATTGTACAGGGGCCATGACGGTGTCGATGAGTGTAGAGAGAAGATGCCCAAGAGTAAACCGGGAGGGACGAGTGACTGTTCGAGCGGACGACGTACGATGATAAGAGTGAGACCTCACGCGCACGGTCAACGGTTGTGTGCTGCGGTACTCTAGACGCGCATAAAGGAAGGTTTCCGCCTTCTGCAATGCGCCTGAGCAGCAAATCCCATAGGATATACCTGTGCCGAGAACGCCCCTCGGCAAGGAAAAGGGCGAAGATAGCGTCAATTAAAGGAGCCCCAAGACCAACCCAGGTAAGCCTTGCATATCATACTGATACCTCCACTTCGATGACTTACGACGTATGGCCAAAGGCGTTACCAACCATGTATCGAGTGCTTCTTCTTCTTCTTCTAGATCCCGTTTATTGCCCTGCGAGGCCGAGCCTCATGGTAGGCAGTAAATACATTGTTGTCTACTTGGGTGATGATGGAGGTCGGCGGGACGTATCGAGTGCTGCGCTTCAAGGACAAAGAATCTCCCTGTCGGAGCGCAGCCTGAAATCGGGTGAGTGTCGTCGGCTACAGCGAGAACGTTTAACGGGACCAGGTAGAGTGAAACCTGAGATGGAAGCCCCAGTAAGTCCCACATTGGATCAGCAACGTCCGTTGCGTCGAGCGATGAAAGAGCCCCGGACTCGAGCCATCAACAGGCCTGGACTATGCGAGGTCCCAGCACGGGGACTGGTGACAGCACCGGCACAAGCCACTGTCGCTACCGTACCGTTAATAAGCGCTCTCTTCTCGGACATTACCACGCAACTCGGGCACGCTGAACATAGGATGACTAAAATCCCAAGGACACAGGAAACATGAATACACGAGTGCTGCCAACAGCCCGACTATCCTTACTCTGCAAGAGACGACGCCCATTACTCAATCATCCTCGACCTCTATGTGCATCTTCGTCAAGAAGGATCTCTGGCAAACCGGACATCCTCCATGTCTCGCTAGCTCAGCCATGATACAACTGGAACGAGAGACGCCATCAGCCCACCACGTCCGTGACAGACCCAAATCTCGAGCAAAAAGAACTCACCTGTGGCAGAAGAGGTGTCCGCAAGCGGTCGTAGTAGGGTCCACACAAGGGTCCATCCGACAAGACCGGCAATGGAGGGATACCCGCTTCTTGGGGGACGCCAACTGTTGTTGACCCCCATTTGGTTGCGCGTGCTGAAACAGCGGCCTAGTAGAGTACTCCCTCGGCGGTGCGGGAGTCGGAGAGCGCGTCGAAGCGGCCGAGGACTGGGCGGACACCACTTTCAGCACGTTTCCGGGTTCGATGGCGGTCAGGGAGCCATCGCGTACCTGCCCCACGGACATACCGTAATTCGACACAGAGCGACTAGACAGGGCGGGCGTGTAGAAACTCGCAGGGCCGCCCACCGACGGTCCCGATGACGCGGTCGACCGCAGAACCGAAATCGGGGTACTGGCCCGCGACGTCGATACAGAAGCACTGCAGGTTTCGCTCAGATGGCAATCCAAGGAGCATGCTGCGAAGCACCCCGCTTACGCTGGACTTCTGCCGTCCTCCGACGGCAGCATCATCGTGGAGGCGAGCATCATCGCGGCCGATGGGTTGGCCTCTGGTGCCCCCACCTCGCTGCGTTGTTCCGTGGGCTGGGGAGGCAGCGCCGCGTGGTCTGCCTGCGGCGTTCGAGCCGGGTCCGGCGCAGCGGGGCCATCCGTCTGGCAAACATGTAGTCAGGCTGAGGAATGACATAAGTCGATACCAACTCACGGTGGCTGGTCCAGACGGCGCATCCGCCTTGTAGGATCCGGGAGGCGGGCACCTGCCCCTATGCTGCGGGGAAAGTCAGGCCGGGAAACTACGAAACGCGACGGTTTCAGACTGACCGTAGCCCAAGACGCCGCCGTCTCGAAGCCCAGCCCGCACGTCTTGCAGGTATGGTGCATGGTCGACTGGTTGAAGTGCTGTTGCAGCAGCTCTTGCGAGGCGTACTGCGTCTTGCATTTGCTGCACGAGAAGGACGTCGTCCCGTTTGTCTATCAGTCCCAGTGCGATCAGTCGCGCGCGCGTTGTACGTCCAGGAGACGCAATACGGTACCTCGGCTACGGCCGCTTCAGCCCTGGCCGGCACTCCGCCGGTCGGGGTGGGTGCGAACCTCGACGGTCCAGCGCCATTGCAGTAAGCATTCGGTAGATGGCCGGGACGATAAGTCGAACGGAAGCCGTCCTCTGAGGAGGATGTTGAGCTAGCCACAGACACGGCGATGCCCTGTTTTCGCAATAGTCAGCACGCACAGTGCGTTCGTCACAGCCAGCGAGACTTACCGCGAGTGAAGTGCTTCCGAAGGTATTCGGAGCGGGGCCGGTCACGGGCTGGGGACTCGGGAGCGTGGGCCGCTTGCCAGCAGCCCTGCCGTTCGAGTTGTTCGGAGCAGGCCTGCTCCCCAAAGGCGCGACGGGACACGAGATCTTGTGCTGCCAACGCGGATGCGCCACGAATCCGTCAGTCAACGTCGGGCGGGCGAAGGCCCATGCAAGGCAAGGGCGACGACTGACCTCGGTCCACTTGCCCAGGTTCTCGAACCCGAGCGCGCACGGCTTGCACTTCGGGTGCGACGGCGAGTCCCAGTAGTGGTCCTCCAGCGTCTGGAACGGGTCCAGGCAGGTCATGCACCCGGCGCACGGCAGCATGCGCGAGACGTGCTGATACCGGTACCAGGCAGCGCCGCCGGGGAAAGCGCGACATCATATCCAGCGTGAGCACTCAGTCGCTCACTCCGAGAAGCGCATGTGGCGCGACGCACCTCCGCCAGCTGGTCGTACGCCCCGAACCCCATCTGGCACACCGGGCACGCGGGGCCGTCCATCGTGCCGCCCTCTCCTACAACGACCCCGCTCGGCGACGCGCTTCCGCTACCGCTGACGGTCGACGCGTGCGACGCGTGCACTGACACGGGCCGACTTAGGCCAGGCGGCGCGGGCGACGCAGACTTGCCCGTGCCGCCGCCTAGCTCCTCCGGGTCCCTGTGGCCCATCGCGGTCTGGTGCTGCAGGAGGTCCGCCACGGCGGTGAACGTCTTCGCGCACGGCACGCAGACGAACACGAGCCTATGGCCCGGAGTAAGGCTGTGTTTGCCCGACTTGCTCTTGCTCGACCAGATCTCCTTGCACGCGACGCACTGGACCGGGGCCATGGTAGTGTGTACTAGTTCACAGGAAACGAGAGGGGTTTGAGACGAGTGAGACGTGGGGTGAGCGAGGGCGATCGTGAGGACGGACGGGCTCTGTGGGAGGGCATAAAAGCGAGTCCATGGTCGCGCGGTAGCATGTTACCGCAGCACGGACCGCAGGCGCATGGATAAGAAGAAGCATCCCTTTTGGCGTCGGGCGTCTGCGTAGCAGCGCGAGTCGCGCGAAACGGCACCATACCGCACGCACTTGCAGGTTGCTGCGCTCAAGCACGCTCTGTGTTCATCGACCGTAGCAGGTTCAGACTAGAGCGCAGCTCAAAGCCACTGCGCGCATCACAGCTGCAGGACACGCACGTCGCGGGTGATCAACGCGAAGCGGAATCGGTATGGGATGCGATTGCATAGGTTGTCAGTACGCGCGAAGACAGAGTGTACAACAGGACCTAGATCGATACAGCGGCAGCAAGTAGAATAGCAATTAGCCCGACGACCAGCCCCCATTATGACCACGAGAGTAACAGCGTAGTGCGCACGTCCTGCCGCGAGAAAAGAGCAAGAACGTGCGAAGTTTGGTACCGATCGCGATCGCCAGAAAACGGAAGTGCCAAAGCTGGCGCGCGAGGCGGTCTCAGTTCGTCGCCCCATCGACGTTCACGGGGGCCGCGGGACCGTTCGCAGAGCCATTAGCAGCAGCGGCGCGCACGGACGCGCTGTCCGAGGTGAGAGGCTTCGCCTCCTTGTCAAACCGCTTGCGCACTGCGAAGATCATTTTGTAGAACCTGACAACAGCGTGTCAGTTAACCGAAAGCTCAGTCAGCACCTAGCACCCCCGCGCGCGATGCCATTTCACAGATGTACGAGACCGCCGTCGCAGAGCAGCCGCGCGCGAGGAGTGTTCGAGACGAAGACGCACCAGATGATGTTGAGGGTGTTCAGCGCGAGGTTCCCGACGCAGAACACGAAGAGGTAGCTGTTGGGCAGCTGGGCGCGCGCGGAGAAGAGCGCCTCCATGAACTGCACGGTGAGGTACCACCCGTAGACGATGCGGCACGAGAAGAAGGTCGAGAGGAGGATGATGCCGTTGATCCACTGCGCGGTGCTGCCCGTGTAGCCCGTCTTATCGAGGAACCTGTGTTCGCCCGTTTAACGTGCGATACACGTGCGGGGGCGGTGTGTGGTAGCTCGTGAATATGCAGGGCCCCCTATCTGGAAAAAGTGAGATAACGGACCGGTGGATGTTCAGGAAGATGGTGCTCCTGTACGGCAGAGGTAAGCGAGGTGTTGCGACGTTCGCATGTGATATGAGGGAGGACTCACGTCTCCCAGAGGAGGAAGCGAGGCGCGAAGTAACCGAGGAACGGCCGCTATGCAGCGTGCAGTCGATCAGCGACGCGCGAAGTTGTGGGGTAGGGATGGTGATCGAGGGGTACTCACGAAGGTCATCATGTAAAGCGTACAGCAGAAGACGCCTGGGAGCCCCGCAGAAGGTCAACGAGAGATGATAGGGGTAATCGCGCTGAGCTCACCGTGGATGAGGAAACTCAAGTCGTCAAAGTTGATGATCGCGTCCAAAGCATCCCAGATGAAGTATCTTACGAGACGGTGCACCGGTCGGACGGCTGTTTGAGAGCGAAAAAAGACTAGGCGGAGAGCTCACCCGCAAGCTACTGCAACGGTCGTGCCCACCCGGTCATCCCATCCGTACAGTTTATCGGCAGTGAGCGTCTCGGAGCGGAAACAGCTTATAGCCAAGGGGAGGACGACGAAGACGTGGAAGAGCGATACGACTTGGATGTTCCTGCTCGCGCTTTAGGGATGGAAGTAGGTTGGGCACTGGGAAGGAGGGCGTACCACTGGTTGACGGCGCGCCGTGAGCGAAGCTTGCCATAGCTTTGAGGGAAGATGCGAGCGCTGAGAAAGGGGGAGATGACGAGATGGATTGCGGTGAAGGCGAGGAAGGCGTAGAAGAGGGTGGGAAAGTAGTCAGGGAGGTGGGGAAGGTTGAAAAGGTTCGCGATGGGTTGAGCTGCGGCTTGGAGTATGGTATGAAAGGGGAGGGTCATGGCGAACGAGGAGACAGAGTCTGAGGGGGGGATGAGGAGAGGCATATTGAGGCTTTAGTTGGGGCAGCGTCTATGTGTGGAAGGACTGCTTCGAAGGAGAAAGAGATGCAGGTAAAGCGGAAGGCGTGGGGGAGACGAACGTGTCTGGCGTTGGCAGCGTTGATTGCTTTATTATTATTATTATTATTTTCTTGTCTTATAACAAACATAGCTACAGGGTACGGTAGGTATGTAAGTAAGCGTGTTATCCGAGATTGTTTGACATTTCCACCCAGCGCGTCACTTAAGACTTGCACCAGCGTGCTCGGACCACGACCGAAGTCAGCGTGTGGAGTAAGGACCCGCACCTACCCACTCACACCATATCTGCCAACGGCGACCCGGAGTCGCCGTCCCCATCCGTAACAAGAGTGGCGCCGTCGAGGAGGAGGACGACGACGAGGGGGGGGGAA